AGCTGTAAGCCGTTGGCTTGTTAAATAAGTCTTCCTCTGACTTAAAGAGCTGTGTAGCTCGGCTACAGGCGATCTATGTTTCTCTAGTGCTAATTCTTGGGCCTCAAGTGTTTTTTCTTGTTTCCATCCCTACGGAGGAACAGTCTTTAGCACACTCAGGTGTAGATTGACTACAAGTGCTACCAGGTGTAGCGGGGGCTACCCTAACTCTTTTGTCAAAGGAAGGCTTCTTTACTTGTAGAGTCTCTCATTGTATCAAACTAAACGGGTATCGACTTACAGGGTCTCGAGTCTTACAGACTTGGTGAGACTTAACTCATGGTGTAAATGCAAGCTCTTAAGCTTCTAGTCATGGTTAAGGGGACTACGGCTCCAAGGAATCACGTGGCACTAATGCCCACGACAACTTAGCCTTAACTCAGGCACTTAACTCTTACGACCAGAGACGTCTTAGAAAGACACGTGTCGGAAACTGATCAAAAGGGGAATTGAACACATCTACTGATTTGTAGCGATCATGTACCTTACTTACGTCTTTAACGTTAAAACTATGCTGCTTGATCGAATTGTCCTAGTTCCTCTAGTGTACCACACCGGAATTACGTCGCCTCTTTGAATGCCCTATTACGATAGATATCTTCTAACCATAACCGATAGGGTACGACATTATTGCGTAGCGTTTGTGATACAAAAGTACGCCTTATCAGTGATACTGACCAGCGTTTGTGTGTACCACACCAATGTACCTGGTCATCACAACAATTTTATGTAAACCCGTTACAAATACACTCGTGAGCTGGGTGCACCTTTGCGAGCGCAACATATTGTAAGCCATCGTGAGATTCACCGGCATTGGTGCATCGAAAGGCTAAGCATCGCCGTGTGTGGATGTCGTAGTCACTCACGGGAATTTTGTATGAAGGCAAGCACCAAACATCAGCTGATGTATCGCAATGAGTCGACAGTGCTGTCATTGGCTTTTTATCGCTTTTGGACGAAGGCATCCAGACAATAGTAAGGGAATAACGCGTAGATGTCGTTGTGTTTGAGTAGTCTAAGCTCGTATAGTGGATAGCTGCAATAAATTTACTTGCAATCTTGCTGTAAGACCCACCGATCTCTGGTGCACGTGACAGCAAGACCGAGCAGCAAAGCTGCGCAGGCAGCCACAGTGTTCTCGGCGTATTCCACATACAGCAATGATGGTATTTCATTTCAAGCATGACAGATCGCCAGCTGTGAACATGCATGTACAGCTCCCACGTTCCCCCTTTTAATCCAGTGCGTCCGTTGCGTAACGGCAGCAATTAGGGGGAATGTCTGACGAAGCTCATCTTCTCTGTACGGACGAGATAGACGCTGGGTAAAAGACGTTTGCTGTGAAAGAGTGCTCGCTTGCTTTGCTTGCTGGCAAGGATGATAATAAAGGTCGTGATGATTGTTAACGGGTACAACACGTCCCTGGATGCTCGGTTCATGCAATGACAAGTCATACTCAGGGGTTGTTAATTTCATAACTGAGTTTCGCTACGAGCTAAGAAGCCGGGCACTGACGGGCACTCGTCGTCCTTCTCGACCCGTCACCTCCCCACTAGATGAATAGATGCTGTGGTAGCGGTTCGTCAATATGATCACATCTACAGAAGATTGTAGTCGTTTCTTCGTATACATCGGCTCTGCTTGTGCGAGGCTGTGCGTTGCAACAGTGAACTAGACGACAAGAAAGCAGCGACGCAGTGTCAAGAACAGCTGTCGGCCACATGTTTCCACTGAGATTTTGCATCTCAGTCTAAGCTATGTGCGTAGCAGTTGTCGTCCTGGATGACAACGCTCTATATCTGAGACACTAATCCGTTCTTGTCCACTCTTTCACTACTGCTGTTACAAAGAACCACTGCCAACGGACATTGAATAACGCTCGCCTCTATCCAGGGCAGATCTAAACATCCTCCTTTAATAAGCTATCTCTCCTCTCTTGAATCCTCCAGTACACAATTGTGCTTTTTAGTCATGCTCTACGATCTAATCATCATCCAGACACAAAAAATGCGTTGTGTCTGCGTGGGGGTAATCGGCATGCATCAGCATACACAATTAGTGATGACGTTTAGCGTTGCGATCGTGCGAGCGCTCGGTCACTAGATTGTTCTCATGCAGATTCTTAGCTTATTCAGCACCTTCTCCCACAGTTTCGACTTGAAAGCACCTTGTGAATGGACAACGCGATGACGGCGCTCGACTTTGCGTATCAGTATCTTTTCGACATGAGAATGCTGGGAGCAAGCGCTTGGAGCGACTACTCTGCTTCTTTGTCAGAGCGAGAAAAAGCTCTATCGACGATTGCATGGACCCAATCACTTAAGCTGTAGGAAGTAATGTCAGCAATTATAGCCTGACAAAGTGATGAGCAGAGGTGCACGGAGAACAGTGACCAAATGAAGTAAACGTTATATCAAGGCAAATAGTGTGCATTCATTTCTTTACTGCTCTTGATCCCCTAGGCCGACGAAATCCACGTTGAGTTCAGGTGCCAGCCCCGTCGTGTTTACAACGTTTACGCCTCGGTCTTCACTCGGACTGTTGGTCTACCGAAGACATTCACTGCACAGCAGTAGTTTATGTCCCATCGCGACCATGCCATCATACCTGGTACTCCGATGTGCACTGGCTCAAAACGACAAGAGTGAAATTATCTGTATCAATACCCGCAATTCATTGACGCGTTCTCGCTCGTTGTCAGCTGCCAACACCTCAGCTATCGGATCCACTACTGAAGCCAAAGCCGACAGCAGTGACGGCTGCAGCTTCATACCAGGACTCACATCCCACAAGCAGCAATAACTCACTTGTGTTCATTACGTTTGTATTCAATGCAACGACAAATCACACCCACAACAGCAAATCCTAACTTCGTGAGTGCTTCTCTTGCCGTCCAAATGCTTTCACGCAGCGCTAAACTCTATCGTTAATTGTGTACCATGACGCATGCCGATTACCCCACGTAGACACAATCCTTTTTTTGTGTCTGCGTGGTAAATGGTATCACAGAGAACGACTCAAAAGCTCTATTTGTGCAGCATTGTGTACTTGAGAAGATATAAGAAAAGAGAGGTAGCTCATCAAAGGAGGATGGTTTGACCAGCCCGTTCCTCGACCTATTCTAGGTAAGAAAAGAAAAACGACACGCACACAAAGAGCTCACGTTCGTTTTTTATCTCAAGCTTCAGTCAACAATTGCTTCACGACTAGAAAAACTATCGACTTGGTGCCCACACCGTTTTGTCCAGCGCGTCCTTATTGCAAACGAGCAGCTGAATGAATCGCTCACTTTCCAATCTCCACCATCCGTCTCAAGTCCCGCACATCGTTCCCACTTCTCGTCATCATCCTCGCAATGACTGGTCGCAAGTTCGCTCCCACTGTTGTCACGGCTCTTCTCGTCACATTGCCGTCGTCCATTACCTCGGCGCAAGAGTGTCCGCCCGACGTGAGCGAGTCGTTCGTGGCCACTGTTGACAACAGCTCGTACTTCAGCACGTGCGCCGAGGGAACGCCTTTCAACGTCACGTCGGTCTTTGACGTCTTCAATTTAACCGCCAACAACTTGCTCCAGTTCTGCAATTCGTCGTCGTGCCTTGAGCCCATTCACGAGCTCATGGGCTCCCTTGACTGCAACATTACGTACATGGGTACACCCCGTAACCTCTCGTCGGAGGTCTCGGACCTCCACGACGTGTGCCACGAGGTCCTCGATGCCGCCGCAGAAGGAAGCGGCCAGGCAGAGAAGAAGCCAATGGACATGAGTGGCCACGCCGATGGCTCGAGCCACTCGGACCCGCCGACTTCGGATGCATCGTCTTCCGCTGTTCTACCGGCTGTGTTTTCTGTAGCCTCTGCTGCTCTGCTCGCCGTCGTTTTGGCGTAAACTTCGTAGTGTCTAGCTCTATAATGCACAAGAACATGAGAAGGACTTGATTGAGCTCTTTTCTAATGTGACGAGAGATACTTTGTCAATTGAGAGAGCACTTGTTTGCCGACTACAGCTACTGCTACTTTCATTGACTTTTTTGTGTGGAAGACGGTCACGTAGGACAAGGTGCGGGACGATTGACTGGCTCAGCGCTTGTGGTAATTGCATTCACGATAAGATGATCGCCTGCCTGAGACGGGGAGGTCGGGCTGAACTTGGGCTCGTACATGGACGTAACGGACGACCACGTCATCGCTGACACTAATCCTGATGTGTACCATCTCATGTACGTACGTACGTCACGATACTGGAGTGGTATGCCGCGTCAATGGTTATCGAGTTGTTATGAGGCGTTATGGTACTGATGGTGGCAACAACAACTTCGTCAAAAGCAACAGCAGACGATGCAATGAAGAGCGGCAATGTAGTGAGACTGAGGCAGGACCGCAGTAGTCTATCGATACGAGGATCATCAAAGAGCTGGGTAAGTGTCAACGACTTATCGTCAAGAGCGACGCGAATTGCAGGGATGGTTTCTCGTTGTAACAGAAGTTCGGACAAGTCTTGCATGAGACGTATCTGTAAAGATGGCACCTTGTTGCTTCATCCAGAAGCCACTTTGTTTTGGCGATGTCAGCTGCTCGCACAGATGCCGTGGCTGGCAGTCTAGTCATGACTAGCATCTTGAAAACGCTCGTATTCCATTCCACAAAGCCTTAGTACGACGTTTTATTGTGCTCGTCTCTTGACTCAGCTCTATCTAGCCTTTCAGTGCCTTGCGTTTGCCGTTCAGCGCGTGATCAAAACATCGCGCAGATTGATATCAGACGATCTCCAGGAATTCATGTGACCGGAAGAACGAATGGATTAGCAGCCAACACGTCCTAGGCCAATGCAGCGCAGTTGACACAACTCGTATTTTGACACCATGTGTCAAGGAAGTGACACAATGCTCGAGATCGGTAGATCAACAACCTCATTCAGCATGCCTCATTCAGCTCAACTGTCACTTCAAGTCCACGCTCAGTGCTTATGCCAGCACGCCCTTGGTACTTGGCACGCCAGCAGTGGCGTCATGTTTGATAGCAATGCGCAGTGCAACAGCCAGAGCCTTAAAGGACGCCTCGGCGCGGTGGTGGTCGTTGCGGCCGCGCAATACGTCAACGTGCAACGTCAGACGCGCAGCGCTTGCAAAAGACTCGAAAAAGTGCGTAATCATCTCACACGACAGCTCGCCTATGCTCGGACGCACTAGCTCCAGATTGATCTCGCTGTGTGCGCGGCTCGAAATGTCCACAATAGCGCGCGACAGCGCTTCGTCCAGCGGTACACAAGCGGATCCAAAGCGAGCGATACCCGCACGGTCCCCGAGTGCTGCATCAAAAGCTTCACCGAGCGTGAGCGCACAGTCTTCCGTTGTATGATGGTCGTCAATCCACGTGTCGCCTTTGCACTCGAGCTCGAGATCAAAACGGCTATGCTTGGCCAACGCCGTCAACATGTGGTCGAGAAAACCGATTCCCGAGCTCACCTGTATAAATCGATATCAACATATCAACAAGAGACAAGAAAACGTACATATCGACCACATGGTGCATCAACGTGAGACCTTGACCCTTTCTCCCAGCACATCGTCACGTTGGGAATCAAACAGCTGTCACATTACCTTGGACTTGCCTGTGCCGTCCAATGACAACTTGACGTTGATTGATGTCTCGTTTGTCACACGACAGATGGTTGCTTCTCGCTTACCAGCTGTCTGCTGCCTCGTCTCAGCACTTGCTTTTGATTTGTTGCTTTTCACCGCTGGAATGAGGTCCAGAAGCTCTGCGAGTCCGGGCTTCAATACCCTTGACGCGCCCAATTCCATCAGCACTGTTTCGATTCTTGCTGGTGCCTGCTCAAGCACAGACCTGGCATGATCAAGTGGTGTCAATACGCCATAGACTACTGTGCCGGCTCTGCGCGCTGCGATCACGTCATCGACGGTATCGCCGACCATCACCGCGTCTTCTGGACGCACATTGAGGGCTTCGAGCGCCAGTCGAATGGGCTCGTCTGACGGTTTCGGCAGACAGTCCTCCATGCAAATTAAAACAGAAAACAGATCTTCAATGTCGTGCGTGCGTAGAAACGCGACGCAGTCTTTCCGTGGACGACCCGTGACGACCGCCATGCCTTTTGGCAGTCGGCAACGTAACTCTTGCAGCAACCCAACAGGAGTAACCAGCGTCTCGAGCTCGCAGAGACCAGGCGTGGTACCCTCTCCTTGGTACATGGCTTCGAACTGGGCAGTCACCACTTCAAGCGATGGGGCAGTACTACTGCTGGTGGCGGCGGCAATAATGAGCCGATGCGTCAGTTGCCAGTCGTTGTTCGCATTGCCTTCGAGTTTGAGTCGCTCAATGTCCTCGTGGGTGACGGAAGCGCCGAAGTGACGCGCAGTGTCAATGATCGCCTGGCGGTACGACTGAGACACTTCGGCCAGCACGCCGTCCATGTCGAGCAGCAACGCTTGGACGGGAGGAGGCATGGTCACAAATGCAGTGGCGTGTGCCGGAATATCGGTACCTTTGCAAATCAACTTGGTGAGCTATAATTGGTTGAGCGGAATAGTAGTACTAGCAACTGTAGTACTAGCAGTAGTAGTAGTAGTGGGAATGGTGGTGTAAGTATCAATAGTAATAATTGGAACAGCAGTAGAGGTCGTAGTAGTAGCAGTAGTAGTAGTAGGAATGATAGTGTTTGTTTCAATAGTAGTAATTAAAGAGCATGTTGTAAAAGCTGCAGTAGTAGCAGTAGGAATGATAGTGCTAGTATCTGTAGTAGTAATTGGAATAGTAGTAGAGGTTGTTGTTGTAGTAGTAGTAGTAGTAGTAGTAGTCAACGTCGTCGTAATTGCGGTTGCGGTTGCGGTTGTAATCACGGTTGTAGTCGTAGTGGTGATTTCAGTCGTACGATTGGGTGCATGTACGCAGCAGCACTTTCCATTAGTTAGTCTTTGCGTTTGATAAAGACTACTAAGTGGTCCTGACAAGCGTGATGGAGTCGATTCGGATATTAAAGCGGGTGTGCAATCGTACATAGTCCATCGACGCTCCAAGGTCTGCGGCTAGAGAGAGACACTTAGGCTGTGCAAGTATGGGTAGACGCGCCCTCCAATCGAAATACGTGCAATCGCCCACAAGTCGCGGCACACTTAAAAGAGCTACGAGTGCTGTCCAGTCAGTGGGACCTTGACTGATGCGTTATAGAGATAGAAAGATGTGGGTTCATGGCACGATGTGGAATGCCACTCGTGATCTACTGCGCTAAGGGGTGTAAAATCATAAACAGCATTTACTTGACAGGCTCGTGACCGCTGCTATCATCATCTCACACAGTCTCTGTGACGCACGTCGTCTTCAAAATACAAAATACGTATTTTCAATGGCTCTACTAAGTCGAACGCGTGTCAGTTATGCAGCACACAGGCTTGCCATCATCCCGGAGACAGAGCGACGATGGTGGATGTGGACAAATGTCGCTCTGACTGTCGATTGACTCAATGATAGGACTTCGCGCGACGTAGTATCGAGTTGTCTCCATCTTGTAGTCAGACACACACGATATTCCTGAGTCAAACGGGCCGACCTGTCTCCGCAAATCGGCCGCTGGACTGAAAACAGCCATCCGACGGAGGTCGTCTCGTGTGCCATGTCTTGTACGAAATGACCATCAGCATCCATAGCCAGTCAGACTGACTTGAAATCGCCGCAATTATCTGAAACGTACCACTCCACTAAACTTTCGACTGTTTCAACACGGGATCGTGGACGTGAAGTTCAGCAACTTGTCAGCCTTTGCGGTGCACTCGTGACCCTGCGATACCTGTAAATGCTCGTAGATAAGCAGGTACTTCAATCGCACATACAACTATCTGCATGGGGATGAATTGCGGTAGAGTGGTCTGTGTCGCTTTGATCGTGAGCATCAACTTGACTCCATTTCTTCGTATACCTTTACGATGACCACACGACGACCACTATTGCGTGGGACCTTGGCTCTGCAGTGCTATTGTTTCACTCGTAAGGCAGCGGTCAGTTGAGAGTAAGCTATCCGACTGCTCATCCGGGAGGCTTTCTTGCTGATTGATTCCTCCATGAGGACGGGCTCCGACAGTTTCTCATGCGACTTTTCGAGACGAAAAATTAGACTCGTACCCACCTGGAAAAGAACCCTCTGTGTCAGTCTTTGGTAGCGCTTCAGAACTTCTTGGTGCAAGTCGCAAGAGGCTTCTGAGAAGCTCTGCGTCTTATCGCCAGAGAAAAAGACACAATAAACTCCATGCTACGATTGGGAACGAAGCAGGGGGAAGTGCGATCTAAACGTATCGCACCCGTAAAAAGTGTCGACACGGCATTTGCGACTGTGCGCATTTCTTCGGTGTTGAGAACACGTTTTGGCATCTAGCTACTACGAAACGGTAAAGTGCGTGCAAAGCTGCAGTCGAAATACAAGTACATCTCGTGACAGAAGGTCACGTCAATAACGTTCATCCATTCTAGTCCGTCGTATAAACCCAAGTACACTTCTTGCCGGCACTTGTCGATTATTGATTTTCGCACCGTAGCCAACACTTGATTCGGCAAAGAACTGAATTGAAAGGTGAAGCTGCGACCGACAGAGAGTGCTGAGAACTCAAAATGATCCCAACTGGAGAGCTGCACAGCCGCTTGATGGTGATACAAACCTACATCCGATGCATCGAGGAGTTCGATGCTCGTTCGATCCGATTTATCCGCGTCACCTTTGATTCAACAGCTGCGAGGTTTACAGCTTATCTTACCAAGTACCACACAAAGCACTTGGTTTCTCGTTTAGTCCATGTCAGAGCGATTAACAAGGAAAAGCGACTCATCGCCGAGGAAATCGACCACTTGCATACATCGATCAATGCACTGTATGTAACGAGTGGGCCAACGATGAATAACTCGTTCAAGAATCGTGATTACTCTCCGGTATCAATGACAAAACACGACACGACATACACATACGACAGCACGTCGGAGAACAGCTCGTTTAATGACGGCATGTTTGATGACACAACGTTGGATGACAAACGGGAGCTCGAACAACCACAGTCGATTGAGGCAGAAGAGAGCGAAGCTGTGAGTCCTATGATCGATGCAGAAGACGAAACAATCGCCAAAGCGTGGATACCTCGCAACGAGGTGGTCATTGAGGCGTTTGTTAGTCGTGGGGCATTCGGTGAAGTGTACCGAGGGACATACAAAGGAGAGACTGTTGCAGTCAAAACAATGAGCGACATGGAAAGGTTCATGAAGGAGATCAAGATGGTGGTTGCATTGAGCCACTCCAACATTGTCCAATTTATCGGCGTGGCGTGGAACTACCGTCAAGATTTATGCTGTGTCATGGAATTCATGGACGGCGGCGATTTAAGGACATTGCTCGACCACTACGAAACCGAAACGTATCCAATTGGATTCGGCTTTCAAAAGCTATTGATCGCCTACCAAGTAGCTCGTGCTCTTGTCTACATGCACTCCCGTGACGTGCCCGTGATCCATCGCGACCTCAAATCCAAGAACATCTTGCTAACTCAAGAATTAGATGCGAAAGTGACTGACTTTGGCATGTCTCGAGACCGCGTGGTCGGCCCCATGACAGCAAATGTCGGCACTTCATTGTGGATGGCACCGGAAGTGATGCTCGGGAACCCGTACGACGAGACGGCCGATATGTTTTCCTTTGGCGTTGTGCTATCGGAACTTTCAGTGCACGCGCTGCCATACTCCCACACAAAAGTTTGTTCGGGAGGGAATTCGCAATTGGTGATTCTCCGTCGAGTTGCAATGGGCGATTTGAGGGTGGATTTCGCTGATACGGGACCACAGGCGGTAGCAAAACTCGGTCGATCGTGTGTGTCGATGGATGTCAAAGAGCGACCAACAGCAGTGGAAGCGATGCACGTACTTCATGCTGCGCTTCAACAGGAAGCACGTATGGAGGTTATTAAGACGTGCAGTCTATAAGATTTCATTGGAGCACCAGCAGTAGCAAACGGCACAATATCCGTGAAGTAACAAATATGACAATAAAAGAAAGTTGTCGTCCCACCGGTAAAACTGCCCACCGTCATAAATCTCGACATTGACTTTAATCCTGATGTCTGATTCCGACAGATACTTCACCAGTCGAATGGACTTATCCAACTATTACCGACTTGACGAAGACAGGTCCGTCGTCACAATTGACAGCAGTCCGCCGCTTCGTCCTTCGTCGAGCTCCGTCGTCCGTTCGCTTCCATCAGATCACGATCGTGCATCTCGTTGTCCACCGGAGGAATCGGTACACGACCAGACAAAGGACTGGGCGTCTGACGACGGTATCGAATATGATGTAAGGCAGTTGCGTCATACCGGTAGTGACAGTGTCACTACCAGTCCTGCGTTATCCGACCGTATACCGGGGCAGTCTTCGTATTGCGAAAATTGTCGTTTACCAGTGTACCGCAATGGAAAACCGGTTTCACGTCGACCGGTTGTTTACGAAAATAAATTACCAAATGAAAACCTTTCTTCACCTCGACGTCGTAAGAAAAGAACGACACCCGTGCCAACATTACTGCATGGGAAAAATATTCTACTTGAGATCATGACTATCGATTCCATTGAGTCGAATAACCGCGACTCGGATTCAATGGACTGGTCAACTAGTCTTGGGGCGATCGAAGAAAATGAAGATTTGTCGTTGATGGACCCGCTCTACGATCTCACATCGGCGCGAATGAAAAAATTGTTTTCGTCATTCAATCCGCAAGGTCCGGTGTCCAGTCACGTTTTATTCTATTTTTATTATTTACGGATTTTCTCGATTTTTATTATTCATCGGGTTTTAAAGTAAACTTGTTCCTGTTCATGTCTTTCTTACTTGCTATGGTCATAGATAACGGAATGGTGTCGTACGAAGGATTTCGATGTGGTTTAGCAGCAATGGGCATTGCTTGCAGTGACGACCAGCAGTTTCAAGCATTCATTGAAAAAATGGACGACGATAAGAGCGGTGGAATCACTTATTGCGAGTTTGTTAACGCTATTCAGGAGATCAAACTCGCACAGCTGTTTAACGAAGAGTATTTGCGCAACATGCCGCTAGAGTACACGCACCTCAAGCATGAAAGCAGAAGAAGGAATAAGGCTGTGCTTGGATCGATTGAGTATTCTCCAGACCGGATTCGTAGCGTACATCCGATCGACCAAATCCGGAGGTTTATTTACTCGACGAAACCAAGTTGGGCCTCTGTACGATGGATCAATGTTGAAGGTATCGATCCTCTCTTGATGCGACGATTGTCGGTACGCTATCGACTTCATCCACTGGCTGTTGAAGATACGCTTGATGCCGATGTTGAGCGTCCAAAGTACGAGGAGTATGACGAACACTCGTCACTTATCGTGCAGACCATCCACGCGCGTGACTTGTACATGGTGAGGAACTACCAGAGCATGTATCGTGCCTCATTGTACGTGCAAGACAAGGACGTGTCACCGTTTGAATGCATGACGAAAAAGGAATTGGAAGATCATTTGAGAAAGCTCAATATTGGCTGTGTCATGACAGCACCACAACAGCTTAGTCTGTACATTATGGATGATGTCCTGATCAGTGTTCAGGAGAGCTCAAGTACATTATGGGCGATGCTAAAACAGAGATTGGATCGATCGTACTCGAAGGTCCGTCAACACGGTACTGCTTTTCTCGTCTATACGATTGTAGACGTTTGTGTGGATGAGTTGACACCTATCACGCACACTTTTGGGTCTAAACTTATCATGCTTGAGCGACTGCTGAGCATGGACCTTCGCTACTTCGATGTGAGAAGAATCGCATGTTGTTCGAAGCAAATCAAGGGGCTTCAAGTTCTTTGTAAACCAATGAGCGAGGTTATCATACAGCTTTCAGAAGCTGAAGAGTTTGAGGGAGAAACATTGAGGTATCTTCGTGATGTTTTGGACCACGTTGCGACTATTGAAGAAGACTGTGAGCGACATTTAGATCGCTGTCGCAGTCTCATGGAAGATTTTCACAATGCTCGAGCTGCCCAGCAGAACGACGTGAGTTACATTCTGGCTCTGGTCGCCGCTATCTTTTGCCAGCTCAGTTTCTCACTGGACTCTATGGCATGAATTTTACGAACATGCCAGAGCTTGAGCATCACGATGGCTACTTCATCTGGTGGGCGGTCGTTCTCTTGATGCGCTTGCTACAATTGCGTTTTTTAAATTCTACAAGAAGTGGCTATAACGTGGCAAAATAAGAAGCGAGTCGCAAGTTCGCTCGATCGTATTGCTGACTACTTGATTATTGCTGTTGCTACTCAATAGGAGCTGTTGAAGTGGTAGTCTTGATCGACCTACTCGCACGTCTTTTGCTTGATGTGCTTGGTGATACAAAACAATGGTATTGGCCGTGCATGTCCGCCAATTGCTTTGCAGTTGACACATTTTAGTCGTCTCTTAAGCCAGAATTTTGCTCTCGTACATGATACAATCATCACGCGAAAACGACAGCATTCGAGCACACAATGCAGCTTGTACAGCCTTAACGGTCCAAAAACGATGTAACTCGAAAAGCAAGAGCGGAAGTAGCAAAAAGTTTTGCGGTAGGTTTTTTACTACGTTTCGGATTGTCAGGCGCAACACTTGTATGCATGCTGCACATTTTCGGTATGCCGCTATGTGTATTTACGGTCAACAGTTTGTGTCGACGCACCTTCAGTTGAAACGTCAGTGGTAACTCGAAGCATGTCTACGAGCCTCGTTGTTACCATGATTTTGGAATAGTGTACAGGGATCGTCTGACAAAGTAGCGACGGGCACAGTACAGAGCTGACGTCCATATAAATCTCTTCGGCGAAGACATCACATGGCATATTTTTTTGGTAGTATCAAAAAGTCGGTTAAAAATAATAGGAGAAGTACTCGATCGCCACGACCTTCTTGTTCCGTCACCGGCGGTTTTACTTAATTAGGCAAAACAAACCCAATTTCAGAGCAAATGGGGAAATGTAGCAACGATAGACGTTTGTCTGAGAGCATGGACTGAGGTGAGGTTTGTTTCCTCTCAACACGCAACCTTTTAGTTTACCGCGTTCTCGTAGCATCCTTCTCACGAGGCGCAACAAACTCGACCATTTTGGCGCGCTTGCGTTTCTGCGCCTTTGGACGGTTTCCGCGTATACCTACCGCTTCTCAACCGCCTTGTGTTCGACCTCATCCATAAAGTACTTGCCACTCTCAACATCGGTGTTCACCTGGCTGGCCCACGTGCCGTCGGGAATGGCACGCATGCTTACTTTCCTCGTACCCATTTCGGCTTCTCCGGATGCACATGATGCTCTTTGTGAACATAAGAAGCGCTACCAGTTCGAATGAAACGATTACAAACGACGAGTGCATGTAAAAATCGATGAAGTCGCAAACATATCTGTTCTGGGGACGCGGCGACGGGGCGTTTCCCTGTTGGATAAGATTTTGGGTTGTTGTCACCTGATCGGGTAAAACTACCGGCGACGAGTAACAAGGTAGCGGCGATCGAGTGATTTCCAAACAACGTGCATGAAGAACTGCAAGCGTGCTGTCGGTGACGAAGAGAAGGCTCTCAACGACATGACGGAGTTAAAACGTGTTAACGTCCGATGTCATAATTTTTCGACTCTTTTCTGGAGTGCAAAAGTAGATCTATTTTGCTTTCGACGAACGGCAAGATATCATTGCTTGCACGAAGGTAATTCGTACGTACACGTCATTGCTATCACACTCTTTATACAAACATTATCGTCGTCTGCTTACTATCTCGTCCATGGCCGCTCGATTGATTACAGGAAGTGAAGATGATGACCCCAAAATTTGCTAAAAGTCAATTATCCGTCCAAATGTAGAGGCACTCCACGTTTGGTTGAACAAACACGAGTATTGGTACTCGGTTCTTTTCTTAGGTGCCATTATGGCAGATGATCGATCAAATGCGCTCTTTCATATCTTTATACACCATAGATGAGGTCATGTCCCCTAGTCTATCTCGCGTTGATACATACTGTCCACCAAGAAGCGGTATGACCGTCGCCCATCGAATCGATCAAGCTTTGATACTAGATTCAACTTTACCGCATATTAGGTAAGAAATTGCGTTTCCACAACACGCTTTGTGTCGTTTCGACCACATTACGAAAAAGGGGAGGGAGACATACGCATATGTGAGGGTGTAGAGTAATTTGAGGCAAAAGCCGATGTAATCATATTTCATGTCATTAGCTCACTACCATGAGCTTTTATATAACGCTGTTCCATGGAAATCCTCTAAAACTTCCATGAAACGCTGATGATTTATTTTATAAATCATTATAATAACATCATGAAACGTACCTGTTCAGCGGTGTAATATTAACAGAGGGGAATTAATAAATACATTCACATTTTACTAGATACAGCCATACACCACATCCATCCTACAGCACAATATGCTTTGTACGACAAATATTGCGCCGTTATGCCTTCTTAAAGGCCGCTTTCACAAAACAGTATGCAATACACTGTCGTGCAAATGGTAAATAATTTTATCAGTCAATATTATTTTGACTGACAATGGGCCTAACGCAGATCCAGGATGGGCTTGATCCAAAATGCATGTAGCTACATATAACAATTCTTAGTATCCGATTATGTCCGGTGAAACGTAGATCGTTGTTTCTTACATATTTGCATCTGTCTCGATTGAAAGTGGCTGTTGCCATTTCCGAGACGCAAATAGAAACCTAGATGTATTCGACATGTTATAGTTACAAGTGGATCATGACATCTGTCAAGTCTTTAACAAAGGCATAGAGTTTTTGTAGTCTGTTACGTGCTCAAAGAGGTATTCCAGATAGAATCATCTTTTATATGCACGACACATGCATATTTTTGTGCGATTGCGGTCGTATAGTGGTATGGATGGTGGAGCAAAATGTGCCGTACAACATATTGTGGTGTGGTCCGGATTCAGTACAAAGTGGGGGTTTATTTTACAATACTCGTATTTTTTGTACGATTTTAAAGTACGTATGCTTATTGTTTCCACTACGCTACGAAAAAAACGATGCATGCATTTCCACACACCGTTTCGCTCTCTTTTAGAATTTTGTCGTTGCTACATATATTTCACATCAGAAAACTCTGCAGTGCAAAACCGTACGATAAAAGGATCGACAAGAAACGACCGTGGATCGCCTGAGCGATCGTCGGGACACACGCGAGCAGTGGTCGGGTACAAGACCGGTTCACTGATCCAACCGATGTATGAATCACTATGGATCAGACGAGGGTAGGCATCTACATATATGATTAATATGGTCGGTGCAGACACATTCATAAGGGGGTATATGATAGCATGAATGTTGCCGCGGCTGTGTTAAGGAAACCTTGTTATGGCACTTGTGCTTGTTGTGGTTTCATGAGCCACAATAAATGCGACAATTTTCTTGTTTAGATGCAATCTCGAATTCAGACTGCTCACTCTTCGTCGATAACGTGTTCTTTTGCTGATCATACGGCCGGCTTTTTGTTGACCTTGGCGAAAGGAATCAGCAAGGCCTATAATGGAACCGGTGCTGAGATTTACAACTAGGCATATTATGTAATTAGCGCTGAGATATGGAAGTAGGCCTATCCGATTTTCCGTTGTTGGTGACCATTTCGAGCACACCTTCTCATCGTCTGGAACCTCTCTTGTAAGGTATTGTGGTAGTGTGTGGGTAGAAGGTAGGCGGCTAATAGTTTTAGGAGGCTGAAATAGTTTTAAATGATACAATGCTTCTGATGGTAGTAAGCTTAAGCGGCTCTGCTCCATTCATCTGCACCAAAGATGAGCATGGGACAGCCACTATGTTTTGTGAAACATCTTGACAAACTGACAAGGTAGTCTGGAGGGCACGATTGTACGCTATGTAATAAAAGGCTTCACAAGAGAGAAATAGTATTAGCGCCATCAGCGTCGTGTTTATACATGGTAAGAGCAGCACTTCAGCGTCTATAACCTTGAGCAGGAATTCTAGATTAATTTGCGTAATGTGCAAATCGAAATAGACGCACACATATTTGCTGATTTTTGCGTGGTGTGTAGTGACGTAAAATAATAAGAAAGGGTACTGTTACAACCGCACTTCATTTGTCGTGCTTCAGCCACGCTTCTTTCGTGCTGTAGCGAAAATTATAACGGCTTACCCTTTGCTTGGGTGCCACGAAACTTATCGTACACTCGTACGTGCAGAGGAAGATAGTCTACACAAACTGCTAGTTCGCGCAAAAGGTAAAAAGAGAACTGTATTTAATACAGTAGAGCTATCAGTATAACTTCAGTCCTTATCTAACTATACTAATCTACATTGTCGTATGACGACAACGTGCTCATCCCCCTTTACGCGCGCCTAACAGCGATTGGTTGTAATCTTGGTACGTATGTCTTTTGTCAATCTATCTTTGAGCAGCACGTGAATTTTATCCTAGGGATGACATTCCTTCAATATAATCAATCTCGGGTAATATTGGCAGGGGATTGTCACGCTTGACAATCTTCCTATTGACTCTATCTGGTGTCAATAAAATGTGCTTCTTCGTTACAGTGGCAATGTGGGGCATATCTACGTAATTGTTACTTGAGATGGCAGAATAATTAAATCTTGTGGACTCACGATGAAGTCGATTTTGTTTCTGCGCGGACACTTAACAGTTCTGCTCACCACGCTGAGGTGCCACATATACAGTTCTGCTCACCACGCTGAGGTTGACACCAAACGGAGTCAATAGGAAGATTGTCAAGCGTGACATTCCCCTGCCAATATTACCCGAGATGGGTTATATTGAAGGAATATCATCCCTAGGATAAAATTCACGTGCTGCTCAAAGATAGATTGACAAAAGACGTATGTGCCAAGATTACCACCAATCGCTGTTAGGAGCGTGTAAAGGGGATGAGCACGTTGTCGTCATACGACAATGTAGATTAGTATAGTTGGACAAAGACTGAAGTTATACTGATAGCTCAACTGTATTGAATACAGTTCTCTTTTTATCTTTGCGCGACTATCAGTTTGAGTAGATCAGCTTCCTCTGCGTCTAGTGTACGTAAAGTTTCGTGGCACCCCGACAAAGGTGCCCCCTTACACCTGGTAGCACTATGTAGTCCGTCCAACGAATACTTGAGTGTCCGTTCAACATGAACATGTTGGACGTAAGAAGACGACAGCTTTCACGTCACACGTAAAATCTACTCACAAATGAGTGACTCATAATTGGAGATAGCGTATTCATCAGCGATCCGCCATCAGTGGCACGTCGGATTCTTTAATCAGAGACTAACAACACGCCGCTATCAACAAGTTCCTACAAGGGGAAATTGATGTCAAAAGACAAGAAGATAGCCTCCGCTTCAACAGCAAGACTCTCATAAGTCAATGGGCAGGCCGACGCACGCGCGTCGACCAGAAACAGTGAAGGTAGATATCTCAAGGTACATGGGAACCGAAGAAGATTCCCTTTTGAGATAGTTCGTCGAGTTAGACGACTCCATAAGATCCCGTCACATCGATGGTGACGAGATGCAAGTCACCTTCGCCCTGTCAAATTTGACAGGACGAGCAAAGACTTGGGCCTTAGGGCTCAAGGTTCGCGACCCAATGTGTTTGAGTCGTTAGAGACCTTGAAGTCTCGGCTCAAGAAAAGTTTGAAGCCACCAAGAGCCGAGTTCAGAGCACGCTCTGCACTCCTGAGGCTCAAACAAAATAAGCGTGATGTGCACGCTTACGCATTACATATCCACTACCTTGCGTGCAGCATCACGGGAAAACCCTATTGATGAGCACACGCTCATCAACATGTTCATGTACGGTCTTGCATATGAACCGCTGAATACCTACATGTTCCGAGAGGACTTCCATACGCTGGAAGAGGCGATAGCGTATACGGAACAAGAAGACTTCCAGCTTGATGCAGTCTCAGGATAACTCGTCAAACTATCGCTAGACGAGATGACAGGAAACCGGAGGTCCCGAACCAATGGACCTCTGTGATATCGAGAGCGAGAACTCTCGCTCTGCGAGTCACAAGCGATCGGCAAGGTGCCATCGCTGTCAGAAGATCGGACACTACGCTCATGAGTGTAGTGTCCCAAGCACCGCAACACGTCCAAAGACAGGACTTGATGGCCGTTGCTGGCCAAAGAAAGGTCTAAGGCGCGGGTTCGACCATGTCGCTAAACCGCGACAGCAAGTCGAACCGCCAAAAAACGGTCAGGGTCAGTAGGGGCGGAGAGCCTTACTAATCCAGCGACGTCAAGAGCATTTGCAGGACTCTTGATGAAAATTGCTCCCATCACGCAGTCTCTTTGTGTTACTGCCCCTAGTGATGAGGAGTCTTTCATTACTTTGAAGATCGAAGTGACAAGAGGAATGTCACTTCGCGCCCTAGTTGACTGTAAGGCGTCGAACAGTTTCATTCGACGCCAGTCGCTGGGGGATAGTAGACTCAACTATGTTGAGCGAGAGATCCCTTCGACGAGGATGACGGTGTGCCTTGCAACAGGCGCATACTTAACAGTGAATTAACGTGTAGTGGGTATCTGCTACATGCTAGAAGGAAGGCATTACAACAATGACTCCATCGTACAGGATTTGGATGACAAATGTGATGTAGTTCTCGGGTCTGCCATGGCTTAGAAAATACTAGCCATGGATCAGCTGGTAGCATTGATCTGTAAAGATGTATGATGTTTGTTCATCAGATGACCATATGATGAACGTCTTGGAGCGTCCAAAAGAGTACGGATGTACTACGAGTGAGTGCGATGGCCTCACTTGCGGTACGGTCGTTAGTAACTTCACAAGATTATAGTATAGAAGGCCACTACACTCTGGAAACAGCTTCCGGCACCTGTGTAGAGACACAGGCTTCGCCGAAGGCTCACCACTCGAAAAGATAGAGTGGATTGGGACATGGATGCACACCAAGCAGGGTACATCCAAGAAGATAGATGGTGTTGTTCATGGTGAACAACACGTTAAAGCAAGATCGACTAACAGGCAGTCGATAGTAAAGCAAACACGATCGACTAAAAGAGAGCCGATCGAAAACGAAATTACTGAGGCAGTGCACCCACAGTCAGAACACGTATTGGAAGAAAGTTCCAGCGTTTCTGAGAGTGACAACTCCCGAGAGAGTTATGTTAATGGTGTGTTTCCCCAACCACCTGCGGATGTGCTTTCCCAGGAAAGCACCGAGACAGCGAATATCTTGGTGAATGACGAATCAAGTGCAGGCGCTTATACACTTGAGCTGGTTACACCTCCGAAGTTAGCTTCGGAAATAATCAAGTTGCCAACGCTAGAATCTAATAGATTCTTGTGAGATCTGCGTAGTGACAAGACCAAGCAGATCTGCGTACTCGTCACAAAGGACGAGTACGTCGCAGATATTCGTTCGGCACAAGTGTTTACTGAGAACGAACGAGTTCTCAGTAGCTCATCGATGAACGAAGTGTCCCTGGATGAGAAGACCCGGATTGAGCAGTACGCGTCTCAATCTTGGGAGTATTTGAAGACAAATCCTTTGTATAAGGATTTGGTCGAATTCCGATATGTTTTCCCTAATCCGTGCCATGCGAGTTATCGACAAATTTTTAGTGTCTAAAACGATAGAAATGCGCGCTTACGTGAGAGTGGCTACCGCTCGTAATTTAGTCATATATTGCATTTTTAATACTTTGTGTCGTTGTCAAACCTCCGCACAGACTGAAAGCCGCTGTGGCATCTACCCTCTCTCATCAAGTTTGGAATACGTCGTCTTAAAGCGGCGGCTAGTTTTGTGTCACGAATACTGCGAGTGTAGAGCGATTGAATTGTACCGATCGAACATGTCGTAGTATAGGAGCCAGAGACGAGAAATTTGCGGACGACTGTCGTACCAAGTACGCTCTTGTGTAGGTGTGTGCACTTACGCGATTTCCGTTTAGTGCACACACCTCAAGAGCGTACTTGTACCAACCTGCTTAAATGAAAGTTTAAGCAGGTTGGTACAAGTACGCTCTTGTATTTGTGTAGCATACCGTATGATGGTACCGTATCATACGGTATGCTACACAAATACATTTTCACATATATTGACCAATCATGATTGACTGTTTTGAATGCTCGCTGAATGGAAGAAAAGAGGTTGAATATTACCGAAGAAAGTGAATCTCACAGTTCCCGATTTTTAACTCACACGAATATCATGTGACGGACTCTCCACATTACACGATCGATTAGTAAATGGGCACGACTACAGGTACGACCTAGAGTAGATGTTGTTTCGTGTCTCCTCGGAAAGCGACATGCTTTACAATCCCTACGCAGCAAATCGACATGCAAATAATAATCAAACCTTTTTGACCCTCACATGAGATCTTTGCAAATTCGGAACAGTGCTCTAGCTTGAACATTTGCTTCACGTTGTGATTTTGGAATGGTGATCCAGCGCCAGGTAAATTGCTACGCTATACAGATGCGCCCAGGGTCATACAATGCGCATAGATAAACTCTACTTGTAACTACGTCTTGATCAAGTAATAGTATCGCTTTCAACGATGAGCTCGTCATCCCGGTTGCACTAGCGTCCTTACGACGTGTGTCAATGAAAATTTGCCAAATGGTTCAGTCGACCAACTAGTAGTGCGATAACACCTGCTAATGCTGTGCGACGTGCAAGAGCACGTGAACGCTCGATTTGAGTATAAATAATAGCTCTTTGTAGTTAGAAAAGTACGTACGCTTGTTATCGCACCATTCGCCCACATTTGACTGCGAGCTTGATTCTGTCTGGTCTGCACATTTTCTCGTTGTTACGTATAAGCAATCGCGCTCAGTGCAGGATACGATTCTACAATACAAAAATGAATAAAATGGGATATGTCGAAGGTGAATTGGTCACCGATTGAGATGCCTGGATAGACTAAACAAGCTACAGGCAAGTTAAATGGAATAAGGCGCATAAATCCACCTTGTCTGTCTATCTGTTCCCGCTGCCAGCATCAATCGGGAGATGCAGTACGCCAAAGTATCTGTCAAAGTGGACAACCATTGTGTGTCTTGACAGCGCTTTTCGTCACTTCTCGACGACAACACGCTCACGCGTGCAACAAATGTTTGCGCAGTTGTTCTAAAAACACGAACGTCAGTAGCGTCTGGGGCCCGAGTCGCATGTATGCTGGCAGCCACCCCTTGTACAGTCCCCTCACTCCTTCGTGCTTGATGACCTGCAGGAAGCAATCGGTGGCACTTGTGTACTCCTGGGCGTGCGTATTCATCAGCCTTGTTTTGACGACATCAGCCGGGGCACAAGCCGTCGTAGCCACCAATCCAGCCACCACACTAGCCACAACGTGAGTCTGAAGATCGTCCTGCATCAGCACCACCTGGTTCGTTAGAAGTGTCGATTTCGTCAAGTCGTAGGCTGCGATTTGCCCTGTCGTGAGCAACATGGCTCGGATCATATTCGGTCGAACGCCGCGCAGTAACGCTGCAAGTCCCTCCTCTTTTTTCGACTCGAAGCAGTCCGTCGACCGCATGTTTGTAATTGCGTCTCTTCTCGGCTGGCAAGCGACTATCGGCCTGCATGCGGATGTTTACAATGTCGGCTGGGTTACCCATTATCCCCCCAAGCACTCCGCCAATCATCCCAAGCAGAACGTTGTGTCCCGTTGAGATAGGATTGTCGTCATTCCGACGCACGGCGTCATCTTTTAGATAGTGGTACACTGCAAATCGGGTGGTTGAGTACGTGCCCTCCCTCATCACCCCTCCCGAAATGCCCTGGTAGAGTCCACTGAGTCCCTGCTGCTGGAGAACTCGGCGGGTGGCGGTCACAAGTCCCCCATTCTTTGTCTTGGACGTTTGCAAGTGGATTTTCAGCAAGTCGAATGGGTGCGTGAAAAACACGGCGCCTACTGCAGATACACCGCCGAATGTGTAGCTGGTGAGAGGGGGCGCATCGATCCAGTAGGTGAGTCCATGTGAGGAAGCGACGGAGCTAAAGACGGACTGGAGTCACGAGTGCGTATAGAGTGTAAGAGTCAATTAAATGTTCCAAGTGACGATTGGTGAGCACGTTGACAGTAAATGTGCCGGATAGACTATTGAGTGTAAGATTGCAATGAAGTGCATCGCGTTGGTTGCATGCCAAGCCAAGTCGTACGAGACTTGGCTTGGGACACTTGAAAGGGAGAATGTCGTCCGTCGTGCAGAGAAAATGAGATGGTGGAGAGTGAGGTTTATTACAGAACCTCCTCTGACGGCCGTCAGTCTCGTTCAGTAGAAGAAAAGTGTTTAGGACCGGATTCAAGCGACATCTTACATGAGCTAGCCAGTGCTGCCACTCCGGGAAAAGCTACGTCTGAGGTTGTGCATTCCCGTTGAGCTGCCGAATTGAGCAACGGAGGGCGGCACGATCCATTAAACATGTTCAGCAAGCAATAGAAGCTGGAAGTAAAGCGACTGCAAATGGTATCGATGTCCATGTGCCGGGTAAGATTTCGGACTTACGTGACCCCTCACTCGCCAGAAATTCTTCAGATTTACACTACAAATTGCCCACAGCACGACGAAAGTCGCATAAAAACCATACATAATGTTCGATGGCGACATTGCACGCACCCAGTGATCTCTGTGACTTGGGGCCCGATTGTTATAAACTCGTACGCTGGTCGACACCTTTCTGCTTACAATTTCAATCGATTTTGGCTGTAAAGTACGACTGGCGTCCAGGCAAATGCCGCCTATCTTGAGACTGTCTTAGTCATCGGCGTGCACTTGCTGGCTTCCCCCAGCCATTGACTCACTTGAGATTTATCTGTCTGTGGTGAGGCCGATATAGCTACTACTGGACGTATATTCGTACTCGAATAGCAATCCACTAACCCGGTATGGTTTGTGGATCTATCTTCGGGGGGTACCAATCTGAATTTAACTTTGCTAGTTTCGCCACGTTATATGACTATTTAGAAACCACTGATTCGAGGACTGTGGATTCCGCACCTATCCGGTTGCTGTTTGCCTGAAAAGTACGAAACATGACGTGGTACACGCAGCGGTTTTTAACCGTTGTTGACCAATTGCACGTATTAGGGGGCGGACTACTAAGTGGTTCTCAGATCGCTACGTGATGACGAAGGTGCCGTCGGCAGAAGAGATGCTGGCTCTCGTAGATGCCACTACTGGGTCCAACGGGATGATGGATCAACTATGCAAAGCCTATGGATACAGCTGCAAGAACAACATGCGCTGATTCAAGCTCACGGCCACAGGTCCCGCCCACGTACCGGTATGTTAAAATGTTATTTTTGACTAAGCGTTATCAAAAAGTACACTAACCAGGGTTATTTAACCGATGTTCTGTTAGATGCTAAAGCAGCTGTTAGTGAGTCTACCGGTTTGGAAAGATGATTGATTGTTCTGAAGTAGCTCAACTTGAAAGGCATGTATCCATCCCGCAATCCAGGACGGACCATCTCTAAATTCGACAGTTATAAAGACGGGAAAGTATTCCATTAAGTATGAAAAAAAGGCTATTGAATGGATTATGGGTCTGGAAAAAGGATCCCATCGAGCTAAAGCACTTTGGATGGGACGTCAGTGCTCGTCACAATTGAGCAGAGTCCGCCGCTTCGTCCTTCGTCGAGCTCCGTCGTCCGTTCGCTTCCATCAGATCACGATCGTGCATCTCGTTGTCCACCGGAGGAATCGGTACACGACCAGACAAAGGACTGGGGCGCCTGACGACGGTATCGAATATGATGTAAGGCAAAGTTGCATCATACCGGTAGTGACAGTGTCACGCCAGTCCTGCGTTATCCGACCCGTATACCGGGGGCAGTCTTTGCATTGGTGAAAATTGTCGTTTACCAGTGTACGCAATGGAAACCGGTTTCACGTCGACCGGTTGTTTACGAAAATAAATTACCAAATGAAAACCTTTCTTCACCTCGACGTCGTAAGAAAAGAACGACACCCGTGCCAACATTACTGCATGGGAAAATATTCTACTTGAGATCATGACTATCGATTCCATTGAGTCGAATAACCGCGACTCGGATTCAATGGACTGGTCAACTAGTCTTGGGGCGATCGAAGAAAATGAAGATTTGTCGTTGATGGAATTCCCTCTACGATCTCACATCGGCGCGAATGAAAAAATCGTGCTTTCGCCATTCAACCCAGGAGGTCCGGTGTCCAGTCACGTTTTATTCTATTTTTATTATTTACGGATTTTCTCGATTTTTATTATTCATCGGGTTTTAAAGTAAACTTGTTCCTGTTCATGTCTTTCTTACTTGCTATGGTCATAGATAACGGAATGGTGTCGTACGAAGGATTTCGATGTGGTTTAGCAGCAATGGGCATTGCTTGCAGTGACGACCAGCAGTTTCAAGCATTCATTGAAAAAATGGACGACGATAAGAGGGCGGTGGGAATCACTTAGTCAGAGTTTGTTAACGCTATTCAGGAGATCAAACCTCGCACAGCTGTTTAACGAAGAGTATTTGCGCAACATGCCGCTAGAGTACACGCACCTCAAGCATGAAAGCAGAAGAAGGAATAAGGCTGTGCTTGGATCGATTGAGTATTCTCCAGACCGGATTCGTAGCGTACATCCGATCGACCAAATCCGGAGGTTTATTTACTCGACGAAATGACAACCGTTGGGCCTCTGTACGATGGATCAATGTTGAAGGTATCGATCCTCTCTTGATGCGACGGTTGTCGGTACGCTATCGACTTCATCCACTGGCTGTTGAAGATACGCTTGATGCCGATGTTGAGCGTCCAAAGTACGAGGAGTATGACGAACACTCGTCACTTATCGTGCAGACCATCCACGCACGAGACTTGTCCATGGGTAAAAAGTACCAGAGCATGTATCGTGCCTCATTGTACGTGCAAGACAAGGACGTGTCACCGTTTGAATGCATGACGAAAAAAGAATTGGAAGATCATTTGAGAAAGCTCAATATTGGCTGTGTCATGACAGCACCACAACAGCTTAGTCTGTACATTATGGATGATGTCCTGATCAGTGTTCAGGAGAGCTCAAGTACATTATGGGCGATGCTAAAACAGAGATTGGATCGATCGTACTCGAAGGTCCGTCAACACGGTACTGCTTTTCTCGTCTATACGGATTGTAGACGTTTGTGTGGGATGAGTTGACACCTATCACGCACACTTTTGGGTCTAAACTTATCATGCTTGAGCGACTGCTGAGCATGGACCTTCGCTACTTCGATGTGAGAAGAATCGCATGTTGTTCGAAGCAAATCAAGGGGCTTCAAGTTCTTTGTAAACCAATGAGCGAGGTTATCATACAGCTTTCAGAAGCTGAAGAGTTTGAGGGAGAAACATTGAGGTATCTTCGTGATGTTTTGGACCACGTTGCGACTATTGAAGAAGACTGTGAGCGACATTTAGATCGCTGTCGCAGTCTCATGGAAGATTTTCACAATGCTCGAGCTGCCCAGCAGAACGACGTGAGTTACATTCTGGCTCTGGTCGCCGCTATCTTTTTGCCAGCTCAGTTTCTCACTGGACTCTATGGCATGAATTTTACGAACATGCCAGAGCTTGAGCATCACGATGGCTACTTCATCTGGTGGGCGGTCGTTCTCTTGATGCGCTTGCTACAATTGCGTTTTTTAAATTCTACAAGAAGTGGCTATAACGTGGCAAAATAAGAAGCGAGTCGCAAGTTCGCTCGATCGTATTGCTGACTACTTGATTATTGCTGTTGCTACTCAATAGGAGCTGTTGAAGTGGTAGTCTTGATCGACCTACTCGCACGTCTTTTGCTTGATGTGCTAGTGGTGATACAAAACAATGGTATTGGCCGTGCATGTCCGCCAATTGCTTTGCAGTTGACACATTTTAGTCGTCTCTTAAGCCAGAATTTTGCTCTCGTACATGATACAATCATCACGCGAAAACGACAGCATTCGAGCACACAATGCAGCTTGTACAGCCTTAACGGTCCAAAAAACGATGTAACTCGAAAAGCAAGAGCGGAAGTAGCAAAAAGTTTTGCGGTAGGTTTTTTACTACGTTTCGGATTGTCAGGCGCAACACTTGTATGCATGCTGCACATTTTCGGTATGCCGCTATGTGTATTTACGGTCAACAGTTTGTGTCGACGCACCTTCAGTTGAAACGTCAGTGGTAACTCGAAGCATGTCTACGAGCCTCGTTGTTACCATGATTTTGGAATAGTGTACAGGGATCGTCTGACAAAGTAGCGACGGGCACAGTACAGAGCTGACGTCCATATAAATCTCTTCGGCGAAGACATCACATGGCATATTTTTTTGGTAGTATCAAAAAGTCGGTTAAAAATAATAGGAGAAGTACTCGATCGCCACGACCTTCTTGTTCCGTCACCGGCGGTTTTACTTAATTAGGCAAAACAAACCCAATTTCAGAGCAAATGGGGAAATGTAGCAACGATAGACGTTTGTCTGAGAGCATGGACTGAGGTGAGGTTTGTTTCCTCTCAACACGCAACCTTTTAGTTTACCGCGTTCTCGTAGCATCCTTCTCACGAGGCGCAACAAACTCGACCATTTTGGCGCGCTTGCGTTTCTGCGCCTTTGGACGGTTTCCGCGTATACCTACCGCTTCTCAACCGCCTTGTGTTCGACCTCATCCATAAAGTAACTTGCCACTCTCAACATCGGTGTTCACCTGGCTGGCCCACGTGCCGTCGGGAATGGCACGCATGCTTACTTTCCTCGTACCCATTTCGGCTTCTCCGGATGCACATGATGCTCTTTGTGAACATAAGAAGCGCTACCAGTTCGAATGAAACGATTACAAACGACGAGTGCATGTAAAAATCGATGAAGTCGCAAACATATCTGTTCTGGGGACGCGGCGACGGGGCGTTTCCCTGTTGGATAAGATTTGGGTTGTTGTCACCTGATCGGGTAAAACTACCGGCGACGAGTAACAAGGTAGCGGCGATCGAGTGATTTCCAAACAACGTGCATGAAGAACTGCAAGCGTGCTGTCGGTGACGAAGAGAAGGCTCTCAACGACATGACGGAGTTAAAACGTGTTAACGTCCGATGTCATAATTTTTCGACTCTTTTCTGGAGTGCAAAAGTAGATCTATTTTGCTTTCGACGAACGGCAAGATATCATTGCTTGCACGAAGGTAATTCGTACGTACACGTCATTGCTATCACACTCTTTATACAAACATTATCGTCGTCTGCTTACTATCTCGTCCATGGCCGCTCGATTGATTACAGGAAGTGAAGATGATGACCCCAAAATTTGCTAAAAGTCAATTATCCGTCCAATGGTAGAGGCACTCCACGTTTGGTTGAACAAACACGAGTATTGGTACTCGGTTCTTTTCTTAGGTGCCATTATGGCAGATGATCGATCAAATGCGCTCTTTCATATCTTTATACACCATAGATGAGGTCATGTCCCCTAGTCTATCTCGCGTTGATACATACTGTCCACCAAGAAGCGGTATGACCGTCGCCCATCGAATCGATCAAGCTTTGATACTAGATTCAACTTTACCGCATATTAGGTAAGAAATTGCGTTTCCACAACACGCTTTGTGTCGTTTCGACCACATTACGAAAAAGGGGAGGGAGACATACGCATATGTGAGGGTGTAGAGTAATTTGAGGCAAAAGCCGATGTAATCATATTTCATGTCATTAGCTCACTACCATGAGCTTTTATATAACGCTGTTCCATGGAAATCCTCTAAAACTTCCATGAAACGCTGATGATTTATTTTATAAATCATTATAATAACATCATGAAACGTACCTGTTCAGCGGTGTAATATTAACAGAGGGGAATTAATAAATACATTCACATTTTACTAGATACAGCCATACACCACATCCATCCTACAGCACAATATGCTTTGTACGACAAATATTGCGCCGTTATGCCTTTAAAGGCCGCTTTCACAAAACAGTATGCAATACACTGTCGTGCAAATGGTAAATAATTTTATCAGTCAATATTATTTTGACTGACAATGGGCCTAACGCAGATCCAGGATGGGCTTGATCCAAAATGCATGTAGCTACATATAACAATTCTTAGTATCCGATTATGTCCGGTGAAACGTAGATCGTTGTTTCTTACATATTTGCATCTGTCTCGATTGAAAGTGGCTGTTGCCATTTCCGAGACGCAAATAGAAACCTAGATGTATTCGACATGTTATAGTTACAAGTGGATCATGACATCTGTCAAGTCTTTAACAAAGGCATAGAGTTTTTTGAGTCTGTTACGTGCTCAAAGAGGTATTCCAGATAGAATCATCTTTTATATGCACGACACATGCATATTTTTGTGCGATTGCGGTCGTATAGTGGTATGGATGGTGGAGCAAAATGTGCCGTACAACATATTGTGGTGTGGTCCGGATTCAGTACAAAGTGGGGGTTTATTTTACAATACTCGTATTTTTTGTACGATTTTAAAGTACGTATGCTTATTGTTTCCACTACGCTACGAAAAAAACGATGCATGCATTTCCACACACCGTTTCGCTCTCTTTTTAGAATTTTGTCGTTGCTACATATATTTCACATCAGAAAACTCTGCAGTGCAAAACCGTACGATAAAAGGATCGACAAGAAACGACCGTGGATCGCCTGAGCGATCGTCGGGACACACGCGAGCAGTGGTCGGGTACAAGACCGGTTCACTGATCCAACCGATGTATGAATCACTATGGATCAGACGAGGGTAGGCATCTACATATATGATTAATATGGTCGGTGCAGACACATTCATAAGGGGGTATATGATAGCATGAATGTTGCCGCGGCTGTGTAAAGGGAAACCTTGTTATGGCACTTGTGCTTGTTGTGGTTTCATGAGCCACAATAAATGCGACAATTTTCTTGTTTAGATGCAATCTCGAATTCAGACTGCTCACTCTTCGTCGATAACGTGTTCTTTTGCTGATCATACGGCCGGCTTTTTGTTGACCTTGGCGAAAGGAATCAGCAAGGCCTATAATGGAACCGGTGCTGAGATTTACAACTAGGCATATTATGTAATTAGCGCTGAGATATGGAAGTAGGCCTATCCGATTTTCCGTTGTTGGTGACCATTTCGAGCACACCCTTCTCATCGTCTGGAACCTCTCTTGTAAGGTATTGTGGTAGTGTGTGGGTAGAAGGTAGGCGGCTAATAGTTTTAGGAGGCTGAAATAGTTTTAAATGATACAATGCTTCTGATGGTAGTAAGCTTAAGCGGCTCTGCTCCATTCATCTGCACCAAAGATGAGCATGGGACAGCCACTATGTTTTGTGAAACATCTTGACAAACTGACAAGGTAGTCTGGAGGAGGGCACGATTGTACGCTATGTAATAAAAGGCTTCACAAGAGAGAAATAGTATTAGCGCCATCAGCGTCGTGTTTATACATGGTAAGAGCAGCACTTCAGCGTCTATAACCTTGAGCAGGAATTCTAGATTAATTTGCGTAATGTGCAAATCGAAATAGACGCACACATATTTGCTGATTTTTGCGTGGTGTGTAGTGACGTAAAATAATAAGAAAGGGTACTGTTACAACCGCACTTCATTTGTCGTGCTTCAGCCACGCTTCTTTCGTGCTGTAGCGAAAATTATAACGGCTTACCCTTGTGCTTGGGTGCCACGAAACTTATCGTACACTCGTACGTGCAGAGGAAGATAAGTCTACACAAACCTGCTAGTTAGCGCAAAGGTAAAAGAGAACTGTATTTAATACAGTAGAGCTATCAGTATAACTTCAGTCCTTATCTAACTATACTAATCTACATTGACTCGTATGACGACAACGTGCTCATCCCCTTTCGCGCGCCTAACAGCGATTGGTTGTAATCTTGGTACGTATGTCCTTTGTCAATCTATCTTTGAGCAGCACGTGAATTTTATCCTAGGGATGACATTCCTTCAATATAATCAATCTCGGGTAATATTGGCAGGGGATTGTCACGCTTGACAATCTTCCTATTGACTCTATCTGGTGTCAATAAAATGTGCTTCTTCGTTACAGTGGCAATGTGGGGCATATCTACGTAATTGTTACTTGAGATGGCAGAATAATTAAATCTTGTGGACTCACGATGAAGTCGATTTTGTTTCTGCGCGGACACTAACAGTTCTGCTCACCACGCTGAGGTGCCACATATACAGTTCTGCTCACCACGCTGAGGTTGACACCAAACGGAGTCAATAGGAAGATTGTCAAGCGTGACAATCCCCTGCCAATATTACCCGAGATGGGTTATATTGAAGGAATGTCATCCCTAGGATAAAATTCACGTGCTGCTCAAAGATAGATTGACAAAAGACATACGTACCAAGATTACCACCAATCGCTGTTAGGCGCGTGTAAAGGGGGATGAGCACGTTGTCGTCATACGACAATGTAGATTAGTATAGTTAGACAAAGACTGAAGTTATACTGATAGCTCAACTGTATTGAATACAGTTCTCTTTTTATCTTTTGCGCGAACTATCAGTTTGAGTAGATCAGCTTCCTCTGCACGTCCTAGTGTACGTAAAGTTTCGTGGCACCTCGAAAAAAGGTGCCCCCTTACACCTGGTAGCACTATGTAGTCCGTCCAACGAATACTTAGTGTCCGTTCAACATGAACATGTTGGACGTAGAAGACGACAGCTTTCACGTCACACGTAAAATCTACTCACAAATGAGTGACTCATAATTGGAGATAGCGTATTCATCAGCGATCCCGCCATCAGTGGCACGTCGAATTCTTTAATCAGAGACTAACAACACGCCGCTATCAACAAGTTCCTACAAGGGGAAATTGATGTCAAAAGACAGAAGATAGCCTCGCTTCAACAGCAAGACTCTCATAAGTCAATGGGCAGGCCGACGCACGCGCGTCGACCTGAAACATTGAAGGTAGATATCTCAAGGTACATAGGAACCGAAGAAGATTCCCTTTTGAGATAGTTCGTCGAGTTAGACGACTCCATAAGATCCCGTCACATCGATGGTGACGAGATGCAAGTCACCTTCGCCCTGTCAAATTTGACAGGACGAGCAAAGACTTGGGCCTTAGGGCTCAAGGTTCGCGACCCAATGTGTTTGAGTCGTTAGAGACCTTGAAGTCTCGGCTCAAGAAAAGTTTGAGCCACCAAGAGCCGAGTTCAGAGCACGCTCTGCACTCCTGAGGCTCAAACAAAATAAGCGTGATGTGCACGCTTACGCATTACATATCCACTACCTTGCGTGCAGCATCACGGAAAACCCTATTGATGAGCACACGCTCATCAACATGTTCATGTACGGTCTTGCATATGAACCGCTGAATACCTACATGTTCCGAGAGGACTTCCATACGCTGGAAGAGGCGATAGCGTATACGGAACAAGAAGACTTCAGCTTGATGCAGTCTCAGGATAACTCGTCAAACTATCGCTAGACGAGATGACAGGAAACCGGAGGTCCCGAACCAATGGACCTCTGTGATATCGAGAGCGAGAACTCTCGCTCTGCGAGTCACAAGCGATCGGCAAGGTGCCATCGCTGTCAGAAGATCGGACACTACGCTCATGAGTGTAGTGTCCCAAGCACCGCAACACGTCCAAAGACAGGACTTGATGGCCGTTGCTGGCCAAAGAAAGGTCTAAGGCGCGGGTTCGACCATGTCGCTAAACCGCGACAGCAAGTCGAACCGCCAAAAAACGGTCAGGGTCAGTAGGGGCGGAGAGCCTTACTAATCCAGCGACGTCAAGAGCATTTGCAGGACTCTTGATGAAAATTGCTCCCCCATCACGCAGTCTCTTTGTGTTACTGCCCCTAGTGATGAGGAGTCTTTCATTACTTTGAAGATCGAAGTGACAAGAGGAATGTCACTTCGCGCCCTAGTTGACTGTAAGGCGTCGAACAGTTTCATTCGACGCCAGTCGCTGGGGGATAGTAGACTCAACTATGTTGAGCGAGAGATCCCTTCGACGAGGATGACGGTGTGCCTTGCAACAGGCGCATACTTAACAGTGAATTAACGTGTAGTGGGTATCTGCTACATGCTAGAAGGAAGGCATTACAACAATGACTCCATCGTACAGGATTTGGATGACAAATGTGATGTAGTTCTCGGGTCTGCCATGGCTTAGAAAATACTAGCCATGGATCAGCTGGTAGCATTGATCTGTAAAGATGTATGATGTTTGTTCATCAGATGACCATATGATGAACGTCTTGGAGCGTCCAAAGAGTACGGATGTACTACGAGTGAGTGCGATGGCCTCACTTGCGGTACGGTCGTTAGTAACTTCACAAGATTATAGTATAGAAGGCCACTACACTCTGGAAACAGCTTCCGGCACCTGTGTAGAGACACAGGCTTCGCGAAGGCTCACCACTCGAAAAGATAGAGTGGATTGGGACATGGATGCACACCAAGCAGGGTACATCCAAGAAGATAGATGGTGTTGTTCATGGTGAACAACACGTTAAAAAGCAAGATCGACTAACAGGCAGTCGATAGTAAAGCAAACACGATCGACTAAAAGAGAGCCGATCGAAAACGAAATTACTGAGGCAGTGCACCCACAGTCAGAACACGTATTGGAAGAAAGTTCCAGCGTTTCTGAGAGTGACAACTCCCGAGAGAGTTATGTTAATGGTGTGTTTCCCCAACCACCTGCGGATGTGCTTTCCCAGGAAAGCACCGAGACAGCGAATATCTTGGTGAATGACGAATCAAGTGCAGGCGCTTATACACTTGAGCTGGTTACACCTCCGAAGTTGGCTTCGGAAATAATCAAGTTGCCAACGCTAGAATCTAATAGATTCTTGTGAGATCTGCGTAGTGACAAGACCAAGCAGATCTGCGTACTCGTCACAAAGGACGAGTACGTCGCAGATATTCGTTCGGCACAAGTGTTTACTGAGAACGAACGAGTTCTCAGTAGCTCATCGATGAACGAAGTGTCCCTGGATGAGAAGACCCGGATTGAGCAGTACGCGTCTCAATCTTGGGAGTATTTGAAGACAAATCCTTTGTATAAGGATTTGGTCGAATTCCGATATGTTTTCCCTAATCCGTGCCATGCGAGTTATCGACAAATTTTTAGTGTCTAAAACGATAGAAATGCGCGCTTACGTGAGAGTGGCTACCGCTCGTAATTTAGTCATATATTGCATTTTTAATACTTTGTGTCGTTGTCAAACCTCCGCACAGACTGAAAGCCGCTGTGGCATCTACCCTCTCTCATCAAGTTTGGAATACGTCGTCTTAAAGCGGCGGCTAGTTTTGTGTCACGAATACTGCGAGTGTAGAGCGATTGAATTGTACCGATCGAACATGTCGTAGTATAGGAGCCAGAGACGAGAAATTTGCGGACGACTGTCGTACCAAGTACGCTTTGGGTAGGTGTGTGCACTTACGCGATTTCGCGTTTAGTGCACACACCTCAAGAAGGCGGTGCTTGTACCAACCTGCTTAAATGAAAGTTTAAGCAGGTTGGTACAAGTACGCTCTTGTATTTGTGTAGCATACCGTATGATGGTACCGTATCATACGGTATGCTACACAAATACATTTTCACATATATTGACCAATCATGATTGACTGTTTTGAATGCTCGCTGAATGGAAGAAAAGAGGTTGAATATTACCGAAGAAAGTGAATCTCACAGTTCCCGATTTTTAACTCACACGAATATCATGTGACGGACTCTCCACATTACACGATCGATTAGTAAATGGGCACGACTACAGGTACGACCTAGAGTAGATGTTGTTTCGTGTCTCCTCGGAAAGCGACATGCTTTACAATCCCTACGCAGCAAATCGACATGCAAATAATAATCAAACCTTTTTGACCCTCACATGAGATCTCTTTGCAAATTCGGAACAGTGCTCTAGCTTGAACATTTGCTTCACGTTGTGATTTTGGAATGGTGATCCAGCGCCAGGTAAATTGCTACGCTATACAGATGCGCCCAGGGTCATACAATGCGCATAGATAAACTCTACTTGTAACTACGTCTTGATCAAGTAATAGTATCGCTTTCAACGATGAGCTCGTCATCCCGGTTGCACTAGCGTCCTTACGACGTGTGTCAATGAAAATTTGCCAAATGGTTCAGTCGACCAACTAGTAGTGCGATAACACCTGCTAATGCTGTGCGACGTGCAAGAGCACGTGAACGCTCGATTTGAGTATAAATAATAGCTCTTTGTAGTTAGAAAAGTACGTACGCTTGTTATCGCACCATTCGCCCACATTTGACTGCGAGCTTGATTCTGTCTGGTCTGCACATTTTCTCGTTGTTACGTATAAGCAACCGCGCTCAGTGCAGGATACGATTCTACAATACAAAAATGAATAAAATGGGATATGTCGAAGGTGAATTGGTCACCGATTGAGATGCCTGGATAGACTAAACAAGCTACAGGCAAGTTAAATGGAATAAGGCGCATAAATCCACCTTGTCTGTCTATCTGTTCCCGCTGCCAGCATCAATCGGGAGATGCAGTACGCCAAAGTATCTGTCAAAGTGGACAACCATTGTGTGTCTTGACAGCGCTTTTCGTCACTTCTTGACGACAACACGCTCACGCGTGCAACAAATGTTTGCGCAGTTGTTCTAAAAACACGAACGTCAGTAGCGTCTGGGGCCCGAGTCGCATGTATGCTGGCAGCCACCCCCCTTGTACAGTCCCCCTCACTCCTTCGTGCTTGATGACCTGCAGGAAGCAATCGGTGGCACTTGTGTACTCCTGGGCGTGCGTATTCATCAGCCTTGTTTTGACGACATCAGCCGGGGCACAAGCCGTCGTAGCCACCAATCCAGCCACCACACTAGCCACAACGTGAGTCTGAAGATCGTCCTGCATCAGCACCACCTGGTTCGTTAGAAGTGTCGATTTCGTCAAGTCGTAGGCTGCGATTTGCCCTGTCGTGAGCAACATGGCTCGGATCATATTCGGTCGAACGCCGCGCAGTAACGCTGCAAGTCCCTCCTCTTTTTCGACTCGAAGCAGTCCGTCGACCGCATGTTTGTAATTGCGTCTCTTCTCGGCTGGCAAGCGACTATCGGCCTGCATGCGGATGTTTACAATGTCGGCTGGGTTACCCATTATCCCCCCAAGCACTCCGCCAATCATCCCAAGCAGAACGTTGTGTCCCGTTGAGATAGGATTGTCGTCATTCCGACGCACGGCGTCATCTTTTAGATAGTGGTACACTGCAAATCGGGTGGTTGAGTACATGCCCTCCCTCATCACCCCTCCCGAAATGCCCTGGTAGAGTCCACTGAGTCCCTGCTGCTGGAGAACTCGGCGGGTGGCGGTCACAAGTCCCCCATTCTTTGTCTTGGACGTTTGCAAGTGGATTTTCAGCAAGTCGAATGGGTGCGTGAAAAACACGGCGCCTACTGCAGATACACCGCCGAATGTGTAGCTGGTGAGAGGGGGGCGCATCGATCCAGTAGGTGAGTCCATGTGAGGAAGCGACGGAGCTAAAGACGGACTGGAGTCACGAGTGCGTATAGAGTGTAAGAGTCAATTAAATGTTCCAAGTGACGATTGGTGAGCACGTTGACAGTAAATGTGCCGGATAGACTATTGAGTGTAAGATTGCAATGAAGTGCATCGCGTTGGTTGATGCCAAGCCAAGTCGTACGAGACTTGGCTTGGGACACTTGAAAGGGAGAATGTCGTCCGTCGTGCAGAGAAAATGAGATGGTGGAGAGTGAGGATTATTACAGAACCTCCTCTGACGGCCGTCAGTCTCGTTCAGTAGAAGAAAAGTGTTTAGGACCGGATTCAAGCGACATCTTACATGAGCTAGCCAGTGCTGCACTCGGGAAAAGCTACGTCTGAGGTTGTGCATTCCCGTTGAGCTGCCGAATTGAGCAACGGAGGGCGGCACGATCCATTAAACATGTTCAGCAAGCAATAGAAGCTGGAAGTAAAGCGACTGCAAATGGTATCGATGTCCATGTGCCGGGTAAGATTTCGGACTTACGTGACCCCTCACTCGCCAGAGATTCTTCAGATTTACACTACAAATTGCCCACAGCACGACGAAAGTCGCATAAAACCATACATAATGTTCGATGGCGACATTGCACGCACCCAGTGATCTCTGTGACTTGAGGCCCGATTGTTATAAACTCGTACGCTGGTCGACACCTTTCTGCTTGCAAATTTAATCGGTTTAGCTGTGAATACGACTGGCGTCCAAACAAATGCCGCCTATCTTGAGACTGTCTTGGTCATCGGCGTGCACCTTAACTAGCCACTTGACTCGCGAGATTTATCTGTGTGTGAGGCCGATATAGCTACTACTGGACGTAGTGTTCGTACTCGAATAGCAATCCACAAACCGGTATGGTTTGTGGATCGCTCTTCGAGTACCGTCTGAACAACTGCTAGTTTCGCCACGTTATATGACTATTTAGAAACCACTGATTCGAGGACTGTGGATTCCGCACCTATCCGGTTGCTGTTTGCCTGAAAAGTACGAAACATACGTGGTACACGCAACGGTTTTTAACCGTTGTTGACCAATTGCACGTATTAGAGGGCGGACTACTAATTGGTTCTCAGATCGCTACGTGATGACGAAGGTGCCGTCGGCAGAAGAGATGCTGGCTCTCGTAGATGCCACTACTGGGTCCAACGGGATGATGGATCCAACTATGCAAAGCCTATGGATACAGCTGCAAGAACAACATGCGCTGATTCAAGCTCACGGCCACGGGTCCCGCCCACGTACCGGTATGTTAAAATGTTATTTTTGACCAAAGCGTTATCAAAAAGTACACTAACTTGGGTTATTTAACCGATGTTCTGTTAGATGCTAAAGCAGCTGTTAGTGAGTCTACCGGTTTGGAAAAGATGATTGATTGTTCTGAAGTAGCTCAACTTGAGCATGTATCCATCCCGCAATCAGAACCACCATCTCTAAATTCGACAGTTATGAAACGGAAAAGTATTCCATTAAGTATGAAAAAAGAGGCTATTGAATGGATTATGGGTCCTGGAAAAGGAATCCCATCCCGAGCAGAGAAGCATTTTGGATGGGACGTCAGTGCTTCTTCGTTCCGCAAGTGGTGGAAGAATCGAGACAGTATTTTGAAAGACTTGGGGAGCAAAAAACGTATCCGCGGAGGAGGCCGAAAGCCATATTTGGAAGATTCGGAAGAAAAGTTACTGGTAGTGCTGATCCAAGAACGAGCCAAGAAAGACCGAGTGACTAGAAAGTGGATCGCCAAGACGGCGCAGCACATGTTTCAGCGCTCCAGTACCAACTTTAAGGCGTCCGAAAATTGGGTCACCAAGTTCATTCGACGCAACAAACTTACGCTCAAACGAAGCTGTGTCGCGTGTGAGCCACAACAAGAGTGCTTGGAAGTGCAACAGAGTGAGACTTTGCCAGGCTCTTCTTCTGCGGTAACTCCTGAAGCGACCACCACCACGTAAGATCTCTGCTACGTTCAATGGTCTCCTTTTTGTCAAACGGTGCTCACGCGGCTGTCTTTGGTTTGTAATCTATGTAGTTTGGTTTTGTAATGGCCAGCTCTGCAGGAGAAATCTTGCACGGATGTTTGTGAAGGGCTCTTGCGATTCCCAGGACGTGATTGCAGAATGTGTTTGGAACCAGCACATCGTTTATTCGCTTGCCATTGTGTGCTTCCGTTATTCTTTATTGTTGAGCGAGAGGCGCATGATTCGCGATGGAATAATCTGCTAGAGCTGCGCCTACGCCAACCACCGTGCCAACTTTGCTGCATAAAGTTGAAGGAAGAGGAGGAAACATTGTAGGGCTGCGCCGGACAAGCACGAATAGTACGTAATAGAGTGGCCGTACCCGTTCAGATGCAGCAGTGTTTCAATCGACAACTACTAATTTGTAAACCTCGTCGCAGCTCTGCCTTTCGACGAGCGTGCCAACCGTAGACATCGTGCAGGTGTTCACGGGTTAAAGAAGCGGATGACATTTTAAGGCATAGTGATGGATCTGAGCGAACACATCAAGCTAATGTTGCCATAACACTGGACATTGCGGTCGAGAATAGGGCCAACGTCTGCACCAACACATTCTTCGATGTACAATGCCGTCTAGAACAAGCGACGTGAGACTTTAAGCTTCACTCTAGCTGCCACGACGACCATATGCCAATATGCTCACAGCTCTAATGAGCTCAGCAATGACAAACAAGATGATCAGCAGACTAATGGAAAAAGCCTGTCCCGTCACGCAAGAATATGCTATGCAAGTACAAACTTGTATAACCAAAAGCAGAGTCGACCGATACAACAAGGAAGCAAACGTGATCGCATACTCAAACTCTTCAAAACCTTTGTATCATACAACTCAGGTGCACCGAACGTGACTTTGGCTGTGATCAAGCGGCATGAAGGCATGGTAATATTCAGGCCAGCCTTGCTCAGCAGAACAAGTAAACATGCTCCCATTCTTGTAATGAGACAGACTTTCAAGTCATTGAACATGGTGACAACAAAATGTCGCTTTTGGTTCCCACCGGTAGTGAATCATACGAGCGATGGTATGTAGATACTAAATCTCTGAACAGCGTTGCGCCAGCATGCACCCGGTGTAGACGATTTGATCGCAGCTAGTACTTGTGTGCCCTATTCTAAAGTGGCTTTTGTACCTACAGCACAGTCAAAAAAGCTTTGATACATTTGGTAAGGTGTTGCAGACCCGTAGATGTCGACAAATGTATCCTTCAGTCAACTAACCAGTACGGCCGAACAGAATTTTGCACCAAACGACAGTGCTCCCTCTGATAACTTTTTTCCCAATGACTAACAGCCTCCGCTATTTTCTAAGATCGGGCGTCCACCGAGGCCGTTCTTTGGCTGTTCTATGGTCACTAACTCGTAACTTGTTACTACTAGACATGAAGCGAGATGTAAGTTTCTAGATAAAACATTTGTACCGAATGTGGGAGGGTGAACCCATAAGAGCCAAGCATCGAGGGTGGTTTGTGTGGCGTTGGCACACTGCGAATGTCAATCTGTAAGCTACGGGGTAGCTTGGACGTATGACAGTAGGTTTCCTAGGACAGATAATGTAAAAAGTGCAGGCACTACCTAAGATGGGAATCCGCTCGCACATGGTCAACCTGTCTACAACTGCCTCCTCCTCTGCTTCAGCACCTTCCTTTAATTCCTTCTCCTACCACACTGCGTTCAATATCTCTTGGTTGTTGGGATCCGTCTAGGCTCTCTCGTCCTCTCCAATAGACTTGGATAGCTTATCAGTGGACAGTCGGCCGAAAATTACACCAATATTCTAACAAAGAACAACAACCTCAGCACACGACCAGGATGGCAATGTGTCTTGGACCACAACCTGAATCAATTTTACAAATAAAATGTGAGGTTCTGTGTCAGTGGTCTCTGAAGCTACTGTTCTGCTGATTTTGGGTAGATTTTAATTTGGGGTGGAAGAGAGAGGAGTGAGTGGTTCCGGATAGGGTTTTCGCTTTTTACTCCTTCAGTTATTGACATTACTATGGTGTATCTGGTAAATCTTTATTCTTATACTTTGTAAACAAAGTAAAATTTCTGTAATTTACTTGGCAGGGTTTCCACTGTACGACGCCACCATAATCCGATAACTAATAGCCTTTGCTAACTTATAGGAAATGTGTCCACCGAGCCTAGAAGTAGAGGAAGGACTGTACTATCTGCTGCAACATCGCGTACTACAACACCTTCGTGAGCGGATGACTGACAGCACCAATCTATCGACGACGGATTCAAGTTCTATAGTGTCCACAGATGCACTCAACGTGCGTGTCACGCGCAGCAAATCGCGAATCACGGTTAAACACATTTCGTGTGATCCTGAAAACAGTCTAACAACCACTTTTCAACCGTTAGTGAATAGGAGGATTCAGTCGTTCCATCCGTCGTTTCAATCAAACAAACAAGCAATCAAACAAACAATCAAACAAACAATCAAACAAACGTTCACTAGACAATGCATTCAGTAACACTCGACGTAAAAACAGGCACTACAAACGCACAGAGAACGGCGCTGCCGTTTAATTGCGACGACGACGACTTCGCACTTGACACTTGGCTTTCCCACCGAGTGGAGTCGGTACCTCCGTTACCAACTCGGGCGGGACATCGACGCCAACTTTCGTCGCCTCGGTAGCGTCGGGAGCAACAACCTCAGATGGTGTCTCCGTGGTCTCCGGAATGTCCGGCACGGTAGGAGCAGGAGTTATAGACGTTGCCGTCGGAGCTGCTGGGGGATCCGACGACGTGTCTTTTGCATCATCCGAGAGAGAGCTCCCGTCGTGCTGTAGTGCATTGTCAAGTGGTGCACTTTGACCAACATCAGAGTCGGACCCAGTACCGTCGGTACTAGACCCAGTGCTTCCAGTCTCTAATGGCGTCGGAGACGGAGGTGATGGGGCAGACGTCGTCTGTAACGTGTTGCCGCTGCCAAACTGTTGGTTCGTACTCGTACACTTGCCTGCGGTGAGGGAGTAGGTATCCGAGATGACGTCGCCATTGACCGAAGTGATGGCGACTTTGACCGCCGAGAGGTCGGTATTCGGTGTCGTGGAGACGTAGTAGTACGCACCATCGAGCATAGTCGTAACGCCACCATTGACTGTGACGCTCTTCACCCCAACGAGGCCGTTCGTGGGCTGGACGGCCATCCAATTGGCATTGCTGCCCTCTTTGAGACACACTTGCACACTGGCTGGGTTCGGACAGTCGACGAAGCGCCATCGCACGGTGAGGCGATGGGGGTCCAACCCCGTGATCTCTTTGTACACGGTCGGGGACAAGTCCAGTGCACCGTGTTTGCACTCGGGACACCGGTCGAGCACCTGGACAATGGCCGTCTTGTTCTTTGCCGTGCATCGGTCGTCAATACACGAGACCTCGATGCACCGTCCACAATTGCCAAGAGAGTTCCATTGCTCCTGGTTCAGCGCCACGTAGTTGGTCGAAGCTGTGGGAAGCGCTGACATGAAGTTGCAATTGCCACTGCTGACTTGACCGAGCGTATAGCTCGTCCCGTCACCCTCAAAGTATTCGTCACCTGCAGCGGCGATTGCTGCTGAGGCACCAAAGAGGGCGGCAACGAACCCGATAGAGGCGACCATGGAACTGTTGTTTATCCACGAAGGTCGTCGATCAATGTGCTGAAAGGCGAATTGAGAAATGAACGAGGAGATGATCCGAGTCGATGGAATGGCAAAGACGCAGCAAGACGCGTGTAGTGAAGACCCGCTCGCTCAGCTTGTTGGTTTTAAATGCCTCTTCTTCGACCCAGTAGCGAGCGCTGTAATGTGGATCAGGGATGGAGCGCAACTCGACGACAGCACGTGCGGTAGTAGAAGCTGTCCAGATTCAAACCTACTGCCTCTATTATTCGAAATCGCTCTCTCTCTCTCTCTCTCTCTTCGCGTTCTTGGAAAACGTTGCGCGTGACTTTTGATAGTAACCCACAGCGTGGAAGAGCGAGCTACCAGCTGCACGTGTATCAGCGCCCGGTGGTCGAGAGATGCAATGGACGTTGGCTGCTAAAAGAGGTAGACACTTGTGGATGGCGCAGGTCTTCAAAGGTCTTTGGGTGATACTTTCCATGCTTTTGACCCTGGCGAAGACCACGTCGAGTGTCGAACTTCCTGCAGAGCCAACCATCTGGATGAGGACGTGGCTACCATGCTGCGAGCCTCGCCAGCAGGTGGACCAAGTGGGAACTGATCGAGAACTAGACAGTCGTGACGCCCGAGCAGCTGGTCTCACGCATCGTGCGCGTGTGGCTCAAGTCGATCCGGCAGGGAGACGTATAGGTTCACTCACATGACGACCATACAAAAAAACACGCTGCTATCGTACGCGCGAGAGGGCGCCGCGAGTCTGAGAGATCGTCAATAGGTGCACAACCCAAGAGAGAAGACCCAAGGTTGTTCCAAGTGTAGTTTTTTCCATGATGCAATGTACCTATCGAGCGATTTAATGTACGGAGTGTGTTCTACGTGTCCTGGAGCTCGTTAGAACTGTTGTTTCGTGTCGACGCACTCGCCTTCCTTCATCGCGTACGTGCCCGAGACCACGTCGCCGTCGATCGAAGTGACAGCCACTTTGATCTTATTGAACGGCACCACGTCCTCACTTTCGATGTAGTAGTAGTAGGCGCCATCCAGCATCTTGCCAGCCTTGCCGTTAATGGACAGACTCTTGACGCCAATACGCGTGTTTGTAGGCTGGATGGCCACCCACCACTTGTTGCTGCCCGTCTTGAGGCAGACTTTAATCGTACCCGGTTCTGGGCAGTCCACGTACTTCCAGCCGATTTTTATGCGACCTGGATTGCTGCCCACGATCTTGATCAAAGCACTTGGGGACATGTCGAGGTCGCCGTATTGGCACTCAGGACAACGATCGACGATCTGGAGCGTGACAGCTGTGTTCCTGTTCTTGCACTTGGCGTCAATGCACGTGGCTTCGATGCACTGACCGCAGTGTGTCAAGTCGTCCCACTGTGCCTGGTTCACGGCCACGTAGTTGGTCGCCGCCTTGCTCCATGACGACATGAAAGCACAGTTGCCGTGGCCGACCTTGTCCAGGTCGTACGGCGTTCCATCACCCTGGAAGTACGTTTGGTCAGCAAAAGTGACTACTGCCCCGGTCATGGCCACGAGCGTCAGGTAGTGCTGGACGTTCACCATATGAATGGCTGTCCTTTGGTCGCGTGCTGTTTAATCGGAGAATGAGGAGACCAGCAGCAATCAGGTGCCTGAAAAAAAACAAGGTGACAGAAAGAGAGAGAGAGCAGAGCAGCAGTCGTGATGTTGACGACGCGCATCCTAAGAACGTGCGTGCCGTTCGATGCTACAAGGCGTGACATTGGCGATGGGACGCTCAAGGACGAACGTCCAAGCCGATATTTCGTCCAGTCTTCTTGTGAAACAGCCGGTCGCTTACGCTTCGCCTGCAGTCGACTGTCAACCTGGATGTACCTGTGGTACTTTAAGGCCAGTTGGGGACCACTAGCCGCCGCCGGCACGACGACATCGAGACGATCCTACGAAATGTTGAGGGCCCCGCTCCTAAGAATTAAGTAGAAAACAGACAAACAAACAAACATCGGACCTTAAAAGAAGGCAATCAAACGGACAAACACGAGCAAACGACCAATCTAACGCACGATTAAGCTTACGGCACTGAGCGTGTGTGTGCGCTAAAGTCTATAAAGCCATCGATCGATTCTCATAGAAGCTGATGTGAGATGACTGCTGGGATCGGCCTGGTTCTAGACGAGATACGAGCTCTTGAGACCGAGCCCATAGCACTTGGCTCTATCAAAAGCACACGTCGACCGCTCTAGTGGGCGACAAAAGCATGGCCGCCATGGGTTGGGCTATTCTGCGCATCAAAAGCCTGCGCACTAATCATAGACGGCCCCTCGACGTCACACGCCTTTTGCTCCTCAACTTTCTTCCTCTTGGCAACCACCACTGCTGCAATGAGGGCCAAGATAGCCACAGCACCGAGTGTCGATAGGATGATGATCAGCGGATCAGTGCCATCCGAGGCCTTCCAGGATTGGGTGTTTATCCCCTGAGGTGCATCGCTCTTGCCAAGAGCTTGGCCTTCGGCTGTTCGCTCTGCGATTGTCTGTGTAGATGCAGGTGTGGCTAGGGGCAAACCGGATTTCTGCTGCCTTGGCTGCTGGACTCTCCTCCTGTCAGCTGAGATAGTACGGGTGCCGTATCTAGTCTTGGACACTGGCCTCTTCTCCGGTGCCGGTTTCCTGCCTAAGCCAGGTACAAAGGTAAGTGGCCGCGTAGGTTTAATGGCATTCCTGTCGCTGCTTGCAAACCCAAGCTCCAATCCGGTCCTTAATTTTGGTTCATTGAGGGGCAGGGATGTCTCAACCGGGATGGTAGTCGGAGACGTGATAGGAGGTGCAGCTGCGGTAGAAGTGACCGCTGACAAAGTGGTTACCGGAACACCATCGGTGGTAAGAGGTTCCACTGGCGGATGAGGAGCTGTCGTCCCATCTGCAAAAGTCGGACCGGGAGATTTGATCTCTTCCTGTTCCGGTGATGGCATGTCAGTAGTAGTCGTCATAGGAGGCGTCGCCGTTGGAGGGGGCGCTGGCAGGTGTGACAACTCAATTTCGGGCGTCACATCCTTGAGCTCACCAGTTGCATTGTAGGTGGCATCGGGTAGAGCTGGTGACTTGTCACCCGTCGTCCCATTTGCAAAAGTCGGACCCGCTGGATATCCCTCTCCCTGTTCGGGTGACGTAGTATCGGGAGTAGTCGGAGGCACTGAGGGGGGCATCGGGTTGATGGGCATCGGCGTTGCAGCTGGCGGCGCTGGTGAGGTGGCCGGCACTTGCACATACGGAGTTGTTGAAAGCTCGATTGTCGGCAATTTCAAGTCTACGATCGGCACGTTAATCTGCCCAGTCGCCATTTGCGGACTAGGTGGGAATTGGTGAGTGCCTTCAGTGCACGAGTCGGCCGTGAGGGTCACGATATCGGTGACCGTATTGCCATTGATGTCCGTCAAGGTGATGGTCATGTCCGTGAGTTGCGTCTGCGTCTCACTCACTCCGTCTAGAACGTAGTAGTAAGCAGAGTGGAGCATGACCGTGTCGTGGCCGTTAATCTGCATACTCTTGACGCCCGTTGCAACGTTCGTAGGCTGCACTGCCGTCCAGTAGGTGTTACTACCACCTTTTAGACAGTAGTTGATGTTGCCCGACACGGGGCAGTCGACAAACTTCCACGTGACTTTGTACCGTGACGGGGTCGTCCCCGTCAGAGCGGTGAACACCGACGGCGACAGGTCAAGGGCGCCGTACTCACACTCTGGACACTGGTCGAGGAGTTGCACGAGAATGGTCTTGGACTTGTCAGGGCACCGATCGTCGCTGCACGAGACCTCGGCACAGCGACCGCAGTTCTGCAGCTCGTCCCACTGCTCGCTATTCAATGCGGCGTAGTCCGTCACGGCGAGGTTGAGTGCCGACATCATGTTGCAGTTCCCGGCACTTGACTTGCCCAGTGTGTAGGCGGTGCCATCGCCGGTAAAGTACTCGAAGGCATTGGCTACTGCAAGGGCGACTACTGAGACGGAAGCGAGCAAGTTGCAGACGTGCATGGGACCAGCTATCAAGATCGATTGAGGACAAGGTGTGCAAAGGCGGCTGCGTGGGGTGTCAGCTGACTCGGCCGATGGCAAAAGCAAAAGTGAGGTGTCAAGGGGCCATGACGAGGCTAACAAAGCACCACCGGGTTGGTTCGTTGGCTCGAGCTTGAGCTGTCGACAGTAAGACAAAGAGAGATCTCGGTCTCACTGCACCTCGCAGTGACTGGACAGACCTCCTCCTCCTCGAGCTGGGAGGATGCACTACCAGGAATTGCGCCCGAACGACAGCGTTGTCTGTGTGCGGAAAAAGCGCGAGCTTGCAACGTTTTCTTTCTCCTTCGAGTGCGACAGTGAGAACAGTCTCCGTTGAGCTGAATGGTCGGGACGCGTTCGGTCGCGATGTCCGTCACTGTCTATGAACCAATTCGTGCGAACTCTTAACTCATATCGTGCCTGTGCCGAAGCTCGACGAAGACAGGGAGGAGCCATGTGACGCGCCTGAAATTGCGAGCCGGAGTGTCGTGTGTTGCTGACTCGACCTGTGAGCACGACGAATCGCTCCGCTTGCGATCTATTCTGAACTCAAAGCTGAAGACAGTGTGACGTTGGCGACTGTGCCGCACGAGGTGAAGGGCTCATTTTGGAAGCACGGGATTTCGAACCGACAAACGGTACGAGAGCCACTTGCGTGGACACCTACGGGGTCCGGCTATCTGAGCGACCGAGTCACGTCACCTGCTGGCGAGTGCCGCACACGTTGACAGAAAAGATCGCAACCCAACGCTTTGCCGATGTTTGGCCGGGGGTTTTCTTACTGAACATCATCACTATATTCCGACTGTAGCTACATTGAGGTTACTGCGCAACTTTTGACTCTGCTTAGTAGACGGATCCTCTCGCAGGTACGTACTGCCATGCGAAAGCTCTACAGAAACACACTCACTTGACATCTTCAGCTTGCTACACGGGGCAGTTGACGGGTCCGGAGCTACTGGGAACTGCTATAGTGTCGCTTTCCGCAGTCTGCCGAACCACGTCGTCCTCATCCCTGGCAATTGTAGGACTCTGCTTCGCACCATTCGTCTTTCCGTCGCTAGACGTTGAGTCTGTGTTCGCCAGTGTTGACGTAGTAGTAGAGATACCGTCTTCCTTCACAACTTGCACGTGACTTGGCTGTGACGTCAACTTCGGGTTCTCCTCAAAGTCAACGCTCATGTTGTCCTTCCCTTCTGAGCTTGATCCCTGCCGGGTGCTCTGAATACTTTCGTAGCTCGGTTGGTCCCATTCAGATGGAGAGACGACAGGAGATCGTGTAGCTGAAGCATCCGGAGCTTCCGCCAACTCCTCACCATCGACGCTTGGTACTCTGGACTGTTGCAGGCGAGTTTGATCGTCACCGCCTTTCGTCGGTAAACTAGTAGTATGGAATGCTTCAGTCTCCTTTGACTCCTCGTCCGAGCTAGGCCTTTGCTTGATGCTATGATCCGAAACGTCAATCGTCGTCGAGTACTCATTCTGCTGAGGAGCTTGCTCCCCATGCCGCACTGTTGTGACGCTGGGGTCCTGTTGAACAGATTGACTTCCATCTGCAGCGGTGTCCGAGCCTTGGTGAGTTGCACCGCTGTTATCGATAACCAAGTCAGGCTCAGCGGTCGGAGTGGCATCGTTGTCGCTTGCCGAATGCGGAGGAACATGGACTACTTCTGAAGCATTGAAGACCACAGCACTCTGTTGCTGAGCTTGAGTCGGTGCTGCGGTAGTGGTAATTGCAGTCGGTGTAATCACTGTCGGAATCGTCGATGGCGGCGCCTTTCGAGTCACTGTAGTCGGTACATGAATCGAGGGAGACATAGTTGATGGTAAGTTGGTTCGAGGCTTTGACGGACGCCCGCTTCCGGACGGTGGAAACCGGTTGGTGCCCGTCGTGCACTGACCAGCAGTCAGAGACACCGTATCGACCATGGAGACACCATTCAGGTCTGTCATTGACACGGTAACGTTGGAAAGGTCTGCGACAGTCGAACCTGACCCATCAAGAAGGTAATAGTAGGCTCCATCCAACATCTTCGTGGCCTTGCCATTGATCGTGAGACTTGTGATACCTGTGGCAACATTCGTCGGTTGGATGGCCGTCCAGAAATTGTTGCTGCCACCCTTGAGACAGTAGTTCACGTTTCCCGCTACAGGGCAGTCCACAAACTTCCACTTGAGGGTATATCGCGCGGGGTGGGATCCTGTGAGTGTCTTGAAGACCGACGGGGACAGGTCGAGGTCGCCGTGTTTGCATTCGGGACACCGATCAAGGATCTGGACCACAACAGACTTTAGCTTGTCAGCACAACGGGAGTCGGCACATGTCACTTCAGCACAGCGGCCACAGTTCTGCAGCCCATTCCACTGGTCGTTGTTCAGCGCAGCATAGTCCGTGGTAGCAAAGTCGAGGGCCGACATCATGTTGCAGTTACCAGAGCTCGTGTCTCCGAGGTTGTACGCAGTACCATCTCCCGTGAAGTACGTATCAGCAGTGGAAAGGCCCAATGTGGCTGCAGTGGTGACGGAAACGATAGACCTCAGTGACTTCATTGTTGAAGGGGACGACCGTACCGAGTGGTCGAGATGTGAGAAATGAAAGAATGTCGTCAACGAAACCAGGCACGAAAGACGAGTTTACGCAAGTAGAGCTGCTTCCTTGCTCTGTAGCAATGAGGGGGGGATGGCAGGGGCAGTGCTTTGTTACCTTCTGGGCATCACGAACCGTCACGCTGCGTTGCGATAGCTAACCCCGTTATTATCCGGTAGCAGCCGTTTACAACAACTGTGACTGATGAATGGACTTGGTGACCACGTGACTTTCGTGGACTCGCAAACTCTTCCAAGTCAATGGCAGATTAGGCAACATACAAACATTTGCACTTATGGCATGACGAACATCTGCATGTCCACGTGGTAGCTGAGTGCTACAACGACAAAGCGTGAGAGAGAGGCTAGAAGTGTGTAGTTAGTTGTCAACCGGCTGGTGTTGTGACGCCAAACGCTCACGTACCCTCATAGGTGTTTACAGTGTAGATAGTATACGCGATTGTGTAATGCAGCTGTGGTTTGCAGTCGAGTGGATGCAACGGCCGCGAATTTACCTTGCGCGGGAAAAGCAGTAGCTGAGCAACAGCATGTTATTTATCCAACAGCAGTAGCGGAAGGAGGAATGGCCAACGACGCGTTGGAGCTACGAGCGTATGCTGTCGAGCTCTTGGCTTGAAACGGTTTATCTCAACCGCTTCGCAATTGAATTTGCTAATGGAAATTGCATCGCGCGCGATATCGTGGCTATGACTTGCCAGTACGCACCAACGTGGCAGAAGTGCTGGTACTTGAGTCGTTTCGATGCGAACAAGATGTACATGATAACACGTGCAGTGGTGTATGCTAAAAGTACGATTGTAGGTGAGTGGTTGGAACGTGATGTTTATGTGGCAGCGAATTCATACGCTTTGGCCCACAGTGTTTGCTGTACTGTGTCCGCCTTTCATTCAGTGCATGGTGGCGATGCTATCATACTGACAGCTTTGTTTGACATGCCTAAATGGCATAGCTTGCAACTGACTGAGAGTTGACGGCAAGCAATTATGTTGTCCATTTTTAAAAGATCAGTGCGAGATCTGTGTATTGTATGGGAAAGAGACTGAAGAACTGGCTAGGTTAGGTCGGACGATGAATCCTTTCTTTCTAATTCATCTCACACCGAAGCATCTTTGTTGGTGAGGCGCAAAGACACACGTTGGCTTCTTACACAGCTAGGTCGTCACGATAGTGCCAAGTTCCATGAGGCTACTATCTATGAATGCAGGTCGGTAGAGTCGTTACTGAATCAAGGATCTATGACTTGCATTTTCGCGTACGTAAATGAGCTGAAATCTCACGTTTGATTGCGAGCCCGAAGGATGAAGCTATCAGTGACGGTGCACAAGGTTGAGTGCCCAGCTTTTTGATCGTACTTATCTGTGTCCGTCTGTCAGTCAGTCTGACTGTGTCTGTCTGTTTGTAAATAACTCGGTTAGGTGTACCTGACCCGAAGTAAGTGCGATCTAGCCTGTCCCCCTCATTGGTACATCCGAAGTCACTCTTTGGCTAGGTCACTATGGTGGAGCGACAGTGACCTATCCAAACAGTGACTTCAGATGCTTGTGATTGGCTTAAAATCGATCAAAGGTGGGCATGATCACGTAAGCAAATGCTGGACGCTTTCAAGCAAAGGCCGATCACGTTGCCCATGTATACTGTACTGTAAGAAGTAGGAGTTAGGTAAAGTAAATGACTTGTATATTACCGCGCACCAGACGCGTTTCGGCCCCCCGCCGGGGGCCTCATCAGTGGTTTGTCAATCTACAAGTGAGAACTATCCATACGTCTAGCTGCCGTACGACCTATAATAATGCATAGAACCCTAAAGAACATTCTAGACATACCCTATCATGGGTCGAATCTCTGGAGTCGAATCCAGTGCATCATGCACTTACAACATGTACTGGGTTAACACCGACAGTGACAGCATCATACACATTCTTCAGTGAATGCTGCTGTTGTACAGTGTTCTGCAACTTGATTCAGTTCTCCAAACTGGAGTACTTATATCAAGGGCGAGCTCCAGAGCTTGCTCCTCTACTTATTTATTATGATCTGCTTATGAGCAAATCTGTCATAACTATCGGTTACGTGGGGGGTAATCAATACCGGTATTGATCATACGACCTGACCTTTAGCCTTTTATGACAGATCTGTGACAACTGCCGACCCTCATACACTACTGCCTACGCCATGTCGATGGAAAACATACTCAGACACATCTTAGATTGAATAGCGTCAACCTCATATTGATAAATGTGATGTCCTACGTGATACGTATCGAGGACTTACGTCCAGAGTAAATTCGTGGGTAGTTCAGTGTAATAACAGTGTACAAAGAAGAGATCTGAATCAATCGCGGTGCTGACATGGGTGCTCAAACAAGTATGTTAATTTGGTAGTATGACTATGAGCGATGTGAAGCGTGTGCAAAAAGCCTCGACGATATTATGGTATTCAATGATGCCGCTACAAACGTTCTAAAACTGGATCTTACTTTAGGGATACAAAAGCCTGTACGGGTTCGATACGTTAGTTTGTTTCACAAAAGGCTATAGAAGGGTGGAAGTACAAGCGAAGTCGAAACCGACATACTGCACAAACGTGCTGGAACAAGTGAAGTCTTTCAAGCCTTTTGTATCCCCAGACTCTCGGTACATACTACGGGTTGGGGCCACGGAATGCTAAAAATTATTCTCTTGAAGTATATATGGTATCAGCGCCCTCGATGGAATAACATCGGAATGATAAAAGAAGCTAAAGCAAATGTTCCGGAAAGGTTCATCGATATCATGAACTAGTATGGAGCAGATTGACGAGGTTGATATGCTCTGATAGTAAACGAGACTTAGCAAAACAAGTTGGAAAAGTCAGGGAGTTTACCTCCACCTTTGCCGCTGCATCAAAAAAAGGGTTGATTCGAAAATGATGACGTTAGTTCTTGTTAGCACCCGATTGACATCACATAGTCATCAATCTATGAATTAGCATGGCTTTTCTCGAAGGGTGTATGCAAGACCAAGAGTTTGGCGAAAGAAGAGCGAAGACGGCTGGCGTAAGAGATAGATAGTGAAAGACGAGCTCCGCTTACTACTGCAGAGAGTAGGTACTTCGTACCTTCAGCAATCAAATGCCGCTCGAAGCAAAGAAAAAAGGAGACGTCGAGCGCTGAATAAATGAGACTTTTGTCACCTTGAATGTGCATTAAACATACGGACGCAATACCATAACATTCATCGGTTTGAGCAGCTCACAGTCGGTGGAGTGTGCTACGTTTTACAGGTGCTACTTATTTGTTGTGTCCAGTTATGCATCAGAGCACGCCATGCTGATAATATGATATAGGCAAGTAACTCTCTTTCCTCGATCGAGAGGTCTGGTCATAAGTCTCACGACTCGCATTTCGTGGCAAGAATTTCATAATTTCGTGAGAGGGAGAAGTGTTGAGTTGCTCGTTAATTAATTGAAAGAGAAAAGCTAGAGTTAGTACATTGAATAGTCATCTGAATTATGTGCACTGGATTTTCTCATGTCGTCCACCCACGTTCTAATGACGCCTTAGCTAATTTTATAAAATAAAACCAACCTAACGTTTCTATGGCGACGGTTGGCTCGGAACTACTGTGTGAGCGATGTAGCTTCAACAAGAAGTCATTCGATGGCCCTTATTAGAAAGGTGCCATTTCATCACCCGTGTTTGCTATTTCCACTGCACTTCAAAAAAACTTTGCCAAAAAAGCGGATTTTTGCACGATTATTAGAGTCGGCTGTGTGTCATTTTATACGTCACTACCTGTCCTCAAGCAAAGATCATAAATTTGCTGAACATTCCAATCCTGTCCATTCATCACGCGTATCGGATCGATTTATACCTGTTGAAGAAACGACTATGGCTGCTGTTTTAACTGTACCCTTGTGCCAGCAGACAACTTGGTTGTCAGAATGGATATAAAGCAGATCGCTCTCGTTCGGTTTGGGCCGTGTAGTTATTTCTTGGATGGATATCGATACGAATAATGTGCGCTTTGGATAAAGTTCTAGCAAGACAACGACTCATCTATGTCACACTATTGAACGCTCGAGCGTGATCGCAAGTTAGTACATTCAGCCTTTTTACATCCTCGCCTAGCCATTGGTATTTTGTAGAAGAGTATTGTTTACCAGGTTAAAGTGATGTACGCGCGATGTAAAGCAGATGCAGACATTATCAGTGCTGAACTGGTCCTTGTGAACCGCTTATCTTAATCAGCTGTACACGAACCTGTACTTTTGAGATAAAGTTCTCCTAGCTAGACAGACAATGGTTGTGGCAAAGGTCTGATAATTGGCGTTCTGCCTTCCATATCGGCTTATTCGCTTCGAGCTTCAGAGCACTACTGTGACTATTTGATGCACCAGTCAATTACACGAATTGTTTTAGTATCACGCGCCCCTGATCAACTCACGGCATGTTCGTCGATCGCTAATGGAGCTCGCTTGCAAAACACATCGTAAATGTTTTGATTGTCAGCGTGAAGGACAAGGCGCAGAACCAATACCAGAGACCGCTGCGTGAGTGTTTGATCTAGGCCGCATTGCCCGCGAGGATGCCAGCTTTTGCTCGTGTTTATAAAAACTATCAAGTCGTTTTATCGATTCATTCTGTTTAGCAACCTGTGTCACCGGCGAGGGTGAAGCACATGGTAGAAGGAATGAGTGACATGATGGTCACCACAAGCGAGTAGATAAAAAACAAGAGACAAAGCGCTACAATACCGCCACTTGCGCCCTTCGTGAAGCCACCGTACATGCGCAACTGCTGCGCGTCGAGCTTTTGAGACGGCAGGAAAAAGAGTCCAACCCAAGCGAGAGCGTTTATCCCAAAATTCAGGAGTAGCGATAGCACAACGTCCCAACGCGCGCTTGAAGTGTCTGCGGCAACTTCGTCCACGTCGTAAAAATTTGACCCTTGGAAAATACCCTGAGCATTCGTATCCACAAAGATGTTCACACAACGTTGCAGTGTGAGTGTAAGGCCCACCATAGCGCCTTCGGAACCCTCTTGAACAATCTCCGTCACGGGCACGATAGTATTCAGAAGACCAATGCCGTCCGAGACATAAGTCATTGCGTAAAAGAATCGGTAAAAGTAGCGGTTGCGCACCACATCCAACGACACCAGCAGCGTCACAAAGAGATTCGGTACGATCTGGAAAGCAGGCGCCAATGCAAAGAAGATGGGCCACACCCGATTCATAAAGACGTAGCGCCACACGAGCATGACGCCGATCATCACGAGGTCCTGGATAGTTTTGACAACCAGCGAATTGTCCTCGTTCGCACCAGCCCACGTACTCACGACAGTGGTCGACTGATTGAACTTGATGCCCAAAAACAGCGTGAAGAACCAAATGAACGCGAGGATTCGCCACACCGCTTTCTGCTGCATGATTTTCCACAGAATCTGACCCCGGATCTTCATGGACGTATTGAGCGAGTATACCTCCTCATCCCAGAAACGAAAGATAAGCGGCAGTGGCAAGATCGACAAAACTCCAAGGATGATCATTGCTGTCGATATCGAGATGTTGGGTTCGGGGCCCGTGCCCAAAGCTAGAAACGAGAGCACCGACGTGAAGATGGATACGAAGCGGCGGAAGATCAAGTAAGTCACTTGAATGGAACCACGGTCACGCAGAGATTCACGTTGTGAGAACTCCACCACCCGAGTGTGCACGCACACGTAGGTGGTGATGCAGCCCATGCTGGACAGAGCGACAAAGAAAAGAGCGACAACCACCGATCCTTTGCTAGCCGTCGCGTCATGGCTAAGAGACGCACTCACAATGGCGATTGCAAACACCGCGACGGCATTGATGATGCAGCCGAGGATCATATAACCTTTACGACGAAGACCCATGATCGGGTAACAGTCGGACAGTAGACCGACGAGGAAACTGAGGGTCATGGGCATCTGGATCAGTCGCTTGACGGCAAGAATTGACGTCGGGCTTAGTCCCAATTGCGTGTTGTACATTGGCTGCACCAGCACGAGCAGAGCTTGGTAGGTCAGCATAGAGGTGAACGTAGCAGCCACGAGACCGAGACACTCCATGGAAAAAAAGTTCACGGACCTGCCCTTACGAAGACTACCATACATTTGATGGTTGTAGAACTGCTCACTAGATGCAAAGGGTCCACTCTGACTATCTAACGAAGCGCCGGTCGAATTCAAGTCCAGCGGCGAGTCGAGCAAGTTGAAGTTTGTTTTGCTCGGGACCAGCTGAGGTACCATCGCGTCGACCGTCTTGGGTTCGAAGTTGGTGTCATACATGAGCAATGAGGCGTCGGTACAACAAGAAGTTTAAGGTCGTCAACCGCAAGACTCAAGCACAATGTCGACTACGATGAGAAAAATTGCGAACTGATGATGCAAAGGGATCGCTTGTCAAGATGTAGACGCAAAGACGAGGAAGTTCTGGTCGGTATTTCTTGCTGCCGTTGAGTTGGTGAGATGACTGACCCACTCGCGGCTGGCGTAAAATCAGATGCTAGCGTGCGTGGCATATGGATTTCGGATAGAGCATGGAAGTAAGTGGCACTCGCGTTAGTAGCTGTTGTTGACCGTTGACAAGAACACATGGCTTTGTGATGTATATGCAATACACATCTATTTATACAAGAAGCTAAGAAGAAAGCAAATGAGCAGATATAACCAGACTGACGACAGTTTTACTGGGTGGAGGCGTATCGGGAGCATGATGCAAGGACGCATTTTTTCATACAGCTGTAAAAAGCTTCTTGTCGCCTCCCTTGTGTTTTGGCGTCTACTGACAGAGGCGATGCCTGTGAAAGCTGCCATTGTGATGCAATGCAGCCGTGTTCATGTGTGCAGTACGTCAAGCACGGCACCTCTTGAAGTGATATCTCGGACGAATACTATCGTCAGTAAATGCTGTTGGTGACCGATGAGGCTGTGCTCGAGTTGATGGCGAAAAATGGCTCGCGCAGGGACTTCCCGGTCCAACTTTACTGGAGACTAGGCTCGCAGCCGGGAGGCAGAAAAGTATGATCTTGATCCTCAAATACGTCGTGAATGAAATCACGCTCCTATAGTTTCCTGCCTCTAGCTAAATGTTGGGTAGTGAGGAAGTTGTGTAGCAGCTGAACTCACACGTAACCGAATCGATGCGGAAGCTGTGTCGTGCAGCGGACAGGTGCTGTTATCTATTCAAAGCCAAGAGAGATCTAGTGAAGATTTCAGCGCTTCTGATGCTGCGTCAAAATCAGCATTATGGACTGGATTTACACGAACACCGGGTGTTTCGAAGCTACAACAAATTTGTATGTACAGTCGAAATCTTTCGTGTTGATCAAGCTTCCTAGATCCTCACTGAACTACAACCAATCCAAGGAGGAAGCATAAACTCCTTATCGCCCTCACCACATGGACCGTGTCTGCAGTCACTGTTCGCCCGATTGCCGTCACCACCTGGTTTAGTATATTACACTCACTCAGTTACCCGATGACTCGACAGTGTCCGACCGCAAAAAGTCTACACTTCTCCTGGCGGTTTACCAACTACCAAAGTGGCAGCGCATGCAGTTGACTGAAACTGCCAGAAGCATTATCCTGGCTTCCCTTTGTCGTATGTGCTGAAGGCACGTGCATAGTTTGCTAGTGGCTGACCCCGTTGAGGATATCCCGGAAATGCGTCACATGTCAATGCTAGCTGTGCAAGGTTTATCGCTAGTACTTGGGGCTCTTCTCGGTGCTCATTTCGTGATTGTACAAGACACCCGCCATTTTGTTCAAAAGGCACAAATTGTGAGCCAACGCACTATTTGTTGCCTATCAGCTGCATTGCGGCATCTGCATAACATCACGTAGGTGCAATGGTTCAGGCGGTTCTCGTTAATGACGCGTTAAGTAGTGAGGTCCGACGTCATGAAGTCCGTTTACTATGCAAAGTGGCGTTTTACGGCAGGGTGGTTGTAAACCAACCAGTGGCGTTTTACGGCAGGGTGGTTGTAAGCCAACTACCTCTGTATGCCGGGTAGTTGGTCGTGGTGGTCTTGCCTGCATGCGAACGCTGGTCATCCGGTGTATATGTGGTTGCATGTCATTCACATTCATACGTCAAACTTCCGATCTTGACCTGCCTAGTCCAGATTATCGCTAACGTCTTCACCGAAAAAGCAGTGTCTATGCCAGTTCGCAGTAAAATGGCTGTGTAACATTTGTTGCCCTGTGTAACTTTCTACGTGCCAATAAATACACATGGTTAGCATAAAGTGGTGCCCGTGATTCGAGTTGAGCATGAATCAGCGTCTGGTGGTAGCTTCTTAGTTTAGTCCGCCCTAAAAGTCAAATTGCCGCTTGGTATCGATAATATTCGAGTTGTTACATCGACTACTACATCTGCTTTTCAGGATCGCTTGGGTCGCGTGGTAGGTCCGAGACTTTAATACGATGGAGGAGCAAGCTCTGGAGCTCGCCCTCGATATCAGTACTCCAGTTTGGAGAACTGAACCAAGTTGCAGAACACTGTTCAACAGCAGCGTTCACTGAAGAATGTGTATGATGCTGGTACTGTCGGCTTTAACACAGTACAGTTTACTTGGGCAACGTGATCGGCCTTTGCTTGTAAGCGTCCAGCATTTGCTTACGTGATCATGCTCACCTTTGATCGATTTTAAGCCAATCACAAGCATCCGAAGTCACTGTTTGGATAGGTCACTGTTGCACGACCATAGTGACCTAGCCAACGGGTGACTTCGGATATACCAATGAGGGGGACAGGCTAGATCGCACTTAGTACGGGTCAGGTACACCTAACCGAGTTATTTACAGACAGACAGACAGACTGATTGACAGACGGAAAGAAAGACAGACAGACACATAGACACGTAGACACGTAGACACACAGACACACACAGATAAGTGCGATCAAAAAGTTTGGTATTCAACCTAGCGCACCATCACTGACAGCTTCATCCTTCAGGCTCGCAGTTAATACATTTCACATCATGCAGCTGACCCATGATGGATTCCATCATGTGTGTGTTTGAAGGATGTGCGAAGAAGCTCTTCCGTGGCCGCCCATCCTCTCGTCGCATCAGTTTTAGTTTCTTCTCCTGAGTTTTATGGGATGCATTGCTCGACGTGTGAAACCTCGTTGTATTCAACGTGCGAAGGAAAGTGTTTGATAGTTGGTAGCTTTCGATCATGTCCATGACATACTGATAGCGCCCTCGTGTACCCCGTCTCAGTAAAAACAGGGCACCTAGCGTCGTTCACCCCATCCCGGATTATAACACTCACATCGCTATTCTATGAAAAACAGACAACTACCAAGCGGGGAACGCTGGAACACGTGTAAACCTTTCGCTGCAATTTTTTAAGTGCCGTAGCGAATCCTACAGAAATCATCTTCTATGACTATGCCCTACCGGAAACATCAACATTGACGTGGCGGGTTGTTCTTTCAAAGGTTTCATGTTGGAATGATCTGGCACACTTGTTTGAATGGATTGCTCGATGATTGTGCCACCGTTCGATCCAGTGCGAAGTGCGCGTGAACGGCTCGGACATCGTGCCACCTAGTAAAAGGACCTTCCTACGATATTAAACTGATCCTCTCGTGAGTCCACTGGTGATTGTAGCTTTGGAGGTAAAAACGTAGCTGTCGCTGTGATGCATATTTAAGCCGCCGTATACAGACAATGCAGACGCTCGGGGGCAAAGAGCGACCCAGCATGGGTACGTGAACCTTAAGAACTCATTTCACTTTTCTCAGCTGAACAACTAATGTTAAAGGGCGAGCTCATGAGTTTGCTCCTGTCTTATGTGCCGCTTCGACGGGCACAGCTTCAGTACACTCCATGAGCGCATACAAAACTGATTCTATACTGTAAACGCGTCATAAACACTACTGAAATATGGTGTAAAGTCAATGTTTAGGAAGTTCCGATTATCTCTCCCAGATTAGTATTGCGTAATATTTCGCCGTTACCATCGCCATTTCGCAGCAGTGCGCGTGACTGAACGACTATCGAACGGAGCTTGTGACTCACAAAGATGAACGACAGTCACCTAGGTGTCGACAAAACAATCTGTGGGTCACTTAAATAATGTAAAACGGAATGAAACACCATGCAGAATATACAACGCATTACGTGGAACCTGCGCTTTTGCGGATTAGTTCTCATTTCAGCTTCGCCGGCACATTTGCGCAGATTAGCAGTGTACAAAATCAGTGAGTTACAAGTCGAAATCAACATAGCAAGCGGCCAAACAGGCAAGATGGTTGACGGAATTACAATCATTTGTTTAAACAGCGGCCAGTATTGTTTAATTTGTAGGCTTGTATGTTACGCAACGTTTCTATAGCCAAGTAGAAGACCTTTCGACCAGATAAGCAATGCAAAGAACTCAAGCATTTACACCACCATGAACATGTACGACACCACGGATGACGCGATGCCTTAGCAACCTTCGTCACCGGCGATGCCCAGGCAAGACATCGATGGCAATAGCGTGAGTACAGTGACAGTCAATGAGCACAAAAAAGAGCATCACAACGAAAACGAGAATCGCGCACTTCGTGTATCCGCCAGAACTCCGCAGCTGCTGGGTGCCAAGCCTCTGCCGAGGTAGGGAGAAGAGAACAATGAGCACTCAACGCATTGATGCCATGGTTCAACAGTAGTGTCTTTAGCACAGGCTAATGCGCTCGAGGGTATCCGTTGCAGTTTCTTCATGGCTGTAGAAGTTCGTGCCTTTAAACAGCACAGTCGAGTTGGTTTGAACGAAGATGATGATCGAATAGTACAGAGACGTCATCGATCCAACCATAGCACCCTTGGAACCTTCCTGGATGAGTTCCGTGAGCGGCACGATGCTTGCCAGCCAAAAGGTGAACAGACTGACATACTCGGGAAGAGATTCATCACGTGATAGAACTATCGGTTACGAAAGATGTCTAGAACGGTGCAGGTGGTCGCAATGGTTTGAGAAGTGACCAGTAGCACGGTAGACATCGCAAAGGAGGTACGCCACGGTCGATTTATACAGCAGTAGCGCCACACTATGGCCATGAACATCACCGCTCCAAAACCCAGGACATGCAGTAGAAGTATGTTGTCACTACTGACTCCCGCCCAAAAGCTCACGAGTAACGTGGGGTCGCTAAAATTGATGTCATTGAATAAGGCGGAATGCACAAGAACACAAGAATGCTCCAGACTGCTTTTTGCTGCGTGGCTCTCTTTTGAATTGGGCCACGTGACTTCATCGAAGTCGAGAGTGGATAACACTTTTCCTGCCAAGTGTGCCGCACGAGCGCAATCATGAAAGCTTACGACATCGCCAAAGACAATCAGTTCTGTACTGTGGTACCTCGCGCTGGTCTGAACAACATACGCACAAGCACTCGTGAAGAGCAAGACCGCAACTCTGAAGATTGAAAACGTTGCTGTGATAGCGCCGCGCATACCCAGCGGCTCACGTTGAGACAACTCGACCACTTGAATGTGAACGCACATGAACGTGACCGTGTTTCCAGTTCCAATTAGTGATGCGAACGCTATCATACCTACTGCTAATCCAGTGCATTAGTTCCTCGCTTGAGGCTTTCTCCATGAGCGTTTAATGCCAAGAGGGCAAAGTAGCTTACCACAGTTGACACCAGACTGATGATCAACTGCGCTTTGCGGCGGAACCCCACGATCGGATAGCCGTCCGATAGCAGCCCGAAAAAGAAGCAGAAAGTCGAACGCATCGAAATGAGTCGCTGCGACGCTGCCAGCTTCGCTACATTCAAGAAAATGATGCTTTAACATCGGTTCAATCACGCCAGTCAGGCACTCACTCGAAAACGCTGACGCGAATGTGGCCGCCACGACACCGGCACATTCCTTGGTGAAAACTTGGCGGGATCTCCCTTGCGGAGAGTCCCGTAGATGTTAAGACCGTGGAGTGACAAGCCTGTGTCGGTTTCTGCGACTGGGCTCTCGAAATCTTTTGCTGCGTAAGAAGGCACTGTAGCATCGTCGTTGTATTCGGGCGATTGGGATGAATGGTAGTTCTGAATACCCGCCTCGTGCTGCGATGTCAACTGCATTGTTGTAAGACTGATGCATCATGTTTAGCTATGCTCTGTCAGCGTGTCGGACTTGTACCTTTTGGCTACGAAAGTAGACAAGTGGTCCTTGGAAGATCGTGGTGGTTCCTAGTGTCAGAGTCGTGATAATCGAATACATAGGGATGTCTGGCTCACACACATGGACTTAGCTTGAAGTAGGCAATCAGATAGCTTAAGTGTTAATCACAAGAGTCAAGCTTCGCTTGATGTTGCAACACAGCTCAAAATGTACTCAACAATAAGACTATGTATTTTTGATAGGCCATCGTCATGTCAGCGAATATTGCAGAGACTGTGCTTTATGTGTAACAATCTACTATGTCGAGGGCTGGTTGTGTATTGTATTTGCGGTAGTTATGACCCCATTGTAACGGGGTGAATCGTTACATAACAATTTATAAGAAATTGTTAATAGAATATAACTATAAGAGTTATATTCTCAGAATATTGTCATAAGGACAAATATTCTGTAGCACTTACGAGTTTCTAATTGGTTGATATAGGCCATTATATCAACCAACGAAGACGCGCCACGACAGACGCACGCAATGAGTGGTGAGCAGGTAACTGATTTACACATTTGTATTTAGACATAGTTAGATGAAGATAAATAGTGATTTATTGCAGACATTAACTATACTAAATACAGTTCTACTTTTTACTTTAAACAAGTACTCGCTTCTTCTTACCGTCTTCCTCTGCACGTACGAGTGTACGTGAAGTTACGAGGCACCGCCTTATTCTGTCATCAGAATAAGTAGCTTGTACTGTCACCAGTACAAGCTTCAGGGTGCCCCGTTACACCTGGTAGCACTTCGTAGTCCGTCCAAGGACTACGTTCACATCTAACATGAATATGTTAGATGATGAAGATGACCAAAGCTTTCACGCTACGTGTGCCGGCTACTCCCATTTGAGCGATGTCGAATGGGATGCGGTTGAACGAATGGGTTCAACCATGGGCATCCATGCTGTTAGCGTCATGCTAGAGGCTCTCAATAGAGATGCCCAACATGCTGCTATCGCCAGGTTCATTCGTAATGAACTTGACGCTGAACGCGAGAAAGTAGCCTTGCTTCACCAACAAGGTTCTCAACAAGCAGAGTTGTTGAGAAAACAGGGTGCTCAACAGTTTGAACTGTTGAGACAGCAGCAGGCTACTGCTGGTGGGTCGATGCACTCGCGTCGACCCGAGACCTTGAAGATTGACATCTCTAAGTATAGGGGAGTCGAAGAGGACTCCCTCTTATGATGGTTCGTCGAATTGGATGACGCCATAAGGGCGCGTCGCATCGACGACGGGGATATGCAAGTTGCATTAGCCCAGTCAAATCTGGCAGGACGTGCCAAGACTTGGGCACTGGGGCTCAAGTTGCACGACCCATATGCGTTTGGGTCGTTGGAAGTCTTCAAGTCGCGGCATAGACAAACGTTTGAACCGCCTAGAGCTGAGTTCAGGGCTCGAACCGAACTCTTGAAGCTCAAGCAGGGTAAGCGTGATGTGCACGCTTATGCTCAACATATACGACATCTCACGAGTTGTATAAGTTCCAATCCGTTGGATGAACACACGTTGGTTTCGGTGTTCATGCAGGGTCTTGCGGATGGTCCCGTCAAGACTCACCTGTTCCGGCTTGAACTAGATTCACTATAACAAGCCATTTCCATTGCGGAGCAGGAAGACTTCAGTCTGAGACAGGCTCGCGCCAGCTCGACATCATATCGTCAACCGAGACGATATGACAACGGAGGTCCAGAGCCGATGGAACTCTGTTATGTAGAGAGCGAGAAGGCTCGCTCTACAGGCTACAAGAAGTTGCAGAGATGCAACGGATGTCAAAAGACAGGACACTACGCTTACGAGTGTAGTGTCCCTCGTCCAGTGTCTCGCGATACTGGGCGTAGTGACCGTCCACCCATGAGAAAGGGGCAGGGACGAGGGTCCGCAGTTGGTGCAAAGACGCAACAACGGGATGGACCGTCAAAAAACGGACAGGATCAGTAGGTGCGGAGCACCCTACTGATTCAGCAACGTCAAGAGAATTTTTGTAGGCCTCTTGATGAAGGTTGCTCCCAACACACAAACGTTGTGCGTCGCTGCTCTAGGTAATGACATATCACTCATTACCTTGAAACTCGAAGTGACGAATAAGTTGTCCCTTCGAGCTCTAGTCGATTGTGGGGCGTCCAACAATTTTGTGCGACGCCAATCGCTAGAATATGGTCACTTTAAATTCAGTGAATGTGACACACCTCCTACGAGGATGACGGTACGTCTTGCGACAGGCGCATCCGTAACCGTCATGAAGCGTATAGTGAAGATCCACTATACGCTAGAAGATACCCAATATGACGATGACTTTATCGTATTGGATTTGGATGACAAATTTGATGTCATCCTTGGAATACCGTGGCTCAGAAGGTACGAACCACGGGTAAACTGGCAGCATCGAAAAGTAACGATACCTGCCGCTTGTTCATCATATGGCCATCTGATGAACGTTTTGGAGCGTCCACAAGCGTGTGGATGTACTACGAGTGAGCGCAATGGCCTCACTTGTGGTACGGTCGTTAGTACGACTGCACAAAACCTTAGTGTAACAAACAGTTACACTTCGGAGCAAAGTTCTGGCGGCTGTGAGGAAACACAGGCTGCGCCGAAGGTCTACCATTCGAATAAGTCGAGTGGACCGGGACAAAGATGTATCCCTAGCGGGGAACATCTAGAAGAGAAACAATCGATCGCTCAGGTTAAGCGAAACGATAATCCTAGATCGACTGGAGAGTCTTTCGTAGAGGATCTCGCTGTGGTTGCGCAACCCCAGCTAGAGGAAGTAAAGGGAATAAGTCCCAAGATTACAAATACGGCGGAAATAAGTTCCCCAAAACCCGCGGGAATAAGTCCCCGGGAAGCCGAAGGAATAAGTCCTTCGAAGCCTGAGGGAATAAGCCCCCAGGAAATGACAGAGACATTGAATGTCATAGTCAATAACGGATCAAGTGTAGGCGCTTATACACTTGATCTGATTGCGCCTCCGAAGTTGACTTCGGAGATCACTCAGTTGCCAACGCTCGAACATAAAAGGTTCTTGCGTGATCTGCCTAGTGGCAAAGTTCCACACTCGTCGCTGACGACGAGTGTGTAACCGACATAAGGTCAGCAACAGTGTTTACTGAGAACGAGAGAGTTCTCAGTAGTTCATCTATGGACGAGAGTGTCCTAGATGAAAAGACACGAATTGAGCGATATGACTCCCAATCGTGGGAATCGCTCAAGAAAAATCCTCTCTATGAAGATTTGGTTGAATTCAAGGATGTATTCCCTGAAACTGTTCCGTGCGAATTACCGAAGGATAAAGGTATTCGACACGAGGTCGAGCTTAAACCAGGCTCGAAGTACTGTGTCATGAAGCAGTGGCCACTGCCTCGTGAACAAGTACTTGAGATCGACAAGTTCTTTGCCGATCGTTTAGCAGCGGGCCATGTGAGGGAATCAACTTCTCCGCATAGCTCTCCGACCTTCTGTGTGCGAAAAGCAACAGGAGGGTGGCGGATAGTGCATGCATTCAACAAATTGAACGCTGCAACGGTACCGGCTCAGACGCCGATACCGAGGAAGGACATAATCATTGATGGTATGTCAAAGAGTACCATCTTTTCGTCCATGGATTTGATGGATGGCTTCTATCAAATCCTTATGCGGGAACGGGATATACCCTATACCGCAGTTAGCACGCCTAGCGGCATGCTCTGAGAATGGCTAGTAATGCCACAAGGGCTTAGTAATGCCCCTGCCACGTTCAACAGATGTGTATCACATCTGTTGAGACCAGTACGAGAATTCGCGCCGAGTTATTTCGATGACGTATTCATCCATAGTCGGGCTATGGATGGAAATTCGGATGTTGAGGTTCACAGGTACCACGTCCGACAGGTTCTTACAATCATGCGAAAGCATCAATTGTATGCAAACCTCAAGAAGTGTATATTTGCAGCAAGCGAAATACCACTTCTTGGGTGCATCGTCGGTAAGAACGGAGTACGTCCTGATCCCGAAAAGATCAAGGCGATCACCGACTGGCCCGTGCCTGTTGATGTCAAAGGTCTTCGAAAATTCCTTGGGCTAGCGGCGTATTTGCATAAGTATTCACGCAATTACGCCGAAATGACTGTGCACCTCTCTCGTTTGTTGAAAAAGAACGAGAGGTGGTTATGGAACGCTGAATGTCAGCGCTCCTTTGAGGGTATCAAGCAGAGCTTGATACAATCCCCAGTCCTAGCAATAGCCGATCAGGACAGGCCATTTCATGTGGTCTGTGATGCCAGCGATTTTGCAATCGGCTGTGCATTAATGCAGTACGATCTTGAAGGCGTTGAACGCGTCGTCTGCTATCAGTCGCGTCAGCTGCAACCAGCTGAGCGGAACTATCCAGTGCATGACAAGGAACTCCTTGCCATGAAGTATGCACTCGCGAAGTTCAGAGTCTATCTATTAGGAGATGGACCCTTCATTGTTTACACTGACCATGCGTCGTTACGCACGGCAGTGAACAGCCCGCACCTTTCACAACGAATGGCGCGGTGGTCGTCATTCTTTGCAGAATACAACTTTACGGTCGAGTACAAACCAGGACGACTTAATGTCGTCGCTGATGCACTCTCACGTCGTCCCGACTTTGAAACAGTCGCGAAACCCAACAGCGAGACAGTCACTGTTGCGGTTATGACGTCCTCAGTCCCATCTTCAACGTTGTATGATGATGTGAGGCGGGCATACGCCCAAGATGGTGAGATTGTGAAGTTGCTGACACATCTCTCCCAACCATCTCGAGAATCGTTAAAACGATTGTCGCCTGCGTATCGATCTGCATCGGATCGATACACTACTCGTAACGGTTTACTGTATTATACAGCCGTTTCTGGTGACACACCACTTGTTGTCATTCCAGATGATACTGATCTGCGTTTGCGGATCATGTTCGAGTATCACGATGCTCCTATAGGAGGACATCGTGGCCGAGAGAAAACATATCTCACGGTAAGTCGAGACTTTTACTGGCCCCGCCAGTATCAGTTTGTGCGAAAGTATGTTCGCGCATGCGAAGTCTGCCAACGAGTGAAGTCAAGTCCTTCACTGCGTGCACCTTTACAGCCTCTACACGGTTCCGGCTGAGTGCTGGGAATCCATCTCAATGGATTTCGTCTTCGGGTTACCCAAAGACGCACGCGGGAATACGGGTATTCTCGTATTTGTTGACAGATTCAGCAAAATGGTACACCTTGTGGCTGTACCAGAGACAATCACGGCAAGTGGCTGTGCTTGTGTCTTTATTGACACCATCTTCCGACTTCATGGGTTGCCCCGTGAACTCGTGTCAGACAGAGATCCACGATTCACTGCTGATTTCTGGCGTTCCGTGTTCAAATCACTCGGAACGCGCTTGAAGATGTCGACATCTGATCATCCAGAGACAGATGGTCAGACGGAACGTGCCAATCGTGTCCTTGAAGATATCCTTCGAGGATACGTACACTCCTTTAAGAGTTGGAGTGAGTTTTTGCCAATGGTAGCGTTTGCCATTAACAACTCGGTGCATGCGTCCACGACACATACACCGTTTTACGTGAATGGCTTGCGCCATCCGCATGTACCCACCTTACTAGATTGTAACTCTGGTTTAAGGGGGGGAGGGACTCGCGCGAGCAAAAACCGATTTGGTTCACGCTCATCACGCTCTGACGAAGAAGTCATTGCGTTTGATGCCGATATCGATAACATCGATATCGAAGAAGATGATGCCAGTGAGAGTGCGGAAGCCCTCACTGAAGACAATGATCCCAGTGAGAGTGCGGAAGCCCTCACTGAAGAAAAGGTTGATGCCGCCGCAATGCGCTCACAGCGCACTGAAGTTAACGAGTCATCAGATGAGTTCATACTGGCTCGTGAAACGGTAGTCCGTTTTGTGCAAGACTCCATCGCCGAAGCGGTGGGTAAGCAAAAGCAAAACGCTGACAAGAATGGAAGGGCAAACACTCTTTTATTTAATAAAGGTGACTTAGTCCTACTGTCTACGGTTAATCTACCAAAGCATGTAGTGACTAACTTGGGTAGCAGTAAACTACTACCCAAGTACATCGACCCATTTCGTGTATTGCACCGCCTAGGCAATGCATACACGATCGAGTTACCACGTAAGATGCGAACGCATCCCACGTTTTACGTTGGTCGGCTTAAGCCGTACCATCAGTACGCTGCTTCTTCCGATGAAGAACGCCCTTGCGCTCAAGCATCTCGCAGAGAGCCTTGTGCTCCCGATGGTGGGCATCAACAAGGGTCTGAAGAGCAGCTACCTCATCCCGAGACCGATCAGCAATCCCACGAGCTACCCTTAGCTCGTCACGAAGAGATGTCAGAGATCTCTCGTTCTCAAGCTGAGCAAAGGCAAACTCAGCTGGATGCTTCAAGGCAGTGTCCGCCATTTGGAGACGCCTATTCCGCTCATGTTCGAGATCGTCGCGTAACCCTTGAGTTACGCGATCAAAGAAGCTCTCGGGAACACACCGATCCACATGATTGTGTGGAGAGCGTCTTTCCTCCTCCTCCACCTCCATTAGAGGACTCTCGCGGTGGCCAGCGCTATCTACTTGAGCAGCTGTTGAACCACCGCGACGTGAACGGACGTCGGACGAGTTATCTCGTCCGGTGGCGCGGCTATACCCCGTCCTGGGATTCTTGGGAGCCCCGCTCCCAACTGATGATCGACGTACTGGGTCTGGTTGAGCAGTACGACGCGGCACATCCTGTGCCGCAGAAGGACCGCCGGAGAAAGTCTTCCCGGCACGGTCGTAAAAGGATTTCAGGTTGTCAATCCCTTCGTACATCTCAGTAGAGACACGTACGCGCCACCACGGGCTGGTAAGGAGGTAAGCCTCCTTAGGTGCTCGTGCAGAGTTGTTCACACAACATGGGCACGGGTCTCCCCATGAGAGGCAGGGTAATCCTTTCTCCCTTGACAGACAATGCAGCTTGTAGCGTGCACCTGTCGGGGTTCGCTTTTCAAACTTATCACGAGCTTTGATAAGTTTGTCGTTCCAAGCGTCACGACCTACATCCTCGAGGTTATGGATGTAGGCGTTCCACGCTTGAAGTAGTGAGGGACCATCACGCTTGTGATTCCCACTGTACCATCGATGTCTGAAGAAAGCATCGATGAAGAATTCATGTTCAGCGCGATAGTTTTTCGCGCTGGGGTCAAGGTGATGGATCCTTGACGAATCGAACAATCGTGTTCGATAACGATCACTCGTCGTCGCCGACAAGTGATCCATGACGGATTTGGGAGGCATCCATGCCTTCTTCTCGGGAGCGAGACGCAAAACATTGCGGTCCCGCTCTTCCTGCGACGTGCCGACAGAAGTACTGGCACCTCGCTGTGAAGTGGTGTCTATAGGAGAACCGACACCACTATTAGCGCCCGAGTCTCGCGAACTCGAGCGCCTTCGCTTCGGCGATGGTTCGTCTGATTCATCAGATGAACCAAAGATGCTGCGACGCAAAGCATCGTCCATGCCACGCTTGGCAGGCGGCTTAGATTCAATCGCCGTCGATACGGATCCGTCTTCCGTATCAGGAGAGTACGAGACACCGAGCTCGTACTCTGTGAAGACATGAGTGTCTTCATGACCAGCGCCTGCATCACCAATTGACACAGCCTGGGTCGCTTCAGCAACCGATGAGACATCAGTTGCTGTAGTTTCTGCTTCGACGTCCGCACAGAGACGTGCGGACGCGCTCTCGGCGGCCTTGCTCGCGCATCGCATGGGCTTGTTAACCATGCGATGAGATGTTGGAAAGTGGACGCGGACCAACAAGTGCAAACCCTGTCCCAAATGATTTGGGACGAGTATCCATTTAGTCAATCAGTCACTAAAGTGACTGATGGTTAAGGGGGGGGGTAACGGGGTAAATCGTTACATGACAATTTATAAGAAATTGTTAATAGAATATAACTATAAGAGTTATATTCTCAGAATATTATCATAAGGACAAATATTCTGTAGCACTTACGAGTAGTTCCTAATTGGTTGATATAGGCCATTATATCAACCAACGAAGACGCGCCACGACAGACGCACGCAATGAGTGGTGAGCAGATAACTGATTTACACATTTGTATTTAGACATAGTTAGATGAAGATAAATAGTGATTTATTGCAAACATTAACTATTATAAATACAGTTCTACTTTTTACTTTAACCAAGTACTCGCTTCTTCTTACCGTCTTCCTCTGCACGTACGAGTGTACGTGAAGTTACGAGGCACCGCCTTATTCTGTCATCAGAATAAGTAGCTTGTACTGTCACCAGTACAAGCTTCAGGGTGCCCAGTTACACCCATGTTATAAACAAAAATCATCAAATTTTCGACCGCACTTGAATAACGTATTGACTATGTTGACCGATAGGGTGAGCGTAAGGATGTATAACCTTTTAAAGGCGAATCAAAGTGGTCAAATGCAATTGGTTATAATCAATGAGAGAGTGGATGGACAATTAAAGCTCACACAGCTACCTATCTGACGTATCAGATCGGATGCAGCAGTGCTGTGTGACGGAGCGGGGCGTGGCATGGAGAGGGCTAGTGTAGCGGATCTACACAGCTCTTTAAGTCATAGGAAGACTTATTCAACAAGCCAACGGCTTACGGCTGCCAGCCTTTTAGTTCTACGGAACAAATACATCAAGTTAAAGAGTCACCCAGTTCTACGGAACTTGGGTGGACTCTACGAGCTAACAGCTCAGCTACTGTAGTTCTAAGGAACTACACGCACAATGTGCGAAAGGGAAATACCGGAGTCTAAAGACTTTCTAACCCATGACAGTTCTAAAGAACTGTCAAACGCAAGGTGCGAAAGGGGGGAGTCTAGGGACTTCTGCTCAAAATGATAACTGAACTTTATTTCGATTTTATATCAAGAAAAATCCTACTATATGTACCCTATATTATCCTGAATACAAATAGTAGTATTCGAAATAAGTGGATGGTTGCCACATCACTTAGTCATCAAATGATGACGGTACAAAGTACGCACACGGTAAGTACCGTAAACCTGGGAAAATCGATCAAACGATATTCTCTTGCTGATATAAAATCTAAGGTCACACACATTCATCCGTATCATTTATGGGATGTCTTTGACCAATTCATCCAAAGGCTAGTGTGACCCCTTTACACCCTCCTCCACCCCACTGACGTTACCACAAACGTCACTCGACTCATTATCCCATTGAGACTTGTTACAAAGTAACGCACCCACATGGACCGACCTGGACACCTCCTGGAAGATAAGGCTCTTGCCAAATTCCTTGGTGTCGAGGACTTGGACTTTGACAGTGGTAGTGATACCAAAGTCAAGGGGGAAGAACAATCCAAATCCAGCACACCTGTGCGTGGGGACATTCCCCATCCGGCACCTAATCCGTTCCCCGAACGTAATGCCGCGACTGCGCCAACAGAGCTGGGGAGCAATGTCCCCCATGGACACATCCATTATCACTAACCCGCTTGACGAGGAGCAACAACGCATGCTCGATCAAGCGGCAAGCGCACGGCGCAAGTCGGAAGTTCAGACAACGTTGCTACGACACAGTGAATATACGTTCACGCCACCTGGCGTGATTGAGCTCATTCGTCAAGCGTCACGCCATACGTTGGCGACATAGGCCACCTGCCTCAAGGCGAAAACGCCCACTGAACTCGAATGTCGCAAGACTCTTCGAGAGAGGTACTTGGAACCTACTGGGATGACTTTGAGTCAGTACAGAGAACGGCTGCAAAAGCAGGCCCAAGGAAAACCGGCATTCCACAAATTAGGGATATACTGATTTTTATGTCCGAAGATGGGGACAAAACTGCGGAAGACGAAATTTTCGTCCGCTGGGTGCATGGCGTTCGACGCATGGCGTTCGAAGCCTCAGTAGCATGCATGCACTACGTGAAAGTGCCAGTGTGGAAGACGTTCGTCTAGAGCGAAAGCTTCGCTATGACTTCGCGAAGTTAAAGGCCAGAGGCCGTCTGCAGGGAGTTTTACGCTCCCGCTATGCTTCGGCTGCCTCTGCAGCCGCGAGTTCACGTCAATATTTTGTCACGAACTCGCACGCTCTCACTACGACGAGTGAGAAGCGCGACACTCGTCAACACGAGCTCGGCCGTGGCGCTCAAAAACGTCAACGGCGTTCGGACATTCTTGACGGAGATGAATCTCATACTCCCATGAGTTTTCAGACTCAGGGTACCCACGCCACTTCACCTGATATTGGTAGTGACCATGACGACGAAGTCGTTGAAGTACCCGCTCCACATAAACCTGGAAGCTCCCTTGCTTATCAAGCAACGCCGGTGGCGGTCGGAGTATCGGCTGAAAGTCAAACTGAGTTGGTGAAGAGAGCGGAGGATCTCCGTGAGACTTTGGGTCCGACTTAGAACGCCCTGGGCGAAGCCCGATCTCGTCTGGCGACGTTGAAAGGCGATCGCGACCGTCTTTAGATGATGGAGTCACGTCAGAATCGTGTCGAGGCTCAACTTGACCTCTTAATTTGGATGCAACATCCTGTGGCGACGCCACCGTACGCGGCGCAAGCGCCTTCAAGTCAACATGGGACGGGTCTTGGTCTGGCTTAAGCAGGCCTACATAAAAGACGGAATTTGTACGCAATTTGCGCGGCAAATTGAGCGTTTACGCAAGGCCCTTCTTGGCCACGACCGCAAAAGGTCCAATGAAGCGCGGACGCAATTTCGTTGTAAAAACAGCTGACACCTCATTCGTAAGTAGATTTTTAGTGTTTAGCAAAACTTGGTCTCCGACCTCATAACTTTCAATATAATTTCTGCCTTTGGCATCTGCTTGTTCCTTTTGTTTATCTTGGCTATCATCCATTGCATCTCGCACATGTCGTAAGACATCCAACCTTGCTGCAAGGAACTCACAAACCTGTTTTTGAACAGTGGCAGGGCTGATTTCAGCAACACGATCGGCAATCACTCCTCCACCAATCCCAGAACCACGGAGTGGTATCGTCAATGGGACGCGCGGATGGGTGATGCCGTTAACATAGAACAGGGTGTAGCCAGTCGAAGCGTGGACCGATTTGTTCATAGCAAATTCGACCACCGGAAGCATAGAGCTCCAACGCCTAGGCGTCTCTGCGCAAACGCTGCGTAAAATGACATCAGTGACACGATTAACACGTTCAATTTGACCATCGGTCTGCGGATGATCCGCGGTAGACATGTCCAATCTGATGCCGAGCACGTTGAAGATGGACTTCCAGATACTTCCCGTAAAGCGAGGATCGCGATCTGATACAATTTCCGAAGGCAAGCCGTGTTGACGAAATACGCGATCGATAAACAGCTGTGCTGTACGTTCACCATCAATCGAAGCCGGCACAGCCGCTAAATGAGTCATCTTACTGAAACGGTCAACAAATACCACAATACCAGTGTTGCCGTTTAAATTTGTTGGCAAACCAACTACAAACTCCATACTGATGGATTCTGAACAACCCGTGCGTATAGGCAAACTTGCCAAAGGCGCAGCCGCATGAGCGGAGGGTTTGACCCGTTGACACGTTTCACACGTCCGCACATATGTGCTAACTCAATAATATAATTTGGGCCACCAATAGTGTTGGCTGACCGAGCCATAGGTCTTCTGTCGACCGAGATGACCGCTCAAAGCTGTACCATGCGCCTTAAATAGGATACGATACTTCAATTCCTCATCAGGAGGTACTACGATGCGCGGAGTATCCGCCGCATCCGTGCTATAGCACAATCGACAATGATCGAACGGATATCGATGTAGCCCTGCACGCGAGCGTGCCGACAATTTAGTGTCCGAGTCTTTTAAAAATCACAACCGAGTGCGCGTAACAACGCGACACACTGATCATCCTTGGCATAAGCCGCACGGATTTAATCAGGGATAGAAGACGACAAAGTCGTAACATGAGCAAGCTCATGATCCGGCCTGCGTAATATTGCGTCGGCCAAAGCAATTTGCGTCCATATTTATACTTCAACTCGATGTTATACTCAGTGAAGAATGAAAGCCAACGGAACATACGTTGCCAGAGATGAGGCGAACGACTCGCAGTGCGCAACGACGCATGCTCCGTGTAGATTTCAAACGGCTTGGATCCAAGTAGATGTACTCTGAACTTGACAAGAGCATACTTCATTGCAAGGAATTCTTTGTCATAAACTGGATAGTTCTTTTCAGCAGCTTTTAGCTGGCGAGACTCATACGCAATAACGCGCTCACGTCCACCGACATCAGTTTGCAACATTGCACTGCCAATGACAAAATCGGATGCGTCACTGACGACAGTGAAAGATCACTCCGGGTCAGGCAAAGCCGAAATTGGAGCATGAAGGGGACTCTCCTTAACAGATTGAAAAGCTTGAGCCTGGAATGTGTCCCAACACCAAGCTGCATCCTTCTTGAGGAGGTTGGTGAATGGCCGTGCCGTGTCAGCATAGTTTGCACTTTACTTGTGTAAGTAATTTGATAAACCAAGCCATGTACGCACGTCTTTTGGGTTAGACGGAACCGGCCAATCCACAGTGGATTTTATTTTAGCGGGATCTGCCCGTAGGCCACGCTTTCCAATCAAGCACCCTAGAAAAGGGATTTCTTCAGCACCAAAATTGCATTTAGATGCATTTGCATACAACTTGTTTCTGCGCATGCACCCGAGCGCTGCTCGTAAATGGTCAATGTGATCATCCACATCTGACCTTGCTTGTTCTGCACGACTATGGACAAAAATATCATCAAAATAGCTCTGTACATATCCTCTAGGAGCGCGGAACAACTGCGTCACGAGACGATTAAAGGGTGCGGGGGCATTAGAAAGCCCCTAAGGCATAACAAGCCACTCCCAAAGCATGCCACTCGGCGTGCTAACCGCTGTGGGCGGGATATCACTCGCTCGCATGAGCAGTTGGTAATAACCATCGACTAAGTCGAGTGCGCTAAACATGGTGCAACCCACCATAGCGTTCTGAGGAACATCCTTTCTTGGAATAGGTGTCTGCGCAGGTAAAGTGGCCGCATTGAGCTTATTGTAAGCGTGCACATTACGCCACTTTCCATTGGGCTTTCTGACACAATATGTCGGTGTAGAGTGTGTAGATTTGCTCTCCCGCACCATGACTCCCGCGTTCTTTGCACGAAGAAACTCGTCAATGACGTCACACTGTTCCATAGGCAATAACCATTGACGTGTAACACAATTTTTGGTCCCAGGGACCAGGTCAATTTCATGACGCACACCTCTGTCGGGAGGTAGAGTGGATGGTGGATCAAGACAAACAACGTCCGAAAATTCCTTTAACAAAGGATAGAAGGGATCCAAAGTATCCTACAAAATGGCAGATCCACTGCGAATACTGAGTGCAACTTTAATGTCCTCAGGGCTGTCTCATCTACAAGGGATGAAGAGTTCAACTCAAGCTCAGGTCTAAGGACCACCATATCGGACAAAGCACCAGCCTTTAAGGCTTGATGAAATTCGTCTACAGACATTTCGTTAGGCTTTAGCAGAACATAGCTCAATGGGAGGGCCTTGAGGACAACTTCGCCATCAATCGCACCCGAAACTCCATTGACTAACGTGTACAATTGTTCACTTGTGTCCTTCTGGGTTATGACAGAAGCCTTTCTTTTAACAGCCGCCATCTGGAGTCGCTGTCGTCTCTGTGCAGTTACTGAACACTTCAACGTGTAAGGAACATCCAATTCCACGAGGTGAAGATTATTTATAACCTCAAGTTGCTCTCTCAAAGAGCCAATGTCATTACCGACATTAAGTGTGGTGCCCTCACGGCAGACCTGACACTGTGGACAGTTATCTACCATATTCGCATCTGTTGAGCATAGCTCTTGATGCCTTGGCGAATCGCCAACAATGTCATTACCGGCCTTTTGCGGGGTGCCATCACGGCCGACCTCACTCTGTGGTTGTTTACGTGCCGCTCCACGCGCACCACAGGGATCACACCCAGGATGACTCGGCTTTAATCCATCAATGCTTCCGGCGTTCAGTGATTCACTGTCATTGCTAGTGTCACTCAACATGATACGTGCCGTTTCACTATTGTCGATGACATCAGAGTTAACTAGCTCAGACACTCCAATGTCAAGCACACTGAAAGACTCCGTCAGTGGTGCGCGCCAATAGAGCTTTTGTTGCCTAGCAAAGGTAGGTTCATGACTCGCCAAAGCTTCACTAGGAACGTTGCGCGTTGCGCCTATGGTCTTCGACCTCCAATCAACCCATGGCTCGTGGCGTTCAAGCCAAGTCACACCAAGGATAAGATCACATCTCAACTCAATTCCAGTACAAGACAACGTTCGATACTATCGAATTCTAAGAAATTCATACCTAAGTTCAACAGAACTTTAGGTACGGTGACACGAGTACCTGACGCTGAGCAAACAGTGATATCATCACCCTCATGCGCTGTCAGCGCCTCAGAATATTGCTGACATCTCTCTAGGGACCAGCGTCGAGCATAGTTGCCTGACGCTCCAGAGTCAATTAATACTGACCACGGCTCTTCGAAGCCCTTAATTGTAGCCGAGGCCACTAACAAGCCTGGCTTAAACTCACGTCTCGTGAAAACTCCCACAAGACCATCTGGGGCTAAGCTCTATCTATCTTTACCACCTCAAGATTCGGCAGAACCTAGTTCGTCCCCAGTAGGGTGCCCCGCGCCTACTGGGAGTTGACTTTTTTTCGCTCCGTACCCACTTTAGGGTCAGGAGGCGGATTACGGCTCGGCCGACTTTGACGCGGCTTCCGCAGTGGGCAATGAGGGCGCAAGTGCTTGGCTCCCTCACATGTAACATCTGTGGACGTTACGTTGCTTTTCAACAGCCAGAAGGTCTATCTCTTCTTCTTCAGCATAACTGAGGTCCATGGTCTCCGCCCCATCAAATGATCTTTGGCATGCCCATGAGTGCCATAAAGAGCGGCTTTAAAGTCGAACTCAGCATTCAACTCTATGTCGACATCCTTTTTAAACGTTGAGGGGTGGAAGCAGAAGACTTGCGTCCTCGCGATCCCCGTACGAAGGCCCTCCATAAAAATGGTGACACGGACTTGCTCTGGCGGAGGGCACAGCTGCATAGCAGCTATGAGAATTCGCAACTCTTGAACAAAGTCCGATAATTCTCTCTTTCCCTGCCTGGCGGCTAGGAATCGAGAGCGAACACGATACGCTTGATTCAGTGGTGCGAACAATCGAGACATTTTTCGTTTAAGCAAATCCCATGTGGGAAACGCAGCGCTAACCGACGTATCACCGGTAAGAGCATATCCTTTGGCTCTATCATCGAGCTTAATAATGGCTAGGCCAACTTTCTGTCGCTCCGATTGAAGCAAGGCGGCTTCAATAGCCATATCGATCTTTTAGATACAGAAGAGGAGACTTTACCTCTCTTTCCCCTCAAAATACTTAGCCCTTAGAGTGAGCGGGAGATTCTTCGAATCACTGTCAGGTACTGGAAAGTACCGTGTAGGTACGGCCGAGGCTAAATAATCGTAGACCTGCCCTATCAGCGTGGCCTTAAATTGAAAAAATGCATCAGAACTTGCATTAAGCACTTTTGGGCCTTAAGTCACGATGTGGACAACCTGCTCGACCCCTATTAACAATCTAAGCTTATCAAGCGCGATACGTTGATCCTCAGAGAGGTAGTCAAGGCCTTCCATCTCTCACAGAGGTTAAGTCGAAACGACTCAGGTGTAGGATTGACTACAAGTGCTACCAAGTGTAGCGGAGCTACACAGCTCTTTAAGTCAGAGGAAGACTTATTCAACAAGCCAACGGCTTACGGCTGCCAGCCTTTTAGTTCTACGGAACAAATACATCAAGTTAAAGAGTCACCTAGTTCTACGGAACTTGGGTGGACTCTACGAGCTAACAGCTCAGCTACTGTAGTTCTAAGGAACTACACACACAATGTGCGAAAGGGGAATACCGGAGTCTAAAGACTTTCTAACCCATGACAGTTCTAAAGAACTGTCAAACGCAAGGTGCGAAAGGGGGGGAGTCTAGAGACTTCTGCTCAAAATGATAACTGAACTTTATTTCGATTTTATATCAAGAAAAATCCTACTATATGTACCCTATATTATCCTGAATACAAATAGTAGTATTCGAAATAAGTGGATGGTTGCCACATCACTCAGTCATCAAATGATGAAGGTGCAAAGTACGTACGCGGTAAGTACCGTAAACCTGGGAAAATCGATCAAACGATATTCTCTTGCTGATATAAAATCTAATGTCACACACATTCATCCGTATCATTTATGGGATGTCTTTATTCAATTCAGCCAAAGGCTAGTGTGACCCAGTTACAGCTAGAAAGGAGGCGGTATGGGTCATTAGATGCGGTATGGGGGCGATAGGGGTCGTATCGTGTACAATCAAATACGCTTAAATTCACCACATTTTAGGTCCCACTTAAAACTTGTGTAATTGTGTTTTTTTGGTGCAGTGCACACAATAACCCCATCTCTCACTGTTTTCATCCTAGTCGAAGCTTGTCGGAGGTCGGAAATTTCATGGTATGGTATCGTTTACGAGAAGAGCCTGAGATACGACGAAAGGATCGGTAGCTTGCAACTAATTATATTTAGTACAAACGAGGTGCGAACGTTGATTCGATAAGGACACCTGCACCCTACAAGACCCTAAAATCTTTCTGCAGCGCTCTGAACCTTCGCGATTGTCGAATTGGTTTGCTTCATCCGTTAATCGAGTAACAAAGCGCTTACAGCTGAAGCAAGATGATGCCGAATGTTGTTGAGACCGTCCTACACTAAGTTGATATTTATGGTACAGGCTTATGCACTCCAGGCCAAAAAAAAGGACAGTACACCCCATGTATCAAAATTTATCAGCGACATTTACAAACTAAGAACTACTATATTAAAATGATAGATGTGTGATTCTATTAAATTGGGTGGATTTGTAATCGACCTGTTATAGCAGTTCGTAGGGGGTCTCCCATACAAACGTCGAAAATTGGACGTGGCCAAAAGATGAGCCACCTTTATCCATAATAAAATCAGGATGAAATACGAGAAAAAGGCTACTCTATTCAGTAACGGTTCTGTTGCAACGCAGCCCGATGAATAAGTGCATCGTTTCGGCATAAAAATAACGAGTTTGCGCAGGACCTCTTACTCAATACCTGACCACTCGGTCAAAATAGCCGTTTTTAGCTCATTGACTTTGTAGTACTGCTCACTGCTAAGCGTCCACTTTTGCTGCCAAGAGACCGCAAGTGTTTGATCGGGTTGAGACCAGGTGGACGTGCTGGATATTTCAACGTCTTCACTTGTTTTTTAACAAAACATCCGACGTCTGAATCGATGCGTATTCCTGCTACAAGATGTTGTCAGTACCATTGTGTAGATTTGCGAATGTAAGCCGAGATCCAGATAAGGGTGATACACCGTTAGATACTTCTGGGAAGGGGAGCACTTGTTGGTCGAATCTACTCATTTTCCAATTCATCGCATGGTAAAAGTCCACATGATGTGCTGCCGAAGCAGCAAGATAGGTGATTGCACGCACGCGTGCAGCCGAAGGAGGTTCTCTTGCTTCAGCATCAGGGTATCCTTCGCCTGCTGTTGCTATTCGGCAACAGGCTGTGCCTGTTGTGAATAGTCCACTTTTTAAGTCACCACGTGTGACAGATACATCCGCTGCGTCTGAAGCGGGTGCTGCGATTTGCAATGTGGATGAGACTGAGAAATAGCTCATATATTGTGGCGAATCGGCTGGTGGATCGAACTCGAAGCCGATACCTCACGCCTCCGGATCATTCGGGGAGGACAAGTCTATTTGACAATAGGACGCGTGGTGATGGTGGTGAACTTTCTACGTATCACCACGAGAAAAGCAACTCATGAGGGATCGAGCTGCCACTGGTGTCAGTACTCTTGCTGACACCACTCAAGAGACTAGGGACCGCACTGTCCTGCGCTACGCTCCTCAAGTGGAGTCTCCTTGGATACCATCATCCAAGGAGTTAGATTGAGTGGCAGGCGTGACCACCGACGGGATCAAATTCTGTTGCTCGAGTGTAGGAGGATCTGTCCTCCTAAGTCCAGCACAAAAATATCCCTGCTGAGAAAGAGTTCTTCGCGGCTGCGTTTTTCAAACATCGGTGGTACAATGACAACCGTGCCCGCGAAGGTAATACCTTGGTGCAGGGATGGAATGCCTTCATCCATAATATTGAGTGCAGTAGCCGTGAGGTGCTCGATAAATTCGATACAGCTCGCATCAGGTTTGAAAAATGTAACCCAGCCGGTGTACGATACAAGCTGCACCGACTGTCAGGAAAGGAATATTTACCCTGTCTCTCGTGGGGCGTTCATGTCCAGGGTTTCTGGACAAGGCAAATCTTGCCCATAGGGAGGTCATTATATGTTTCTACTGGAGGGCGCGCATCTTTTCTGAGATGGCCGAAGGGATTGACCTTTGCAATCCATGTACTCGCGTTCGGGAAGGTCATTTTCCAACGGCCCTTCTTCATGCGCAGCGGGTGGGTCTCTACAGATTCCTCGACGAGACCCGGACTATCCACGATCAGCTGAGCGTGATGCTCCCAGCTGTCCCAGGCCGGTGAATTGCCACGCCAGCGGACGAGGTAACTCGTACGGACGCCTCGTCTGCTGGCGTGGTACACGTCGCGGTGGTTCAAGATACGCTCTACCAGAACGCGTTGAACACCGCCAGACTCCAGCAAAGGATGTTGTGGGGTCGGAAGCATCTGATCCGGCTCGAGGATCTGATCAGCCAGTTGTTTAAAAATTGAACCGTGTAACGGAACAGTTACACGACGACCTGGCTCATGATCGAACTCGGCGTTACGAGCTCCATGAACTAGTAAAGGACGATTGCAATTCCTTAGCGCACGATCGTTGTAGTGCCGCGTTTGTGTTTGCGCAACTTGAGAGCGGACGTTCGATTCGCTCTTTTCGTGACGAGCGGACTGCAGCTCGTCAGGAAATTTCTCATCTGCGTAAGCAGGTTGTTTCGCTAGTCGACCAGAATGGATCATTGAAACGGGACCACTCGAAGGTGGTCTCGGCCCTTGACCGCGTAGGTGTAATTCGATCCTCGAAATGGGCTTGCACTGACAGTACGGGCGGCGACGTTGAGCCTGAAAAGTAGGATACGTACATATCCTACGAGGCAGCTCAACTGTGTACGTGTTGCCCATGCGGCGCAATAGACGAAATGAGCCGATGTACGCTTGCGAAGTTTTCCAATGGGTGAAGGATGCTGCCCACGTTTGTCACTGCTTGTTTTGGTAGGTTTACTATATTTATAGACAGTAAAAGTAAGTCTTCTTCATCAAATGAAAGAACTTTTGCTCTTCCATGTTTGTCTGCGTTTCTTTTCTGGTTATCTAATGCATAGAGTCTTAAACGAAGCGGACAACCGCTTTGCGAGTCAGCTAAAATTCCTCTGCTGCTTCATCCTCGTTAACAGCAGTGCGTACAAAGCGCATTGCTGATAGAACGTTGTCCTCATCAGTGAGGGCTTCATCGTCCGCACTGTGGCAGTCGTTGGCGACGCTGAATATACCAGCATCATCGTCATCATCGTTGATGTCGATAGCATCGACATCGGCATCCATCACGTTGACGTCACTGTCGACATGTGATGAGCAATATCCAGATTGGTTTTCGTTCGAGCGAGGTCACCCCCCTTTTAACTAAAGTCACGCTCTATGAGAGGGTAAACGTGGGTAACGTAGAAAGTGTATGAAGAACGGTGTATACGTCGACAACGCATACACCAAGTTGTTGATGGCAAATTCTGCCACGGCAAGAACTTAATCCCACTCGTGAACGAGTGGACGTACTTTTAAAGGATCTCTTCGAGGACGCAGCTGACGCGTTCCGTTTGACCATCCGTTTTAGGATAGTCAGAAGTAGATGTCTTTAACCCTGTTTCAAGGGATCGGAACACAGATTACCGAAACTTGGCTGTGTAGCTGGGGTCCTTGTCAAAAACGATTTCATGGAGAAAACCGTGAAGTCGAAAGATAGTCTCTATGAAGACACGAGCACAGCCCTTGGCTGTTATATACTCCAGTACAGCGACAAGATGTACCATCTTGCTGAAACGATCAACAAGCACAAGAACACCAGCATTCTAGTGAGTGTCTTTGGGAAACCCAAAGACGAAGTCATCGATACAGTTTGCCATCACTCTGCAAAAATCGTTAGAGGCTTCAGGGGTGCACAGGATGAAGGACTAGGCTTCACCCGTTGGCAAACGTCGCAACAGCAAAAGCATTTGTGCACAAACTCGTACTGGCGAGGCCAGTAGAAGTCACGAGTTACCGTGAGGTAAGTATTTATCGTACGACGATGCCCACTGGTTGAGGCATCGTGACACTCACACAAGATGTGCGATCTCATACCATTTTGAGCGGGAAGACGAAACGAGGTGTGTAGCCGTTGACTGCTGTATGGGACAGAAGTCCATCACTAATCGGATACCGTTCGGTTGAAGAGCGTTATTGAGACGACAAGCTTTTCAAAGCTTGACTGCATCTAGTGGCTACATAATCCATCAATCGGAGAAGGGACTCATCTTCTGCGTTTGCTCTACGCACGTCGTCGAGCAAATTCGACGACGGAACACTCGCTGATAGTGTTTCAACAGTGAGATCACCCTTACTGTTGGGTTGAGCAGTCGGCCCAAAATCGGGCCGACGCGAAAGAGCATCAGCGACAAAATAAAGTCGTTCTACTTTACGCTCGACGGAGAAGTTGTACTTTGCGAATAAAGACAGTTACATCGCCATTCGTTGCAAGAAGTGTAAACTATTTACGGCCGTGCGTAACGACGCATGGTCGGTATAACGATAAAGGGCCTATCTTCCAAGAGATATACCCGAAACTTAGCCAGTGCATATTTTATGACAAGACGTTCCTTGTCATGCAATGGGTAATTAAACCTATATTCTTGTAGCTGAAGCGATTGATAACAAACAATGCGCGCATCGCCGTTTGAGTCGAACTGCATTAACGCGCAGTCGATTGCAAAATTGCTGGCGTCACCGACCACTTGGAATGGTCTTATCCTGGTCTGCAATTGTCAGCACAAGCGATTGTATCAAGCTTTTATTGAAACCTTCGAAGGAACGCTGACAGCCAGCTTCCCATGACCACTTCTTTTATAAAAAAAAAGTGCGTAGTTGCGCTAGTACTTTTTAAGTGCGCCACTAGACCGAAGAACGTTTAGATTTTGGACGTCGACTGGCGTAGTCCTCTCAATAATCGCCTTGATCTTGTTTGGATCAGGGCATACGCCGTGTTTACCCACGACGCATTTAAAAAGTGGTATTGCGCTCGCTGCGAATATACGCTTCTTGAGTTTCGCGAGCAACTTTTGCTTGCGCATAAGTGTAAGAACCTTACGAATATGTGTTATTTGGTACTCAATGTCCATCTTTCCAACCAAAGCCCGTCTACAAACGAAGACATCGTCAAAGTAGCTCGGTACGAAGTCTCTTACAAACGGAATTTATTCGTAACAAATTCGTTGAACTTTGTAGGGGCGTTACTTATACCCTTTGGCATCACTAGCCACTCCCAGAGCATACCACTGGGGGTGCTTACTGCTTTGTACGTTATGTTCTGCTCACGCATGGGGATCTGATAGAATTCATCCATTCGATCCATGGACGAAAAGATGGTACTTTTTGCCGTACCACCTATGACGACGTCCTTCCTCGGTATCGGCGTCTGAGACGGTACCGTTGCAGCGTTTAATTTGTTAGACGCGTGCACTATCCGCCACTCTCCTGTGGCCTTTCGCACACAGAAGGTCGGAGAGCTATGTGGGGAAGTTGATTCCCCCCCCCCCCCCCCCCAAAAAAAACGGCTGAAAAGTTGTTGGGTGGTTTTTTTTTTTTCAGGGGGGGGGGGTTCCTTTGTCATGACACAGTTCTTCTAAGCACGTTTCAGTTCGATCTCAAGCCTAGTTCCTTTGGCTTTAGGCAACTCGCATGACACTTATTCGAGAAAAACATCCCTTAAGTCGATCAAATACTTATGTACAGTTCTTCTAACCACGTTTCAGTTCGATCTCAAGCCGAGTTCCTTTGTCTTTAGGCAACTGGCATGACACTTATTCGAGAAAAACATCCCTTAAGTCAATCAAATACTTATGCAAAGGATTGGTCTTTATAGTAAACAAGCGCCTACACTTGATCCGTCATTCACCAAGACATTCACTGACTCGGTTGTTTCCTGAGAAAGCACATCCGCAGGTGGTTGGGGATCCACATCCTCAACATAATTCTTTCGGGAGTTATTACTCTCAGGAACGCTGGAACATTCTTCCACTACGTGCACTAACTGTGAGTGTACCACCACAGTCACGTCCTCTTCGATAAACTCTCTTTTAGGCGATCGGGCTTGCTCTACTATCGACTCTCTGTTAGTCGATCTCGCTTTAACGTGTTGCTCATCCTGAACGACTCTAATTTCTCTTCTTGGATGCACCCTTCTTGGTTTGCATCCGTGTTCCAGTCCACTCAATCGCTCCAAGTGGTGAACCTTCGGCGCAGCCTGTGTATCTACACAGGTTTCGGAAGATGTTTCCACAGTGTAGTGGCCTTCTACACTGTGATCTTGTGCAGTTGTGCTAACGACCGTGCCACAAGTGAGGCCATCGCACTCACTTGTAGTACATCCACACGCTTGTGGACGCTCCAAGACGTTCATCAGATGGCCAGGTGATGAACAAACAGCAGGCATCTTCACGGATCGATGCCAGCTCATCCATGGTTGGTACTTTCTAAGCTATGGCAGACAGAGGATGACATCAAATTTTTCATTCAAATCTAGCACGGTGGAGTCATCATCGTACTGCTTTTCTTCTAGCGTGTAGTGGATTCCCACTGCACGTTTGTTCACTGTTACGGATGCGCCTGTAGCAATGCACACCGTCATTCTCGTTAGAGGGCACTCTCGCTCCACAAAGTTTAGCCTACTATCCCCTAGCGACTGGCGTCGACTAAAACTGTTCGACGCTCCACAGTCAACTAGGGCGCGAATTGACATTTCACTTGTCACTTTGATCTTCAAAGCGATGAGGGATTCCTCATCACTAGGGCAGTAACACACAGCGAATGTGGTGTTGGTAGTAATCTTCTTCAAGAGTCCTGCAAATTATCTTGACGTTGCTGGATCAGCAGGGTGCTCCGCCCCTACTGACCCAGTCCGTTTTTTGACGGTCCGACCGGCTGTCACGGATCAGCGACATAGTCGGACCCGCACCTTGGACTCTTCCTTGGCCAACGGCGGTCATCACGTCCTGTCTTTGGACGTGGTGCGGTGCTTGGAACACTACACTCAATATTGTAGTGTCTGATCTTCTGACAGCGATGACATCTTGCCGATCGATTGTGACTCAGAGAGTGAGAGTTCTCGCTCTCGACGTAGCAGAGGTCCATAGGTTCGGGACCTCCCAGTTTCCTGACGTCTGGTCGGACGATAATTTGACGAGCTAGCATGAGAATGTCTCAGGCTAAAGTCTTCTTGTTCCACATACGCAATCGCCTTTCCAGACTATAGAAGTCCTCTCGGAAAATGTAGGCTTCACCGGTCCATCTACAAGACCTTTAATGAACGTGTTGATGAGCATGTGATCATTAACTGTTTTCCATGATGCTACTCGCAAGGTAGCGGATGTGTTGTGCGTAAGCGTGCACGTCACGCTTATCTTGATTTAGCCTCAAGATTACACAGCGTGCTCTGAACTCGAACCTTAATAGCTCAAATGTCTCTTTACACCGAGACTTCAAGGTCTATAACGACTCAAACACGTTCTGTTGTGAAGCTTGATCCCTAAGGCCCAGCTCTTGATCGTCCTGTCAAATTTGACAGGGCGAAGGTGATTTACATCTCGTCACCCTCGATGTGACGGGCCCTGATGGCATCGTCTAACTCGACAAACATCTCAGAAAGAAATTTTCATCGGTTCCCTTGTACCCTGAGATATCACTCTCCAAAGTTTCGGGTCGACGCATGTGCATCGGCCCGCCCATCGACGATTAGACCCTAGGGATGTCAGCAGCATGTTGTTGGTCTTTTTTTTACAGAACGCAACATGCCACTGATGGCGAGTTCGCCCATAAGCACACCTATGCGGCCGACTATCTCCCGTTCTGAGTCACTCAGATGGGAGTAGCCTCCACGTGTGACGTGAAATCTTTCGTCTTCTACGTCAAACATGTTCATGTTTGGGTGGACACTAAGTAGTCGTTAGACGGACTACAAAGTGCTACAAGGTGTAACCGGGCACCCTTTGTTCGGGTGCCACGAAACTTCACGTACACTCGTACGTGCAGAGTAGGGTAATCTACTCAACAGCTAGGTTGAGTAACAGGTATGAAGGCAACTGTATTTAATATGGTCAAGCTATCAAAATAACATCAGTCTTTTTTTAATGATATTAATCTGTATTGTCGTACGATGACTACCTGCTCACTGCTCATTTCGCGCATCTAGCAGCTATCGGTGGTAAATTTGGATGATGTGTCTTTTATCAACCAAACTTCGAGCAGCTCGTAAATGTTATCCAAAGGGAAAATATTCTTTTAATCTTACGTATCTCGGGTAATATTGGTGGGGAATTTTTTACTCTAGACAATCCCCCGATTGACACGTTTGGAGTCATGCAACGGGCTACCCCGTTGAAATCGGAACGTTTATCAATAGAAGCAAAACGAAAATGCTATAACTCTCTCAGGCTTCCAAAAATCCTGATCCTCTAGTTCTTTCGATACACAGAGCCCCGTATGTGTCCAGATGCTGCCCCACTGTCTGCAGATTTTATGACTTGATCCGGAAGATTATGATTCGCATTTGTAGATAAGTCATTCAAATTGCTGCTGTTGGACAGTGGTATGTAAACTTTCCTGACTTGCCGAAATACGATGGAAGCACTCCAATGTATTTTCGCCCCTGTACATGGGCATAAATTTGTATTCCTGGGATGGATGGCTTTATCTTGTCTAGAGTCCTTGACAGATGTCGATCTTGCTTAGTATTTTATGTTTGACTTGCGTGAATGCTGCATTAAATCATCACACAGTGAGATGGTATGGATGCAATTTCGTTTATCAGAAAGGCTGATTTGTTATCAAAAATCCTTGATCCTACTTGATATTGTCTTGCATTTTACTCGGAGCGATATCTAACCATTTGAGCTGTCGCAATATAAAGTTTTCGACAACGGTATTGTTATCCGACTAGATTAACCTTAATGAGCATGGTACCACTACTCTGCGCTTGTTCTGACCCCCTTAAGCACTGGAATTGGCCTTTGAATTTTACTTATAAGCACGATCGGTTGTGACTGTCTTGGGGGTTCAGCATTTGTACCTGCGCCTGATTGCAAATGTTTTATCTTGGGATTCCAACTCATTTCCAATTTGACACTACATTGTCAACTTCTTTCTAGTAAGCTAAATTTGAGCATATTTGTTTGTCTTATTCCATTTTTTAAAATTTCTGGAGAATGGAGTAAACTCTAGTCATTCTCGAACAAATTCGTCAAAACAATTAAATGCTTTGTTGATGAATAAACCATTCGAATGAGTCCACCAATTCTGCACAGACATCTAGGTACTGATTAAAGGTGCTCTCGAAAGGTAAGAGGTAACGTGCGTGCTTTTTCAAATTGTTTTTGTGAAACGTGCGCAGACGGGTCCAGGTTAGATTTTTGATAACAAGATTTTTCGAAACTGTTAAGCATTTTAGAAGATTTAGCTTAGCTGGACAAATTCCCCGATTGTTAGTTAATCTTTGAAAGAAGATCTAACATGCCCTCATCTGTCGGGAAGCCATGGAAATCTTTTTTTAAAAAGGGGTAACCTCGTGCGTTGCCAGAACGAATCGACATATATATATATACATGTAACACATCAGTAGACTACACTATGCCTTTACTATTCCGCAAATCACTCTCAGAACTGCTATTTTATCATGGGCCATTTTTAATGCAAACATAACAAAAGATGTCTTTTTTATAAGTTGATGAGAGCTCGATCCCTGTACTCCAATGTTGAAGCTCATATTCTATTATGTCGAAAACCAAATGTAGTGACCCAACTATAAAATTAGATTATATGAGGTCACACATATTAGCAAAGCATAGTATAAAACACCGAATAATGGTCTGCGTATAAAAAATGGTACCACGTTGCTAGATGCGATACATGCTGTCTTATTCATCACCCCTACTGGCTCTTCCTAATATTTAAAAGTTCTTTTAATACGCACATTTATATCTCTAGAAGAACGTCATGACCGATCTAGCAATCGTACATTGGTACATTTATCAATACTCAAATCTTGGACAATCGATTTCCTTAATAGTAACCTTAATTGCCCGTCTAAAACTCTTAGCAGGCCTCTAGTGAACAAACTATGTATATTTATTTATATATAATGTGACAAAGCGAGCCTGGTTTGTGATTTACCCACGGTACTTATTAACTTAAATATTATTCTAAAGGCTCACAATGTTCGTGAATATTACCATAAAGGGGTTATATTCAGAAACATTCACCGATTAGCTGATATAGGTCATCACATCAGCCAGCTCAACCGGTCCAATCAACGAAGAACGCGCGCAATGAGTGGTGAGCAAGTATTTAGCATACACTTTTGTCGATAATTACACGTAAGTAAGTTAGAACTAAAACATGGAATAATGATCATGACCCACTTATATTTAACACAGTTTTTACTTCTAACAGCAACTAGTCAGTTTCCTTGTTGCTTTTCTTCCTCTGCGTTGTTTACAGAGGTAGCGAGGCACCATTCACGCTTCTGTCAGTGAGAGTAGCTCCACACTGGTTTACTAATGTATTGCTCTGGTGTCCTGTTACAATTTATGCTTGTGATTTCTATCACCTTTCACGACCCCTCTGGAGCATCACTTACCCGCTTTCATGGTACCAAATGCATGCCTCAGCCTTCATTTTTGCCTAGCCTCCAGTCATTTCCACAGGTCATGATCTTTTGGTGCCTTCTTGTTCTTCCTGAATTTCATGTTTAGAAGTCGGTCCCTGATATTTTTATACGTGATCGATTGGATTAGATGTTATAACAAGACTATACGTACTTGTAGTCTCTGTTTGATAGGTATGGGCTAAAAAATATTAACCTTTAGCCGGGACGGTTATGCAACAAATGGTGAAATGAAAATTAGATCCACGTCGATATTTAGTTCTTTTTTTGCTCCAACCTAACGAAACATACGATGTAACTTTCGTAATTTTATAGTCGCGCAGTTTAGGTCACCACGTCACATCATACTTATCAAAAAGTCGTGCATTTACACGCTCCACATCGCATATAATTATTTGCATAATTTAGCGTTAGTCTACGACAAATCTCGCCTCAATAATTGTGTAAAGCGTACACTACGGTAATTAAATGCGGTGGTGGCTCTTTTAAAAAAATTCAATCATTCTAAGCCATCTTATGCATCGGCATATAATTAGTCATCAGGATACACGATCAGATTTGTTTTACTGATAGTTTGTATTGAAGAAGGGACAGGATCTCTCGGTCGTTCTGCGGAAAACGCCATCTGTTACTATCCACTGCTCGAGGCAACCAAAACAATTTTAGCCCTGTTCTTCCGCAAGCTCTAAATCGCCTCTATGTATTAAGTCAATATTCTAGATCGACATTGTCTTATCAGTAGCGGAATGGATCTGCATAAGCTTGTATGATAAAACTTTATTTATCAATTCGTCATCCTCTTCATTTGTTTTCTTCAAAAGTCGTCGAAAGCCCAAGTCAAATATATTGTGATTAACCTGGAAGTCGGTTTCCAGGTTAATCATTACGTATTTGACTCCAGATACATTCATCATAGGTGGTATTGTGACGAATATTTTCCAGATTGATGGTTTACCAAAAAACCATGCATTAACGAATAGAAATTGGAATGGCAATCCAAGATCGTTAGAGTCCGGCTAGACATGCGCTTGTCCTGCAAGAATTCTATATACGTCGTCTTTATTTCTTTTATCTCATGTAGCCTAGGCGAAGCGCATCGACTGAGTGCCGACAAAAAGGGATCAGCCCTCGAAATTAAAATACGACTAACAATTTAATGGTTTAAATTTGGCTGAAGACATCTCGACAATTAACGCACAAAATCCTTTATACATACGCACTATACGAATGTATTATAGGGTCGAGTGCATACTGCATAATAGACCAGTTACTTTTGTACCAAGACCTACCACTTTGTTCCTCCTTTAAAAAACGTAAATTTAGCATTATGGAGATATAGAAATATCCTAAGGCACGTGATAGCTTTCTGATGATGTGTACCAATCTGTTATATAAGTCCAAATATTGTGTCATCTCCTTTAAAACAATGTAAGGCGCACGGGGATATGACTTTACCAGGAGTTATTGTTCCATCATCTTGTAGTTCGAGTTAATTATAATCGGTAATCGTTTCGTTATATTTTGAGCTTGAATTACATGTTTAGGGAATTGCTTAATTTACACCTCTTTTCCTTAGATTCACACCCTTTCTTCAAAATCTTTTTTATATACAAGGTACGCAAGCGTCGTTGGACAAAGACGAGTACTTTCTCTGCCACTGGGCTACGGGCGACATCTTGCGCGCTGCTGTAGCTGCTGGCAACTTACAGTGTAACTGTGTAAGATAATGGGGTTGTGTCAGTAGTGTCATTATATTTCACAAATGTTTGGTCCATGCAACATGTATGATTGTACCTCGGTCTTCCGTCGACCCTTGATAACAGCAATCGACTGGGTTTTGAAGTCCTTACCGCTGCCGTCCTTGGGACCTTCAGGTGTCCTACATATCTCCACCAGTCAAGTGGGTAGGTGAGCGCCTCGGTTCTAGCTGCTTGACACAGCGTGCTGCTTTTTTAGCCTTTGCGGCAGACGATTCGTTGCCTGCTGGTTTTTCTCTACCTGCAGCACCTGCTGCTGCAGACGCACGTGGCATTGCACCACGTGTATCGATTTACTCCCCATCCCCGCTATCTTCTTCGTCTTCGCTATTCTCGTCCGCTTCGCTTAAAGCAATCTTCTCATGATCCTGTCCATCTCTATCTCCATCATTGTCCACTGTTGAATCAGCAAATTCTGATTCTTTAGCTTTCCACTTCAGCTGACAAAGCTGATGCAGCTGCTGCTGGTGCTGCTCCAAGTACGCGACGAGGTCGACAATAAAGTCGCGCGTTTTCGGATCAAGCTCAATCGCTCGCGCTAACATTCGCACCACTTCTGCATCAAAAGCATTGTCCTCAGTACTTAGCTTCTCGCCATACGCATAGTAGCCAAGTTGTAGTGAACATTTGTAGAGACTGAAAATTTATCGGCCGTGTCTTCAAACACCTTGACCGCTGCGTCCAAATCTCCGAGTTTACCATAAGCTTCAGTAGGTGCTGCAAGTGTAATGCCGTACGCTTTCTCAATCTCTTCACTGTCTTCATCAGCGTTATTGGCAGCACCCAAAGCTAGAGCATTGATCCTCATGGACATTTACAAGCTTCTATCGCCTTTTTACAGATGATTCAAAGCAGAACACGTTTAGCCAAGTCGAAACGAGATAGACTCATCCTCCTGTCCATCCGTTAGGTTGCTAGCTTTGGTTTAGTATATCAGTGCTTTGTTCAGGTCTCCAGCCAAAGAATAGTCATCTGCAAGGTGCGTGAGTGCCCCCAAATGATCCGGTGGACACTCAAGTGCACGTTTAAAAGCCTCTACTGCTTCATCGTACGAACTGAGCTGCTTAAAGGCCAAACTAGCTGAGTAGGCATCGTCAAAGATTAATGTAACCATTTCAACCTCGCACTCAGCATCTCCAGTCAAATTTGACGATTTTTGTCTCTTGTTGGTACAATGTAAATGCTTTGTATCAGTACTGGAAGAATCCACGGACGGATATGTTGTAAACGCTCGACGCTTCAGTTGGTGCTTCCATTTGCTTTGTGCCATTTCTGTTGGTAGTAATGAGAGAGTAGGTGAGCGACAGGCTTGTGTAGAGATGCGTACTTACCATCCATTAAGTGCTTAAGACCCCGCCGAATCTGATATTTGGATATCACATCGTCTTTTAGAATATATTCAACGACATTTAAACTTGAACGATCACTCCGTAGGTAGGAACACTTACAGTGAAGAATGGTACACTCGCCCTTCTCTATAAGAGGCACTTGTACCCAGATTTTAAAGCGGTGATTTCTAGAGATTGCTCCCTCATCTTATCACCTGCCACCTTTTACCCTTACATACCAATTTACATGTGCACGTTACGAAAGCTGTGAGTGTTTTTGGGATACAGCTGAAACATGAGATTGGATAGGAGGCTATGCCAAAATAGGGCGAGATCACAACACCTTTTAGGCAAACTTTATTCAGCCCTCACAATCTTGTGAATCAGCCAGTATACCTGTGTCAAATAAAATATTCAATTAAATAGAAATGTTAAATATATGATTTTGAAGAAAGGGTGTGAATCTAAGGAAAAGGGGTGTGAATTTAGCAATTCCCTAGATTTATCGTGCTTGGTAACATGCCTCCCACGGTATTTGATACAAATTAATTATTGTCATGCAGAGCATCAGGATTTACTAGACAGTACATTTTGCTCGTTATGCATGGATGATAATCCGGACCAGCCTCCAACTCGGTAAAATTCAGGATCGTGCACCCGTATTTGTAAAAGGGCATCATCGTACGTACAAATTACTGCTATACTCCTTCTCGCAAAAAAGACTATCTGCAGTCGCTTATGGTAGTCTCGGCAAAGACAGAAAAATGTTTAAGTAACTCATCGATCAATTCATTATACGTATCGGCAACGAACGTGTGAATGCCAGAGTAGTTCTCGAGATTGGGAGCACCTTAAGAATAATGTGAGCTTCACAATATAAGAGGGGTGATCCCGTTTTATGTAATTAAACATCGATATGTGATAATTAGAACATTGTTGCAAGCCCAAAGGGTGAAGGAAGCTATTGGTGGCTGTGCGCAAGATGAGCTCCGAGCTTTCTAAATCGTACTGATCTTTGTGTGTTAATAACGGTATAGTACCATAAACGTCGTACTAAATCCGATTTTGTGTCACCTCTTGTGTATGTAAATAGCGCCAGGTCTACCTTACAGTCATATTAAATGCAGTTTGGTCATCCACCCCATTTGCATGTAAATAACGCCAGGTGCTTGCAGTCGTATTAAGTGTGATATCGACTGTACTTGTTGCGTTTGTAAGTAACGACAGATGCACCTTACACGTCGTGCTAGGTGCGAAAAATCCTGCCGCCTCTCCTGCATGTCTCTGCTAATAGACGCACGGTGTACCTTAAATGCCAAACCAATTGCAATACAGTATATATTTGCTCGTCATGGTTGATAAACATTATTGCGAGCCGAAGGGTAAAACTTTTAGTGAACGAGTACCAGGTACGTGATTATACAATGTTCAATTTGGTTCTACGCACTGAATTAGTTGTACCATGGAGGAGCTCCAGAGCTTGCCCCCAAATCTTCTATAGTCTCATTTTCATTCACGAAGATCCCCTCAGGTGGCAATGTTTGGGAGCATCTGCTCAATGCCTGACCTCAGACCTTCATATCAGCCAGCACAGCGGTTCATAAAAGGATGGACACGCGCAATAGGTGGCTATCACTTTGATAACATAAAATTGGTACGTAGCTACGATCAAAATGGACTAAACACATTTTTAAGCACAAGATTCAATCGTACAAAATGTTTTTGTTTTAACTAAGCCAGTGGCTCAGTGATTTTAAAACCTCTGCACGTACGTGTATTGAGGTATCAAGACGCCTCCTTACCAGAGTTCCAAATTGATGCATACTCCACCCAGACACAGGCCTAAAAGCTTGAGTGGGCGTGGGAGATATCTGCCTTCCAACGCCCACCCAAAAACCATTCATCCTTGTTCACCACATTCATTTGTATTAAAAGCCTTTAACACCGTAATAACATCATTATAATAAATCAAAAAGCTCAAAATATCAAGATGCGACGTCGGGCCCACCCAATAATTGTCGGTCGCACTTATGGCCATAACACCATGGGCGTGGGTGTGGGCGCCCAATTTGAAACTCAACTGCTTACACTGTCAACATTGCAAGCTACTAATCTATCCTCAGTTTAGGCACCGGATTTCTCGTTACGTGATTGGCACTTGTGTCCAGCTGAGTCAAAACGAACCTTTTAAAAAGCATAGGAAACTTTTCTAAACCGTGCCGACATGTAATGACCTATCAAATGATTATTTTTTGGTAATGCAAGGACAACGAGTACCTATTCCAACAAGCACACATATCGTCATCATATAAAGGTCATTAAACTAGCCTGCAACAATGAACGTGAAGAGCGCGATACCGCATCCGATTTAATATACTGTTGCTCCATTAAAATGTTGGTGCTAGTAATAACAAAAGGCGTTGGGGTACGATAGATTTACGGAGCTTTCCCTGAAATTATGCCAGGTATTGTCAATGATCATCTGTTCTTATTCTTGTATTGTCAGAGCTTCGTATTCAATTTGAGTCATACGTAAATAGTAAATTGTGACAATATTCTCTTCCGCTACATCATCTCTTTCCATCCATTACTTAATTCAACCCTGTTATGCAAAAGAATAGTTGCGACTTTCGATCTGGATCGAGCTCGGTAAATTAACGAAATGAGCAGTTGCATCAGTTTCGATACGGATAATTGCCGACTAGGTTAGTGAGGTCATTAAAGTTCGAGAGGATAAACCTTTACAAGTGTCATCGGTGATTTAAATAGGTGGCTTGGACTCGTTCATTGGCTGATACTCGCCTTTAAGCCCGTGCAAAAGTGCTATGCAAAGGATCTCCCGTTTTATATTCATCGCCAGTATCCCAATCACAGTATCGATAAGACATTTTATCTGTAACATAAATAACGACAGAGTAACAACCATTGCGAGTCAGAAGGGCAAATTATGTGATGAAGCGGTATTTATTTGATGGACTTATTCAAAGAATCGAGCAATTTCTTACGTCTTATAGATGATATCGTACCACAAACAATGCTTACACTTCGTCGTCCCATTCCGTATTAAATTGCTTCGATCAAATAGTAGAAGCGCTTTTAAAACGGCAAAAGGGTAATGGGCGTTACTGGGGCTTAATCACGTCTTCATCATTATTGCGGTCATCTGATCTCTTTCCGTTTCTGCTTCGATTTAACTAGTTCGTTGCACGTCAATGATGTCCGTTGACGTTGAACTGCACTTGTATTGATAAAAAATCAATTGCTGTACGTCCTTTGTCCTCTTTTAGTCATGCACTGCTTCTGCGGAAAGCAATTTTCGCCATCAGGTCTTGTCCGCTGTCCCCTTCAGTCGCTGCCTGAATATCAAAAAGATCTAGTAAGCATTTTTTTTACCGACAGGTATAGTAAAAACCACAGATGCGACCACATGAATGAAAGAAACCGTTCGGATGAACGACATACTTTTAACTCCTTGATCAAAGTCTGAAAGACAATGTACGACACGAAACCAAGTTTGCAATTGATATGCCGTGCAGCTCTCAAATAAATTACCATCCAAGAGCTTGTGGCATTTAGGCGTATCACTTATGTCTGGACTGTCGTTCGTCCTCGCGCACAAAACCGACAGCTATTCAGTATATAACGCTTTGTGTGCTGGTGTCGGCCTTGCTGTAAATATACAAAACCAGGAGTGCTACCGTGGTGTGTGAAGGCGTAAATTTTTCCGCTTAATCATGCGCACTTCTAAAGAGCATCTTTGTCTTGACCATACTTCCTTAGTCTTCCACCACTACCGCTTGCCATTACGCTTGATTCGTCGCATTCAACACTATTTCTGAAAGAATTGCATGACTCTAGAGACAAATCCGAATTTACGCCCTACTAAAAGCATTTTCTGCTTACATAGCTGTAGCAGATCAATGTGCGGGCGCGTGATGTCGGGCATATTCGCGGTGTAGTCTATAATAGGTCAGTATCACACAAAGCTGGGAAACACGAGTGCATTTTTCCTAGGAAAGGTGCTAGAACTAAATAATTACGCTTGTGCTTTGATCTCAGCGGACCGGGTGGAACCGGCTTGGTACTGGGGTGACGTTTAGTCGGTCTGGCAAAACCGGTTCTACCAAAACTGAGAGCTGCGAGCTGATCGAGCTAGTTTGAGATCGGTTCTATCTGTGTCTGTTCAATCCTTCACCATACCTAGAAACGGAATAAACTCATTGAGCAACCAGGTCGACTCAGAATTTGTTACGCTGAGTTTATCAAAGACACTAATAGGAATTGCTTAAAATTAAATGAGCTCTTAACTCAAGCTGAACACGTCACAGATCTGGATGATGGTAAACGAGCACGGTGTCTTAATGAGGCCACGTCAGACAACCCAACTTTCGAACTTTTTATTATTTCCGCGTGCGCCTTGACCTCCACGTTTTCCAATGGCTATTGACGACATCAGTAGCAGTCCAAATGCCCCGAAAGCCCTTTTTTTCGTAAACTGTATGTCAGTGCATCGACATCGAGGCATTACGGAATAATAAAGGAAAGACACGACAGCGACGGTTTTTCCGCCTCCCCCCAGCTCTCAAATGCAGCCCTTTCCGTCATACTTGAACACTATGCTTTGCATTTCTAGTGCTACGAGCTGGTACGACGCGCTTTGCAATAATCTCTTCAGGTGCTGTCGTGAGTGCATTCTGAATCGAATACAATCCTACGGTCATCGCAAGCTTCCTTGTACATTACTCTTTCGCTGTTTTTACTGTCGGGGACCATCTGACTCGGGAGTTTAGCTCTGTACCGAACCTAAAGAAGAAAAGTGTCTTCCTCGTGAGCACAAGGAGCCTTTTGCTTGTCAGGATGTATCTTGATGTAAACACTTGACACTTGTCATCTTGTCAATTGCCTGTCCCTTTCCACCGCACCAAAGCACTTGTGCAGTCTGAACAGGCTTCGCTCCCATCGATTGTCATCAACATGATTAGTCGGACCCTCGAAAATTGGACGTACGCGCTAAGCGTCACTCATCACCATAGAGCAGTACATATCAGCTCGGTCTCGTCCAATATCCATTGCGTCAACAGTCTTAAGTAATCTGAACTTTAAATTGAGGTCCACGTTTCGTGGTTTTCTCTGCCTGCCAATAGCCATCTCATAACTTGGACTTTCTCCGGTACAAGACCGCCCAGACTGATCAGTGCGAGTTGTAGTCAAGTAGCAGTCGTCGTCATTCTCGACACTTTTCCATTCCCAGCACAAAAAGAAGCTATGGACTTGCTGCAAAAAGTCAAGTTGACGACGCTACGGGAAGATGATGCACTGTGGATGAATCACAAAGTTTCCATTACCAAAATGTCGCTCGTGCGAGCCAGGTCCACCGAGACTAGTGTGTCTTCTCAGGTATGGTCTAAGCTCGAGAAAGCGAGGCCGAGCGAGGAGCTCTTGTTGAAAACGGCGAACGCAAGAGAGAGCCATCTTCAATTCTGATCCCATTGACGTCGTCGTGCTGATGGCGTCATCAGTCGTTGTGCAGCGGGTGACCTCACGACTGGGGCAAGGCTTCCAGGTGTCGTTCCTCCTTCTGCGATAGCGTACTGCAGTGACTCGCGCTCAGCGCCTGTATCACTGTCACTCGTAAGCTCCATATTTTTCACTGCTCGGTCAGCCATCTTCGCCCAATTTACGCGAGACAGCACGAAAGCAAAGATAGAGAGCTTGACCAGCTCCATCAAGCATACGCCATACCACAAGGCTGAGAAACCGAGACCCATGGTGACTCCACCGAAGTAAGCTATTGGGAGCTCGATGCACCACACACTCATGGCACTCACCCACGCTGTCACAGAGACATCACCCATACCTGCTAGCACAGCCGCAATGAGAATCTCAACCGACTCGATCATGTACCCCGTGATGAAAATGGGCTGAACGAGCATACACAGCTGCAACAGCCTATCGTCGTTCGTGTACAAGCGGAAGAGCGTTTTCCGCAGCGCAAACGTGACAACGGCAAGCACGACGACGCAGCCAATAGTGCAGAGAAAGCCAAAAAAGCCCAGCAACCTTGCGGCTTTCGGACGTCCAGCCCCAAGGTAATTCGCCACGCGGATCTGCGTAGCCGAGCCAAAGCCCCAAAAGAGCGCCCAGAGGAGGGACCAGAGGCCCGAGATCACGGCATTGGCAGCAATAACGTCGGAACCAAGTTTCGCCGCCACGAGCGTCAAGGCCGAATTGGCCAAGCTCGAGACCAAGCTATTAGCGGCGACAGGGCCAGCAATATTGACGAAAATCACGAGTCGATCTCGGGTAAACGCCTTCAAGTCCCAGCCACCCCATGCTTGCAGGTGCATTTTTTTGTATCCAAAGCAGTACGAAATGAGGGCCAAAGGCTGAAACCACGCTGCAATCACGGTCGCCATAGCTGACCCATCAAAGCCGAGGCCTTGCCAGCCAAAAGCTCCAAAAATAAGGACATAGTTGGCTGCACAGGCGACACCAATGGATAACGTGCCGACGACCGTCACGGGAGACATGATCCCCATGGATTGAAAGTAGAGACGGACGCAGGCGTAAACGAGCGAGGGCCAGATCCCAAGGGACAAGATCCGGGCAAACCGGACGCCAAGATGAACGACGTGGACGTCGTGGGTGGAAAGCTCGAGCAAGTAGCCGATACACCAGTACCAGAGCATCACGGGGATAGACAGGAGCGTGACAACGACAAGCCCGAGTTGAAGCCACGTGCCAGCCAAGTCGCCGTTTTGGGCCCCCCAGGCTTGGCCACAGAGCGTCACGAGAGCTGTGGCCCCAGACCAGACCCCGGCCAATGGCACGTTTGTCCATGTGGACGAAAGCGAGGCAGCAGCAAGGGATGACGTGCCCAAGTGGCCCAGGAACGCACTGTCGACGGAAATGAGCGCGATGCGGGCAAAAGTCGAGAGCGAAACTTGCAGAGCCATCCACGTGAGACTCCAGAACTCGGCAACGACGTCAACATCGGCTTCAGTGGTCGACAGAGACGAGGCCTCGGGGGCTTGTCGAGCTTTTGGTAAGAGCGGGGTCGACGCATTATTCATGGACACTTGACGAGTTCAAAAGAGTGGTAATATACGAGCGGGATCGAATGGATGGATGGATGGATGGGTGAGGAAGTGGTGTTGTCAACCTGGGAGGGACGGAAAGGGTGAGTGGGTACGAGGAGGCAGATTGTGATGTGAGACGTGAGTAAGATGTGCTTTTTTAGGGCGTTATGATGAGTCGTGGTAGTGGAGACCTTGGCGACATAAACAGCGTGTGGACGACGATGGAAGTGAGTGGGTGGGGGTACGTCTGTAGGTACGCATATTTCGATACATTGTGGCCCGTAAGCTGAAGGGAATGCTATTTTGAATTGATTGTTTTTTTCTTCTGTGAAGTTGTAAGATGAATGGTGGACGACGGGTACGAGACGAGGTCATGAAAAGGGAGTGAGTGATATCATATGTGCTGTATGTAGCAGTGTGTAGGGACGTGGGGTGAGCAGGAAGCTCGAGCGCCGTCGGCATAGGCAGGCGGTGAGAATCAGGACCGAGTGCAAAAAGGCCATGGGGTGGACCCGTCTTTCTCGGGTGTCGTGGGACTCGGACGGTCAGGAGCAGCATGAATTGCACATGTTGACTGTGTCACTAAAGACAGAGTGAGGTTGACCGAGGTGAAGGGTTTACGGACACAGACAGAAAGAAATGACGTCAAGATGCAGTCCATAATGACGTTAGTGATGCTTTATGAGGGCGTGGTTGATGGAGGACTACGCAAAAGGTGGCAAGAGACCCGGGTCGCGGTTGTTTTAGGATCGGCTCAGAAACTGTTGCCGAACGGACGAACGCAATAGGGGTTTCCCGGCCCCATGTCATTCAACCGAGCGAAATCGTCGGCGGTAGACGATTGCTGTCACTTTACGACGAGTGTGTCGGCCCACCGGCCATACGGAGATATTCCGACTGCAATTTTGGGAAAGGGTCGTATCCCGTTGTACCCAGTCGTCACCACCGGGGCACAGCAGACGCTATAGATTTTGCATGCTTCACAAAATCTGTAGAATCATAGGGGACAGATGGGCATACTTGCAGATTCATGGCTGCCAGCGGTTCGGCCTCACAATAGTCTTTAATCTTTCGAATTAATCTCTCGTTTTATGGATCTACTGACAGTTGCGTCCCGTCTAGTACGATGAGATCTCGAGCCTTTTGTTCTTCCTCTAGCACCGTAGTAGAGGTGGATGGACCTTACAAAAAGACACACACATAATTCTGGCTCCCGGGGAATAAATTTAGGAAATTGCTAAATTCGCACCCCCTTTCCTTTGATTCACACCCTTCCTTCAAAATCGTATATCTAAAATCCCTATTCATTTTAAGATTTGTTTTCTGACAAAGGTATTACTCGATAATCTAGGCCATTAATTGGCAAGTAATACGTAAGAATTACCTAAGGTACTACTCACGCCTGTGGTCACAGTAACCACAGGCGTGAGTATTTTCAGCCACCCGTCAATCACATAATCGAACTTGCACAGCAACAGCTAGAGAGACGCTTGATGTATTGAAAATCTACACGCCAAAGCCAATGTGATGACTCTGCTATCGTAAAACGTATGGATGACTATGATAAAGTGAACTTGGCGACTTCAAATAAGTTAACGAGCATTTCGTTTTCGTACTCGTCCTTGCCCTTCTCGCACTTCGTTCGTAAGCCCATTACTACTACTCCCAGCACGTCACCCATCTTCCCACAGCCGTGGGCACTACCGTAACCTGAAGCATCCCTATCTTCACCAAGCCTTACGACACCTAACTTCAATCGCTGCCGCAAAACCAACTCGGTGTGCCAGACGATTGCACTGGGGGCGCAGCATTATTGCGGCAGTGAGATGTGAATGAGCTGGAGGGATAATGTAGCACATCTCAGGCGTTAACGCTGAGTTGAGATGCGTCCAGCACCACACCGCTAGCACAGCCGACGTTGCAGTCAAGCCCTTCACCGGCATCTCCACTCACGTTGTTAGGTAGCTGAACATTCTGCCAATTCCCTCGTTCCTCGTCGTTTTTTTACGCTAATATCTTGCATCGACCGCCGGATAGCTTCCAAGAGCATCAGTTCCTCTAGCCGCGCAGCGTCTGCGGATGTTGTCGCAACGCGGGACGCTGCATCATTCAGCGCTGCGACACGATTCAGGTGTGGGCTGTTGGTCACAGGCTTGTCGCGGATGCTAAGCTGTAAGCGAAGCGAATCGCGAATCCGATCACGGTCTCCCGCTGACGCGTACTGCACACCCTTCAGACTTGACGTCATAGTGCACTCTGTTTCTGTAGCTTTGGGGATGCCAATGGCGCTACTTCGACGCGGAGACATTCCGTTCTACAATGTAATGCAAAACATGAGGCTTAGCACATAATCGCACAGTGTAGGAGGGAATCAGGGGCTGCGCTTACTGTCACGGAATGAGTCGAGGTGAGCTCTGTCGGTGTCAGTGGCGTGTACAGGACAGTTCCCCTTCATGGTTGCAAAATGGACAGCTACAGACAGGCCACACAAAACACACGTGAGTTAGAAGCCATCAATCTTGAGTCTCTGGACGGCAAACTGTCGTCACGCACGAAATCATTTTGCGTGGCGGCCGAATCTGGAGATAGCACTCGGAGCAAATGGGTTTCTTGCAGCAGCTCGACGTGTTCAGACTCCTGGGGTAAAACTAGAAACAACGTAACGTCATGCAGCGCCAGCCGGTCATTAGTTGGTCCACCATGGCAGTCTCCTCCCATCTCTCTTTCACCATATAGCAAATCGACACTCGAGAGTGAATCCCTCCCCTTCATCTCTTTGCCATGAAAGCGCGGCGCCAGTTTGCGGTCGACAATCAAACGGCGCGCAATCTTGCGCTCCCACGGACAGCTCGGGTATAGTCTAAACGACAGCAAATTCTATACCCAAAGGAGGTTACGTAGAGGGGTACGGCAAACGTATCCCGTCGGCTTCGTGTACTTCTCAAGCTCGCGCGTGGAAGGTATTATCGAGAAATACCTTTGTCAGAAAACAAATCTTAAAATGAATAGGGACTATAACATATAAAATTTGAAAGAAGGGTGCGAGTCCAAGGAAAAGGGGTGTGAATTTAGTAATTCCCTAAATTTATAAGCGATTTAGCCGAACTCAGATGGCGAACACTAAGTACTGACCAGATTTTAGAAATTTTCGCTGAGGGCGCGCTTGCTTTAACAAATAATCACAAGGGAGACCACCACCAAGCCTATTCGACCATATATCATCAAATTCACGGTAAGATAGGAGTGCGAGCTCTTGATCTCGCATTAATATGAGTGATTGAGTCCATAGAACCGAATCGAGTTCTGTATATTCACGTTCCCATTTGAGAAAGGTGGTGACGAGATAATGAATTATGGTGTTTGTAATTTTATAATAGAAGTGCATACACGTGTTTCGTATGAAAGCTACTCGTTGGTGAAGTCGATAAGAAAATTGGATAAACCTGCTCGGTAATGCCGCAAACAATAAAGCGCGGCCTAGGACACCTGTTACACTAATAATAAATAGAAAACGATTACAAAGATTTTGTGCTGATAAAAGATGGATCAAAACTGTAACGGGGTAGCCCGTTACATGATATTGACACCACATGGTGTCAATAATGAGATTGTCTAGCGTGTAATTTTTTACCAATATTACCCGAGATAGCTAATATTGAAGGTATACCATCCCGTCGTGGCACCCAAACAAAGTGCTACAATGTGTAACCGGGCACCCTTTGTTTGGGTGCCACGAAGCTTCACGTACACTCGTACGTGCAGAGGAGAATAATCTACTCAACAGCTAGGTTGAGTAAAGGGTAAAAAGAGCACTGTATTTAATAGTTAAGCTATCAATTTAACATCAGTCTTTATCGAACTATATTAATCTATATTGTCGTACGATGACTACCTGCTCACCAGTTATTTCGCGCGTCTAGCAGGGATTGGTGATAAATATTTATAGAGGCCAGCAACACGCTGCTATTAACAAGTTCCCACAAGGGAAACTTGCCATCGAACGACAGAAAATAGTCTTGCTACAGCAGCAAGGCTCTCATCAACTGATGGCGGGCTGACGCACATGCGACGACCCGTAACCTTGAAGATAGATATCTCAAGGTACAAGGAAACCGATGAAGATTCCCTTTTGAGATGGTTCGTCGAGCTAGACGACGATGCCATCAGGGCCCGTCACATCGAGGGTGACGAGATGCAAGTCACCTCCACCCTGTCAAATCTGACAGGATGATCAAAGCCTTGGGCCTTAGTGCTCAAGCTTCACGACCCAAACGTGTTTGAGTCGTTGGAGACCTTGAAGTATCGGCTTAATGAGACTTTTGAGATGCAGAGAGCCGAGTGCAGAGCACGCTCGGCACTCTTGAGGCTAAAGCAAGATAAGCGTCACGTGCACGCTTAAACACAACACCTACGCTACCTTGCTAGTAGCTTTACGGAGAACCCTGTTGATGAGCACACGCTTATCAACGTGTTCATCTACGGTCTTGTGCATGGGCCGGTGACGACCTACATGTTCCGAGAGGACTTCCATACGCTGGAAAAGGCGAAAGCGTATGCGGAACAAGAAGACTTTAGCCTATGACAGTCTCATGCTAACTCGTCAAACTATCGTCCGACAAGACGACAGGAAACAGGAGGTCCTGAACCAATGAACCTCTGTTTCATCGAGATCGAGAACTCTTGCTCTCTGAGTCACAAGCGAACGGCAAGATGCCATCTCTGCCAGAAGATTGGACACTACTCTCATGAGTATAGTGTCTCAAGCACCGCATCACGTCCAAAGACAGGACGTGGTGACCGCCGTTGGCCAAGGAAAGGTCCAAGGTCTAGGTCCGCCATGTCGCCAAACCACGACAGCAAGTCTGACCGCCAAAAAAACGTTCAGGGCCAGTGGAGGTGAAGCACACGACTGATCCAGCAACGTCAAGAGAATTTGCAGGTCTCTTGACGAAGATTGCTCCCAACACACAGTGTCTGTGTGCTACTGCCCCTAGTGATGAGGAATCCCTCATCGCTTTAAAGATCGAAGTGACAAATGGAATGTCACTTCGCGCCCTAGATGACTTTGGGGCGTCTAAAAGTTTCATTCGACGCCAGTCGCTAGGGTATAGTATGCTCAACTATGTTGAGCGAGAGTTCCCTCAAACGAGGATGACGGTGTGCCTTGCTACAGGCGCATCCGTAACAGTGAACAAACGTGTAGTGGGAATTTACTAAACGCTAGAAGGAAAGCAGTACGATGATGACTCCATCGTGCTAGATTTGAATGACAAATTCGCTGTCATCCTCTGTCTGCCATGGCTTAGAAAATACCAGCCATGGATCAGTTGGCAGCATCGATCCGTGAAGATAACTGCCGTTTGTTCATCGGATGGCCATATGATGAACGTCTTGGAGCGTCCACAAGCGTGTGAATATACTACGAGTGAGTGCGATGGCCTCACTTGTGGTACGGTCGTTAGTACGATTGCACAAGATCACAGTGTAGAAAGACACTACACTGTGGAAGCAGCTTCCGGTACCTGTCTAGAGACACAGGCTACGCCGAAGGTCCACCACTCGAAGATATCGAGTGGACTGGAACACGGATGCACACCAAGTAGGATGCATCCTAGAAGAGAGATGAGCGCCGTTTAGAATAAACAACTCGTCAAACCGAAATCGACTTATAGAGAGTCGATCATAGAGCAGATATGATCGACTGAAAGAGAGTAGATCGAAGAGGACGTGACGGTGGTAGTGCAACGGGATAAAAGAATCAAATGAAGTTAATCAAGGATGTTTGCAGCTTTACTGAACAAACCTTACATATGATATCATATGGAAATGTATATCTGTCAATATTAGTGTAAATTCATTGTAACGATACGATTGGATGGAGTATTTGCGGTGGTCTAGCGGTGTGGAAGCACTAGTTGTAATTGCCACTACCTGATTGAACGCCATAAATGCTGTCAATAAATTTGCCCTGGTGGTACTAAATATAACAGATGATTTGAAACGAAATTGTCATAATTGTGTTTAGAGGCTAGCTACCGGCTTGTCTAACATATAGCACGATATTTTGTCAATAGGCTTAAGTGTTCTTCAAATGATCGTAAATCTCTGTCGATTTAATCAGCAGGCGTAGAATCAACCTTGCTCCATCTCATATTGTTTAACCAATGTCAAAATGATTTTTATTAGTATTATATCTTTCCTCTTCGTCTTGGAAACAATCACATTACAAGATCTTGCGAATATTCTAATGATGAAAGTGGAGACGAGCATTATTATGTCGATAAGCTCCTTTGAGAAAGGTGATACACTAACAAAGATGAAGTTATAATCCTATTGTTTCATTACTTACGAAATCATGCCCGTCTGTACGTGTAGAGGCAAAAGATAGATGATGTCGTAAATCTGGGTGCTTGCAGCGTGACCATCGTTTTGTAGCGCGTTGCGAATTTAGAACCACTAAGCCTACAAAACATTTCTTTCACTCAAGTAAGATACCTAAATGTACATGTGTGGCAAAGCGGTCACAAGTAAATTTCAATTTGGAATTGGGTCGGCGATCGCACGGGTCGCACGCTTCAGTTAAGCCAAAAATGCTATGATTGGTGGATACAAGCTGGGATAGGTAGCTGGCAATAACGTACCCAAACCCCAAGTAAACAGGATCGCCCAGCCTGGAACGAGGCTATAGGGTGGTCACACCCGTTTAATTACGCAATCCGTCTTGAGACATGGCAAGCCAAGACCCTCGATCTCGCTGGAAGACCGTGATCCTAACTTAGGATCGCAAATCCGATCTTCAGCGACGATCCGCTACGGGATCACGATCCGCTAACAGGATCACGATCCGCTAGTAGGATCACGATCCGCAAGTAGGATCACGACCCGCTAGTAGGATCACGATTCGCTAGTAGGATCACGATCCGCAAGTAGGATCACGGTCCGCTAGTAGGATCACGATCCGCTAGTAGGATCACGACACGCTAGTAGGATCACGATCCGCTAGCAGGATCACGACACGCTAGTAGGATCACGATCCGCTAGCAGGATCATGGGGATATCTTGGATAGGCCACAAGAAGATACAGCGGTTGATATACTGGGTATGGACCACACAAATGCGAGGGGACGATCTTCCTGGAAAGGCGACGCGTGGCATCGGGTTATGATATACGGATAGGCATCGGGGTAGGGTTTAATGTGGTTCATTTAACATAAAACAGAGTCTTAATTAGCTCACAAGCACATGTTATCTCTTCCAGGTAGGATCTTTGGCACCCGTCGAGTAAAGAGTCGCGCTACACGTCTACGC